CAAGGGCCAGGCAACCTAGATCAGACTTCAGATCTCAGCACGAAGTGGAGAATCCCTATTGATCCCGATACCTTCCCAGAAGATCAACTTTCTTATGCAACCCCCTCGGTGAACCCTGCACCACCACCGCACACCCCAACTGAGACCATGAGTGGAAACTGCATAAGGACATGAGGCAATTGCAAATTGACATGGACCATTTGCCGATGTCTTCGGGATCTTCAAGTTTTCCCACTCGCATCCCACGGTTGCGAGGTAAAAATGCACCCATGTCACATAAATAAAATTTGTATATACGATTAAATTTGAAATTCGAATCGTAATGCATCTCGTGGCGAGGTAGGGAGAGCTCCTGTCAGTCAGGACGAACGGAAGACGGAAGGGCAGACAGTCCGTCGATTCCTGGCATCCCTAACCCTCCTAAAGGGGCACATGATAGACAAAATCTTGTCATAACTTTGATGTTGGAAGTAAAACAATGAAATTGGCTGTCCTGCTGCTGAGACTTGCTTTTTTGCTTTCTTGGTTTTCGTCTTTCTAGCCCCTTTCAAGGTGAACGAGCCATCCTTATCCCAGGACCTTTGGACCTATGTATACCTCGACTATCCTGTCTGGGAATGGAAATGGTGCGAAATGGGTGCAGCTGCCGCGGGGAAAACCGTTTGGGCTGATTATGCAACAACCACGAGCACATCGATGCCATCTAATGTGCTGTGTAATTCGTTGAGACATTGAAAAATTACTGGACCACGATGATTTTAAGATGATTTTTTGACTGATTTCACTTGGCCCTACCCCCGTGTCATGGGGAATTTGTCAAGAGTCCGAGCCGTTCCGAGAACCACAAAAACTGCGCATTAGGCAAGATCAAAATCAGCGCACTAGATCGGGATCCAGAGATGCCCAGTTTCTGGTTCTAACCTCCTCTCCTGCCGCACCAGCCCTCCCTCGTCTTCGCATCTCATCCCATATTCATTGTCCCGGATCTGGTCAGGCAAATACAAATTGCCTATGGAAAGGAAAGGGTTGGGCCAAATGTGTTGATGGCTGTGCCGCTTTCCAGTTTGTAACGCGATAAGATCGGTTCGGATCACATCAATCCCAAGGAATGCTATCCCTAAGAACGTTAATCAATTAATTACATGCTGTGCCGGCATGGAGGGAGCGAGGAAGAAAGGATTCGCCATCGACAAAGGGTTGCCCCTTTCCACTTTCTTGATTTATTTCCGACATGTCCCTAGGCTATCTATATATTGGCATGGGGCGGCGACTTTCCTCGGGAAATTAGCTTGACCAGTGGTCAGTTCGTGGGCCAGTCGCGTGGCTGATATTAATATACAAATAAAATATTGACCATCATTCAAAAGGGTTGAGCAATAGATCACAGGCGGAGGGTCTCTGTTGATCTAACACGAAGTCAAGATCGCGAAGTCAAGATTGTTTTGGGGGTAGGGAGTTCTTCCTGTGAGGTACTATAACATATAGACTTTACAAATAAGATTTAAATTATTATCTTTATTATTTTTTGCGACTAAGGCCAGCCAAGATTGCATCGAAGGCCAATATAATTTATACAAAACGCTTATCTTGAATTTTAGGGACAAGGTTAGTGTGGATGCTATTTTAAGAACCCGTATATCTGGGACACACAACCCAGGATTTGCGCGCCAAAAAGTCGAGCCACTTGAGAAGTCATCCAAGGCTCGTAAAAAACCGAGAAATGGAAAGATCTCAACTGCCTGCTGTGTGGGAACCAAATCGATCCGGTTGCATGTGACAAGAACAACAAAATTTTGCACTGCCTGTCGGACGGACTTGCAGAAAGAGATCAGAACTGTTTCATTGTGTGCAACACTTGTTTTAGTTTTGTTGTTGCACATATTGTGACCCAAATTACGTTTTGGCGAAAACAAAACCGGCCATAGAAACCTGCAGCATACATTTGAAAGGAATGGCAATGTGCCGAGCACAAGGCGAGCAAATGTCCTGCATAAATGGGCAACCACTTGACGAGGACAATGGACTGGCCGCTGCTACTATTCAAATTATAGAGAAAATTGCCAGTAAAACACAAACTAATTGTGTTTGCCAATACATTTCGGAGCTGCAGCTATCCCACATCGGGAGGAGGTGCCCTGGGAAAATTATCAAAAAAAAAGTCCAAAACAGATCACATTGGAGTTGGCCTGGGAAACTCAAGTGGCACTCAGCGTGTGCTCTTTGATGGAGTTTCATCGATGCTATTTTGCCTGGCTGCAATGTGGCAGGCAGATGATGATCCCTACAGCACTACCAGTCCCAATCTAATCTAGCTTTTCGCATCACCCTGAACTGGCCTGGAAACCCCGATATGAGCGACAAGCATATCAAAATCGAATTGAAATGCGCGCAACTCATAAAAATATATTAATAAACATGGGAGAAAGAAGGCACCCTAGAAAACGAAGTTGCCGGGAAATTGAAATACTCTAGCTATGAAGTTCCTTCATATACCTCAAGAAATAAATAATAAATTTATATAAAAGTACACTTCTACGAACTTATTGGTAATAGCACTATTAAGACTGGCAAAAATAACTATTTTGTAGAGAATTTTCCATCTTAAATCTACCATGCTTTTGCAAAAATTGAAATACCCTCCATCTTAGGGCATTAAAATAAACATACCATATCTAAGCATGTCAAGAACATTGTTCGCCTATTAGAGCGAATATGTATGTTGATCTACATATGGAATACTCCACCCCCAGATGTTTCTACTGCGATACAATAATAACTTTTGTTGTACTACTGGGCCGTTAAAAATGTGGAGAGGGAACAGAGAGTAACGTTGATTAGTACTTCCTGAGGCTGCTGTATAGTCCAGATACGACCAGCAGTATTTCCATATCATTCCACAATGCTATAAAAAAAAACATTGGCATAGAGCTCCGCCAACAAACAAACAAACAAACAAATACAACAAGCAAACAGCTACAAGAACAGGAACTTGGGGTGCACAGAGGAGCTTGAACTTAGCTTATCAGGGTGGTACCATTTGGAGCAGTTGCCTTGGGGGACCTATGCCTACCAGTAGAGCTCTTCTTTGAAGATATTGTAAGGAACTCGAAGAAATACTCAGGTGTTTGATATTGTACTTCGTGTTCTTTAAAAGGCTTAGCGAGGAGCTTGACAGTTTCCGGTTGGAGCTCAACTAAAGCTTCCAATCCCTGAAATCAGTGCCATCATATCTTCAAATTCATTAAGGTGACTTCCTTTCGGCACATCGCATGGGGACCGAACACCCACCCAGGGAGATGGCATGCCATTCAGCATTAATGGACAATTGATTTCCTCCTTTTCAGCTTTCTTTCACATTTAAACTCTGAACCCGGCAATTGATTGTCCCGGAGAGAGCTTCATTTTACGGACAATGCGGCGCTATACCATATAGTGTATGGGTGTGCGTTCTCTAACATCGAAATGAATTGCTTATTTTGACATTTATTAAAGCTTTAAATAAAATTTATGCAGAGAATCAATTAGTGGAGCAAGACCATAAAGGCGGAATGAAAAATGAGAAAAGGCGAAGAGTTGATGGTGGAGAAGAGTCGTGGGGAGGGGGAGGGGAACGACACGCAGCCGAAAGTCAAGTAACGAAATGTATCTTGAAGATATTTCTCACAATCAGTTTGTAGACAAGGGAAAAGAACAGAACCAGGCGATGTGACTAAAAAAATATAACAACAACATACATATTGTATCTGCGGCGGTGGCCAAAGGCAAGGGCAAAAAGACAACAAAATCACATGGAAGAAGGCAGCGAAAGATAAACAGAATACATATCCAACGAATACGTTTACGAATACCTCTGGCTCCTTTTCTCTCAAACGAGTCCTGCACTCACACCAGTACGAACAAGGTTTTGGCGCAAAAAAACCTACGGCTATTCCGTCTTCACCTACTTCTTCGCTGCTGCACTTCTGCTCTTCGTCCTTCTCCCTCTCGAAGGAGCGGAGCGGAGCGGCCTTCTCCTCAAGAGTGCAAGAAATCTCAGTGCCGTGCCTCCTGCCTCCTGCCTCCTCCATCCTTTTTCCTCAGCTCGTGTTGAGGAATTTGCGCGCGCACGTTGTGCCTGCTCCTTGCTCTCCTATCCCCCTCCTCAGATCCTTTCACACACACACACCATCACAAAGCAGGATCTCCTCAGGAATTCCTCCTTCTTGCTGCCTATATCCTTCGGCCTTTGGTCGATCAGCTGACTGAGAGGGAACCGCTATCCTTGTCTAACTGTTTTTTTTCTTTGCGCCTTGGCGAGGATGGGTATTTGTTCTAATCAGTATCCTTGCGCTGCTCTTCCCACCTTATGTATAAGGACACTTCCCCTGCCTGGGTATTTACCCCTGAGATGTGTTATGTAGGAGAGGAGTAGGGGTACGAGGTTTAAGATTCAAGTTAATATTATTTGGAATAAAATCAGACATTACTCATACGCCTAGACTGGCTCCTCTTGGGGCCTGCTTCTAATTGCCTTGCCTTGTCTGCCGAACATAAAAAGAACACACACCAATACTGTCGTATGGGGACCGCCCAGTCTTTAGCCCACAGCCACCCCACCACCCCTTAACCCTTTGGACGTGATTTGCGAAATGCGCGCGCGCGCGCAAATGTATCTCAAAGTTTGCACACTTCGCATGGCTCAAACCCTCACACACACAGGCGAATGCTGGCAACAAAAAGCCCACTTCTTGGAATTTCGATTTACAATTTGGCTGTTTTTGTTGGTCCTGTGTTTTTTAATATATACATATATATATTAAAGCCCCCTCCATTCACATTGTTGCTGCAATTTCTCTCTCTGCGGCCTATTCCCATTCTTTGGCCCGCAATCAAATCAGCGCTCGGATGTGTGGGTTTTTTTGCATACGTTTGGATTTCTCCGTTCTTGCCCTTTCCCTGCCTCCCAATCTTCTGGATGTGGCGATAGTACTGTGGGCTTTCAGATAATTCCAAAGCTATGACTACGTTGGATGAATAGCTGAAACTGAAAATACAATGAATGTGGAGACTGCGGCACTCCATTCGCCCCAGAACCTCTCCGCTTGGCCCACTGTTCCCAGCATCTGGCTATGAATGGGCTGGGGCCTGGGCTCTTTCATTCCCTCTTCCCCTATGCGCTTTTTTAACTTGTTCAAAACCACTTTATGATTTCTGAGTCCTTTTTTGTTTGGGTTTCTTGGTTGTTTTCCATAAAGATGATCCTCGGCTCTTCCTGCAGCAACAACAAAAGCTCAAAGGAATTCTTCGGAATGAAACCGTAGCTCATTTGGCTGCTTCGGCGGGCGGAACTGGGAAAAATCATTTACTTTGTGGATGGTTTGGGGTACTGTGAGTGATATTGGCAGTGGATGCTCGGCTCGCAGGCGATCTTACAACAACACACTTGCGCTGCAGCCCATGGGTGTCCAGCCCCCTCGGTGCTGACCCCTCCCGTCCACGCAAGTGACTCCCGCAGGGCCTCGGCGCATATGTAACTCGATTTTTGCTTTAACTTTGCCGCGATTCCATACAAAACAAGGAGGCAGTGGAGCATTGATATGAAGACTGGAAGAATATGGAATCTAAGCAGTAGATCGCTGTTATAATAGATATACTGCCAGCAAAGTCCTCGATAGATCTTGGCCCTAAAAGAAGGTAAGATCTATGTCCAATGCCCGTCTTAATTAACCAATATCCACTGTTGGTTTATCTGGAGCTGGAAGCTTTGCTCATTTAACGACATTGGCGTCTACGTCTGCAAAACACAAAGGAGCCACGCCTCCCTGCCGACGCCCCACTCCGCTGGTGCGGCGATCATATGACTGCCACTACCTGCTGATGTGTGTCTTGGGGCGGATGCGCGGGGGGTCACCTGGGGGAGGCGACGACGTTGAAGAGGGGCACCAGGCACCAGGCAGCAGGAATGCGTGGATCTCACATTATTACCTGCAAACGACACAATCGATGCCGCCTTGAAATTCTGCTTAAAGATTTGCGCGATTCTTGGCCGGCCTAGCCCCATCCCTGTCGCTCCACTATTGTGGTGCAGCGTAAATCACATGTGTTCCCGGCTTCGGCTCCACTCGGCCCCACTTCGGGCGGTCTCGTGTGGCGGGGAGCTTCGCGTCAGGGTATAAAAGCACGCGCGCCAAAATCAGAGCCCCAAATTCTTGTGTATCGACGCTTCCTTCAGAGCTGGCGCGACCATCCGCCTGATGTGGAACTCTGAGACTTTGCCCTGAGCAGCGGTAGGGGAAATGTAGGGGAAAGTAAATACATATATACTAGGGCTACCTGTTGCAGTAGTGGTCTCCAACTGCACAGATTCCTTTCCGATTCCCTATTATCCCGATTTTTCCATTTTCCTCTTTGCGCTACTGCCCTTTCGTTCACTCCCGTGCAGCCCTGGCTGCCCTGGCTGCCCTCAGCAGTAGGTAATCAAAGGTGCAACAACAACTAAACCGGCTTTCTCTCCATCAGCTGTGAGTGCAGGCTCTCTCTGAGTTGCGCTCTCGAGATCGGAGCATATGGCATGCGCCGTCCCTTTCTGGCGCGATCAGAGGGATTGCCGGCAGAGAGCGCAGTCGCTGCGCTCGGCCGACTATAAAAGCAGGGGCCCTCGAAAAACTCAATTCATTCGTCCTCGTCTGCTCAGCTCAGCTCATCAGCTCAGAAAACTAAAGAACTCGGCGTACAATGCAACACTAAGTAGAACCGTCAATCCGGAAAAGTGCAGCCCTAACTCGTACCTAGAACACGGCTATCGCGAAACAAAAAACAATGCCTAAACGGACAATGCTCAACTAACTAAAAACACACACACACACAAGTGCATAGTGACAAAGAAAATTGTGTTTTAGCAATTTTTCTAAGCCAAAAAAACACCGCCATCAACCCATAACTCAACCAACATCATCAACCTTCTAAAAAATAAATAAAAAACCAACAAAATGCTGTGGGAATCGATCGCCGAAGAAACCAACTGCACCATGGAATGCAATATCAGGTAATTATCTCGCCGCCAAGAAATCAAGGATTACCCATTTTCCAAAGGAATACCAGTTGAACGGGATATACATTTTAAAATTAAAATTAAAGAACCGAAAACTAAACAAAAGTGCAAGTTCAAGAACAAAAGTAAGAGTCTTTTTGTGGAAGCTCCTCACGTTTTTCGTTTTTTTTGGCGCTCAGCTGTTGTTGTTGCTGCCGGCCGATCTTGCTTGCTTTTCATTCATTAAACCGGCTCCCAAAGGCGAAAAAACGCCAGTTTTTTACTTTTTTCCCTGTTTTCTGTTTCTTTGCGGTTCTTTGTGCTCGCGTGACGTGTGACCCAAAAGTCTAAAAGTGCAGATGCAACGCAAAGGGGGAGTTCCCACTCCGTTCTGGGTACCGCAACTTCGAGGGCTAGAAGAAGTAGAAGTATAAGTAGGGCTCCCGATCGAAATATTTCTAACCTCGCGCTCGTGTTTACAACAACCCCTGGTTGCCCTACAGCACCACCACCACCACCACCGCCGACGCCTGTATTTTTAGCCCGAGTTTAATGACCGCACTCTCCGAACTCCGAACTCCTGACTAATCCTCCCTCTCTCCTCTCTCTCCTTGCAGCAATAGCAACAAGAACAACACATCCTCGCGCCGGGCCCGTCGTTCCCTGGAACTGATGGCCATGGACCAGGAGGAGCTCTCCTTCTACGACGACGATGTGGTGGCCCAGGACCAGCAGCGGTCCGCCAGTCCGGAGCTCATGGGACTGCTGTCGCCCGAGGGTTCGCCCCAGCGCTTCCAGATCGTCCGCCAGCAGAAGGTGCTGCCGCCGGTCGCTGGGATCGCGGAGGCCAGCAGCGCCACTCCTGCCCGCAGCTTCCGCGTCTTCAACAGCCTGTCGTCCACCTGCTCCATGGAGTCCTCCATGGACGATGAGTACATGGATCTGTTCGAGATGGAGTCGCAGCAGCAGCAGAGTGCCCTGGGATTCCCCAGCGGCCTCAACTCGCTGATCAGCGGCCAAATCAAGGAGCAGCCCACTGCCAAGTCGCCAGGTCTGGCCATGCGCCGTCCCTCGGTGCGACGCTGCCTCAGCATGACCGAGAGCAACACACCCCCCGCCCATCTTCACCAGCAACCAAAGACACCAGAGACTGCCCGGGACTGCTTCAAGCGTCCGGAACCGCCAGCATCCGCCAGCTGCTCGCCCATCCAGAGCAAGCGCCACCGCTGCACCACCGAGAAGGAGAACTGCCCCGCACCCACCCAAATCAGCAGCAGCACCACCGCCACCTCCAGCAACCCACCGCCGCTGAGGAAGTGTATGTCCCTCAACGATGCCGAGATCATGTCCGCCCTGGCTCGTTCCGAGAACCGCAACGAACCCGAACTGATCGGCGACTTCAGCAAGACCTACGCCCTGCCTCTGATGGACGGCCGCCACCGGGACCTGAAGAGCATCTCCAGCGAGACAGTGGCGCGCCTGCTGCGCGGTGAGTTCGACGAGTCTGTGGCCAGCTACCGCATCATCGACTGCCGCTACCCCTACGAGTTCGAGGGCGGCCACATCGAGGGAGCCAAGAACCTGTACACCACCGAGCAGATCCTCGAGGAGTTCCTCACCGCCCAACAGACTGAGCTGCAGCAGCAGCAGAACGCCGAGTCGGGACACAAGCGCAACATCATCATCTTCCACTGCGAGTTCTCCTCGGAGCGCGGACCCAAGATGTCCCGCTTCCTGCGGAATCTCGACCGGGAGCGCAACACCAACGCCTACCCAGCGCTGCACTACCCGGAGATCTATCTGCTGCACAACGGCTACAAGGAGTTCTTCGAGACCCATGTGGAGCACTGCGAGCCCCACGCCTACCGCACCATGCTGGACCCCGCCTACAACGAGGCCTACCGCCACTTCCGGGCCAAGTCCAAGTCCTGGAACGGCGACGGCCTGGGCGGAGCCACCGGCCGCCTCAAGAAGTCGCGCTCGCGCCTGATGCTGTAGATCCGAGTCGTCTCTGGGTCGTTATCTGAACTGGGTGTTATCGTATTGTATATATAGACGTATAGGGGTATTTATTTCACGCTGACTTTTAAGTTGATTTTTGTTGATTTTCATTTGTTAATCCGTAGCCTAAGCTTCTCTCCCAGACACTACCGAACACCCACTACCACACACTCATTCGCAAACACAATTCATTTCGAATCAACGTTTTTAGTTAGTTATTATTGTTTTATAATGGATTCGGCTTTAGTTCAATTTATTTTAGCACTTTAGTTCAAATTTTAAAAGCGAAAATGAAAAAAATGTGCATTATAATCTAAAAACTATGAGGAACACTGTCATTAAAATTTAAGAGGCCGAACCACCCGCATAGATCCAGACCCCTTAATCACGAATAGATGATAAGAAGAAAAAAATGGCTAAAAAACACAAAAAAACATACATCGCTCATCCACACATATTCGACATCCATCGTAGGGCCTAAGGAATTAGCACATAAGAGTTGAAAGTTGAAAACTTCTGCTAGGTACAATTTACGCTTATTATTTGTTTATTTTTATGTAATCCGTAATCGAAGAACCCCCTCCCGAAAAAGAAACTTGCTCATCGCAATCGCATACAACAACAAATGATTATTTTTACTGTGTAATGATTATTATTTAAGCAAAGCTTATTTTTGCATCAAAAAAGGCAATATTATTGAACAAAGACCATCAAATTTTAATATATTTAATACACGACTTGAACCGAATCGCTTGGATTTTTATCTTTGGCGCCACAAGGCGACTTTGGGCGGGAACCTGGGAGTATATGGATTTTTTCCAGTAATTCCTATTCGAATTTTAACGCGGCACTATACTGTATATGTATGTATTTTTGTGCATATGTAGTGGAAGTTTGTTATTTTTTTTTTGTACATGAAAAGTGCAATATAGTTTTATATCAAAATATTAATTTTATGTACACATATATTAATTTGTTTTTGAATAAAATATTTATTTATTTATTTATTATATTAATATATTTGTTTTTGCTTAAATAAGTTTCACGTCCCACTGTGTTTGGCGCGTATAACAGAAGGGAAATTCTTAAATGTTATACATTGTTCAAACGTGCACACCAGAGGGCGTGCTGGTCAGTATACAAATACAGTAATATTAGAAAGTCATGTAGAATAAACTTTGAGCGCGCCAAACGCTTCTTCAGTATTAATTTTATAAAATATTTTGTTGATTTATCCTATATATATCTATATGTATATTTGTGTAAATCTATTGTTAATTTTGTATAAAAAAATAGTTTATCATATACCAAAAATACATTTATGGTAATATATTTTTAACTAAACTATTTATTAAAAAAACCGTAAACTATTTATTTAAAAAATTTTAATTTTTTAATCGGTTTAATACATATTATCAAATATTTAGTCAAATTTGTTTTTATACATATGCACATATGTATATCTATTAGGTCCATTATTAGCCTTTTATTTTTATTATAATATTTAATTTTCAAAAATAATTTAAAAGATAATAAATTCCGTTAAACTTTGATCGATTTAGGCGCCAATATCAAAACCGTTAGAATATTTCCATTATCATAGTTTTAAGAGAAACATATTAGGCCATGAACCGAACATTACAATCCCTCACATTCATTTACACTTTTAGCTCCAAATTTTAGAGATTTAAATACAAAGTACTTACACAAATATAATGCCTTTGAAATCACTATAAATGTATGTTTGTACATATTTCAACCAAGATAGGGGCTAAGTATTCATAAGTATTTCATATGGTAATTAAATCCATAGCTGCGCTTGTTTGAAACTTCTTTTTTTATGATCCCAGCAGGTAAGCCAGGTAAGAAGATTATTAATTGCTTAATGCTGATATTCAATTCCATCCACGCCCATCGAGCTTTCTCTGCCTTTAAGTAAAAAAAACAAAAACTATCACAGAATTAATCCCAACACTCGAAAAGTGAGGAAAGGCGCCAAAGCGCGGTTTGTGGCAATTAGCCAAAGGCAGGGCTTATGCTTATGCCACGACAATATTTACGAGAGTTCCGTGCCAGGTTAGCCCCCCGATTGCCCCAAAAACCCCCACAACCCTTCTGAAAGCCGCCATGCTGGGTCTGTCTACACTCGGCTTGTTTTGGTTTGTTTTTGCCACTTCACGAGTCCGTGTGTCCTCTTATCTGCGGAGCTTCCTCCATGGGGGGTTGCCGAGAAACGCTGGCTTTGGCAAGGAAGGGGCTGGTAACCTCTAGGGTCGAGTGCTGAAGTGCTGCTGGCATACGAAATAAAAAGAAATGGGTTAATCAGCGCAATTAAGGTCAAAAACACGTAGTGACATCTTTTCTGGGCATGTGTGTGTGCAGTGTGATTCAAAATTGCGCATACGCCGGGTAAGCCCTGCCATTATTTCATTGCAGGCACCCGCTGTGCTGCTGTGCGGCTGTGTGGGTGTGCTACCATGCCAGCCAGCCAGCATATAAGTACGGACATGTATATGCTCCTCTGTGATAAAGATTCTTTGCGCCGACGTCGACGTTTCAATGCCCCAAGCTAGGCGAGACTCTCTTGTATCTGTGAGCGGTGTAATAATGCGCCTGTGTTGGTGTGTGTGCGGCAGTGCCGGGCTATAAGATAAAAGCGCCGCGCTCAGAAAACTTTAGATTCGCGGCGACCGTCGAACAGGTCGCACTCGGTCCTCGTTTTCGTCCTCTGGCTTCCTGCTCTTGTTGTGCTCCAAACGGTTGGTTTTTTCTTTTTAGAATTTTTGTGTGTCAAGCACCTTAAAGTGCGGCTCGAAAACAATTAAGACAAACGAAAAACAAGAAACCCGAAACCAGAAACCACCAAATTGCAACGCAAAAGCTCTAACCAAAATGGTTAAGTAGCGAGTGTCCTCCAAAATTGGTTGAAAAAGGTGTTCAAGTACTGCCTCTAACCCGTTTTAGCTAATTAATGGTTTCTTGCTCAGGGAAGAGTGTAAATTTCATTGCAAATCGAACAAAAACGGACAGTTCTATAACATTAGAAAAATCTTAACTTAACGACCATAGGCGTGCAAATCAATTAGCGCGGCTTCCCTCGAGTATATATAGTTAACTTGGATGAGTTCAATTGGCAAGTCAATGTCAGGCAAACACGTGCTTAAGTTGTATCTCAAACAAAAATAAGCTAAGGAATAAATTGATAAAATGCCGATAAACAAAAACCTTACAAAGGAAAGGTTTGCCTAAAGTTTGACCTTTAATCTAAACAACTCGAGCGATTGACCTTTATTTTTCAAACTGACCTTAATGGAAACTGTTTCATTTAGCTGCTGAATATTTAACGTATTTCCTTAATCTCACCTTTCCTTATTACTGTTTTTAATAATCCCAATCAAAAATACTTTATGAATATGCAAATACCTCAAGTTCAATGGCCACACCCGCATTGGGATTCATATATGCACTCAAAGAACTCGAAAAGTTGAAGCAAAATCATTTTTTTTTGCATAATTAAAAAAGAAAGAGACGCACAGCGAAAAAAGAAAAGAATCTACAATCTTGTAATCTGGTTTGTCCAGTATATGCAACTTCTTCTTCTGGAACTATTAGGGCGGGGATACAGGCTCTAGAAGCATCGTAAAATAGGAGCCATAAAGTAACTAGGAGTATGTATACTTTCATGCAAGATGGGATAATATCTTATAATTATAAAGTATGTTTTTATATCTCTTATATATCCATATCCAGTGAAGGGTACTCTCAGGTAGAAGTCACATAATGCGACTTGTGAGGAGAGTTTCAATCGGGTTTCATTGGCCCAGACCTTAATACGTGCGCGGCATAATGAGCCAAAATAAACACTTGCAGCGAAAACATAATAAATAAAACAATTTGCATTAATTTAAAATAAATCAGCAAAAAGTCTAAAAACATTAAAAAACGGGGTTTGATTAATGCAGTAAATACTGGCTAACAAAAACTACTTTAAATTTGGCGGCTAATATGCTTCTCCATCACCTGATTGTGCATTTAATATTTACCGTAAGGGCTTATATCCACCTGTTAGTGTTGTCGAGTATAAAATAGCTTTTATTAAAAAATTTAAGTATTTATATAAATTAAAAACCTACATAAAGTTCTTCAAACACATTTTTTTTTTTTTTTTTAATTATTCCTTTTACTTCAAATAAAAAAACCTTTCATTTCAAATCTACTCCAGAAAGGTGTCAACTCTTAGAAGCAAATGCTAAACAAATCGTGGGGCCACCGCCAAAAATTTTAGTTGGGGATCTGTGCTGTTTTACTGTTTGTTTCGTTAGTCAATGTCTACTGTGCTCGATTTGCCAAAGTGATTTAGTTAATTGCTACAGTTCGCTTCGCTTGAACACCCATTAAACAAGTGCCGTCCTCCCTCGTCCACAGAATCGGGCATGAAGTGGTTTCTCTTGTTTGTGGTGGCGCTCGGGTTGGTTTTGGCCACGGCCAACACCGATTCCAGCTACAGCTACTACCGCCTTCCCACGGCCCTCCGGCCCCAGAAGTACCATTTGCGTATCCTGACCAATCTGGAGAATCCCGAAGATCTCAAGTTCGCCGGAACTGTGAAAATCATAATCGAAGCCCTAGAGAACACCAATAACATTACGCTTCACTCGAAGAATCTGACCATCGATGAGTCTCAGATCACTCTCCGGGAGATTAGTGGCGACAAAAAGGAAAACTGCGTGTCCTCCACGGCCGTGAATCCTGCCCACGACTTTTACATCCTCAAGACATGCCAGGAGCTGGTGGCTGGTAACATCTACGAGCTGAGCCTGCCTTTTTCCGCCGACTTGAACAGGCAACTGGAAGGATACTATCGCAGCTCCTACAAGGATCCAGTGGCCAATGTGACAAGGTGGGTTGCAACTTTTTGAAACAGAGAAATTTGTAAGTCTCTAAATTTGATTTTAGATGGATCTCTGTTACCCAGTTTGAACCAGCATCAGCTCGTTTGGCTTTTCCCTGCTTCGATGAACCTGATTTCAAGGCACCTTTCGTTGTGACCTTGGGTTATCACAAGAAGTACACTGGCCTCAGTAATATGCCAGTGAAGGAGACAAAACCTCAGTAAGTAATAATTTAAAAAATGACATTGTTACTACCACTGTTAATGGTTAAATGTCTAAAAATATTTTAATGAGTTTCCACTAATAACTAAGTTACCTTATCATAATAAATAGGTTCATTTAAAAAATCTTAATTAAAATTCTTTTCTTTTAGTGAAACGCTTGCCGATTACATCTGGTGCGAATTCCAGGAGTCAGTGCCCATGTCCACCTACCTGGTGGCCTACTCCGTCAACGATTTCTCTCACAAGCCCTCGACTTTGCCGAACAGCGCCCTATTCCGCACCTGGGCCCGACCCAACGCCATCGATCAGTGCGACTATGCTGCCGAGTTTGGACCGAAGGTACTGCAGTACTATGAGCAGTTCTTCGGAATCAAGTTCCCCCTTCCGAAGATAGATCAGATTGCCATTCCCGACTTTAGTGCCGGCGCCATGGAGAACTGGGGTCTAGTGACCTACCGGGAGATAGCCCTGCTCTACTCGGCGGCCCACTCCTCGCTGGCGGACAAACAGCGGGTGGCCAGTGTGGTGGCCCACGAGCTGGCCCATCAGTGGTTCGGAAACTTGGTAACAATGAAGTGGTGGACCGATCTGTGGCTCAACGAGGGCTTTGCCACCTATGTGGCCAGCTTGGGCGTGGAGAACATCAACCCGGAGTGGCGATCCATGCAGCAGGAGTCACTCTCCAATCTGCTGACCATCTTCCGCAGGGATGCTCTGGAGAGCAGTCATCCGATTTCCAGGCCCATCCAAATGGTTTCGGAGATTTCCGAGAGCTTCGACCAGATCTCCTACCAAAAGGGTTCCACTGTGCTGCGCATGATGCACATGTTCCTGGGCGAGGAGTCCTTCCGCTCGGGCCTGCAGTCCTACTTGCAGATGTACTCCTACAAGAACGCTGAGCAGGACAATCTCTGGCAGTCCCTAACCCAGGCTGCTCACAAATACCGTGCTTTGCCCAAGAGCTATGACATTAAGAGTATCATGGACTCCTGGACACTGCAAACGGGGTAAGAAGCAACTAGCAATTGTCAATATAACTCTAAACACCATAATATATTTTTTATTTTTAGGTACCCTGTGATTAATGTGACTAGAGATTACACAGCCAAAACCGCCAAACTTAACCAGGAACGGTATCTCCTAAACACTCAGATCACCCGAGCTCACCGCGGAGGTTGTTGGTGGGTGCCGCTTAGTTACACCACCCAGGGGGAGCAGGACTTCAACAACACTGCCCCCAAAGCCTGGATGGAGTGTGGCAAGAACGGCGAGAGTCTGCCCAAAACCATCCAGAACCTTCCCGGACCGGACCAGTGGGTGATCTTCAACACGCAGCTGTCCACACTGTACAAGGTGAACTACGATGCCCAGAACTGGAAGCTGCTGATCGAGACCCTGACCAATGGAGACTTCGAGCGGATCCATGTGATCAATCGCGCCCAGCTGATCGACGATGCTCTGTACTTGGCTTGGACTGGCGAGCAGGACTACGAAATCGCCATGCGACTGATTGAATATTTGCAGAGGGAGCGCGAGTACCTGCCCTGGAAGTCGGCCTTCGAGAACCTGAAACGAGTTGGACGCATTGTGCGCCAAACCCCTGACTTTGAGTTCTTCAAGGTGGGTTTTAAGTCTTGAAATTATTTCCTAAAAAGCCTATCCATAACTCTGCTCCCCTGTAACCTCATTCTCCATTTATATTTCGAAACAAAACTTTCAAAATTGCTCACACTCAACTCCATCCTCTTAAAACACAACCTTTGGGTGCACATCGAATAGATGTTTTTTGTCGTAAGTCTGAGGATCTACAACATATTTGATTATTGTCCAATAAATTAAAGTATCTGTATTACTAATTTTATAAACAAATTAACTCTTCTTAGCGCTACATGAAGAAACTGATCAGCCCGATCTACGAGCATCTGAATGGAATCAACGACACGTTTAGCGCCATCAAGCAGCAGGATCAGGTCCTATTGAAGACCATGGTGGTCAACTGGGCCTGCCAGTACCAGGTGTCGGACTGTGTGCCCCAGGCATTGAACTACTATCGCAATTGGCGTTCAGAGCCCAATCCCGACGAGAAGAATCCAGTGCCAATCAATGTGCGCAGCACCGTTTACTGCACTTCAATCAAACATGGAAGCGATGCCGACTGGGAGTTCCTGTGGACTCGCTACAAGAAATCCAATGTTGCCGCTGAAAAGCGAACTATTCTGACTGCTCTGGGATGCTCCCGAGAGGTGTGGCTATTGCAGCGCTATTTGGAACTCACCTTCGACCCCAAGGAGGCCATTCGCAAGCAGGACTCGATGTGGGCGTTCCAGGCTGTGGCTTTCAACGAAGTGGGCTTCTTGCTGGCCAAGAAATATTTCATGGATAATGTGGACTTTATTTACAAGTTGTAGGTTTTGATATGCTTAGAGTAAGGAATTACTTACCTAAATATTATATTTTTCAGCTACCATCCCCTGACCAAGGATATGTCACGCCTTCTATCACCACTCTCTGAGCAGGTCATAACCCAGAGTGACTTCAATGAGTTCCGCGACTTTGTCAACAATTCTCGCCAATCGCTCAAGGGCTTGGAGCAGGCCATCCAACAGACTCTGGAAATAATGCTCACCAATGTCCAGTGGAAGGAACGAAACTACCACCAGATGTCCCGCTCCATCCAGCAGCTTCTATAGATTAACACTCTCGAAACTCTCATCAGCTCATTTAAGAATTTTAATCTCTTGATTTCAGCAGGAATATTATGAATATTTAAAATCCCCTAAATAAACTATTTAATTCTATAGTATTATTCAAAAATCAGAATATCAATGTAGGCTTATTTAGGTTAATGATTACGATTATTGGAATTTCTAATCTTACCTTTTAGTAATCAGATTTCCGGTTGAAATGGAATATCTTTAAATTGCGTATACGCCGGGTGAGCGCTGTGGATTGAAAACGATTCTCTCTATCTCTGAGATGCTAAAGATTTCATTTTATGGATTGTCTCTCTTGTCTCTTCGAGCATCGCTGATTTAAAGCCGTGTGGATCGTCGATCTTGGGGCATTCGATTGTCGGCCTCTGGCGTGTTCGGTTCAGTGGCGCAGAAATCTAAAAGTGAGTGGTGGCTTCTAAATATAAACAAAACTAATTAAAACCAAAAAGTTAAAACACAAAGCACGTTCCAAATTCAAGCTCAGCAAACAAGAAACACAAAAAGTAATAAAAGTACTCTAGCCTAAACAAGTTTTGTGAAAATACTAAATGCAGTTTGAAGGAGTTTTGGTGTAATATTTATCACCTTCCTATGGCTGTAATTATAAATATGTGATTTGCATATTTAATTAAAATGTTTCTGGGAATTTTAGAGTGCAAGAGATCAGCTGATCGCCGATTTTGATAACGCAAGCGTTGAAAGTTGTTTTCTAATTACACAACAAATTATAGTTTAACAATGAATTCATTGATTACTTTCAGCTTAATTGTATAATAAATAATCTTTTAGAATAATTTTTCATACCTATATGCTAACTATCTAAGGTGAGTGACCCCACTCGATTTATATTCATTAAACACTATTAAAAACTTTGTCTATTCTATGTCTACTCTGTAGTAGTACTTTTCCCTCCATATCATGACCTAAATAATTATTGAAAACAAATCTGAAAGCGGCACCTACCGTAACTAATTCCAAGACCCAATTAATATTAGTTTTTTATCTTTTTATAGAGTTTGCTATGAATTGGTGTTTGTTTTTTGTGGTGGCGCTTGGCTTGGTCATAGCCAGGGCCGAGTCCTCCTACGATTATTATCGGCTTCCAACTGCCCTGCAACCGAAAAAATACAACCTGCGTATTCTCACCCACCTGGAGGACCCAGAGGACTTGCAATTTTCTGGAGTGGCAACGATTGAATTGGAGGCTTTGCAAAACACCAAGAACATAACGCTCCATTCTAAGAGCTTGGCGATCGATGATTCGAAAATAGCACTTTCTCAAATCAGTGGAGAGAAAAAGGATAATTGCATAACTTCGACAGAAGTGAACTCGGTTCACGACTATTATATATTGAATGTTTGTGAGGAACTGGAAGCTGGTAATGTTTATCAGCTCACACTGCCATTTAAGGCGGAGTTAAACAAGCAACTGCAGGGCTACTACCGCAGTTCCTACTATAACCCAGCAACTAATGAAACAAAGTGGGTAAAAACATTGTTTAATTTTAATAGTTGTTAGTTATTTTTAGCTTTATAACTTTTTAAATACTATCCCATAGATGGCTTTCCATTACCCAGTTTGAACCGGCTTCCGCTCGTTTGGCCTTCCCTTGCTTCGATGAGCCTGGTTTCAAGGCTCCGTTTGTTATAACTTTGGGATTCCACAAGAAGTTTACGGGTCTGAGCAACATGCCTGTGAAGGAAACCAGGCCACAGTGAGTTTAAATAAATACTTTGTAAGACATTACACTTACAAACTCTATTCTTCAGCGAAACCCTTCCCGATTATGTGTGGAGCGAATTTGAAGAGTCTGTGCCAATGTCTACCTATCTAGTGGCCTATTCCGTGAACGATTTTTCGTACAAACCTTCAACTCTGCCAAATGGAGCTCTTTTCCGCACCTGGGCCAGGCCAAACGCCATCGATCAGTGCGATTTTGCGGCAGAGTTTGGACCCCAAGTCCTGCAGTATTACGAGGAGTTCTTCGGGATCAAGTTCCCCTTACCCAAGGTCGATCAAATGGCTGTCCCTGACTTCGCGGCGGGTGCCATGGAGAACTGGGGTCTGGTCACCTACAGGGAAACCACGCTTCTCTACTCGGCGGGGTACTCCTCGCTGGCGAACCAACAGCAGCTGGCCAATGTGGTGGCTCATGAGCTGGCCCACCAGTGGTTTGGCAATTTGGTGACCATGAAGTGGTGGACCGATCTTTGGCTCAACGAAGGCTTCGCCACCTACGTGGCCAACCTGGGAGTGGAGCATATTCATCCTGAGTGGCGAGCCAAGGAAAGGGAATCCTTGAATGACCTGCTGACCACTTTCCGCCGGGACGCGTTAGAGAGTAGTCATCCCATCTCCAGACCCATTCAAATGGTTTTCGAAATATCCGAAAGCTTTGACGAAATATCGTACGAAAAAGGTTCATCAGTCCTTCGAATGATGCACTTGTTCCTGGGGGAAGAGTCCTTCCGCTCTGGCGTTAAGTCCTATCTTCAGACTTTTGCCTACAAAAACGCCGAGCAGGATAATTTGTGGGAGTCGCTGACAGAGGCAGCTCACAAAAATGGTGCCTTGCCCGAGAACTATGATATTAAGAGTATTATGGACTCTTGGACTTTGCAAACTGGGTAAGCTTCTAATAAGATCATTATATTTTAAATAAGTAACTAATTTGTAAATATTTTGTAGCTACCCTGTCATAAATGTAACCCGAGATGAGTCTGGAAAAGTTGCCAAGATCAGTCAGGAGCGTTTCCTTTTGAACAGAGAGATACCACATGAACATCGTAAAGGATGTTGGTGGCTGCCACTGAGCTACACCACCCAGGAGGAGCACGACTTCAATAATACCCTGCCCAAGGCATGGATGGAGTGCAGCAAGAACGGGGAAAGCCTTCCTAAAACGATCGACGATCTACCTGGCGGAGATCAATGGGTGATTTTCAATCCCCAACTGGCCACGCTTTACAAAGTCAACTACGATGCCCAAAACTGGAAGCTCTTGATCGAGACCCTCACGAAAGGCGATTTCGAGCGCATTCATGTTTTGAATCGGGCCCAGTTGGTGGATGATATTCTGTACTTTGCCTGGACAGGAAGTCAGGACTACGAGGTGGCCTTGAGCTTGATCGGGTATTTGCAGCGCGAACGCGAGTTCCTTCCCTGGAAGGCGGCCTTTGATAACTTAAAGCTCGTGGGTCGCATTGTACGACAGACTCCTCACTTTGATTTGTTTAAGGTAAGGTCCTTGTACATAATCCTTTACTTCTTAATTAATAGCCCTATATCTTTTACAGAGTTACATGAACAAGTTGATTAAGCCAATCTTTGAGCACCTTGACGGCATCAACGATACCTTCAGCTCAATCGAACAACAGGACCAGGTCCTTTTGAAGACCATGGTGGCCAATTGGGCCTGTCAGTACGATGTTCTGGACTGCATTCCCAAGGCCCTAACTTACTTCCAAAGTTGGAAGTCAAGTCCAAATCCCGATGAGACGAATCCGATACCAACAAATGTAAGGAGAACCGTGTACTGTAGTACTGTCAGACATGGAAGCGATGAAGACTGGGAGTTCCTGTGGACCAGGTACCAAAACTCGAATGTAGCCTCTGAAAAGAGGACTATTCTGAGTTCCTTGGGCTGCACAAGGGAGGTGTGGCTCCTTCAGCGCTATTTAGAGCTCAGCTTCGATCCAAAGGAAGTAATCCGTAAACAGGACTCGACTCTGGGCTTCCAGGCAGTGGCCTCAAGCGACGTGGGCTTCCTTTTGGCCAAGAAGTATTTCATTGAAAACGTGAAACAGATCCATAAATTGTAAGATATTAAAGGAAGCCGCAGGAATTATTTAATAACCAATTTTTATTTACAGCTACCATCCCCTGGTGAAGTCCATTGGTCGCCTTATGGATCCGCTTTCCGAACAGGTTATCGAGCGCAAGGACCTCGAGGAGTTCAAAGAGTTTATTAGCCAATCCGGGGAATCATTTAGCGGTCTAAATCAAACCATCCAACAAACCTTGGAGATCATGCTCACAAATGTTCAATGGAAGGAACGAAACTACGACCAATTCTCGCGATCTATTGAATTGGTTCTCTGAATAATTTTTTACAGTATCCCTGAAACACCTTCACAAATGAAAATCATGCAAAGATAATAATTTACAATTTTTTTTAATAAAATATTAAATACTTAAGTATTATGACATTGAAATTAAGACTTCAGGTTTATTTCTCGAGAATATGAAGCAGATATAGGCATTTCTAAAAACCATTACCGAAAAATTGAATATGAAATATTCTTAATAAAATAATTTGAAAAATTTTAAAAATCAATAATGATTTGGTTTTATTATGATATTCTCATAGGGATCGGCTAACTATATCCGGTATTTGCGATATATATCAGGTTTTAACTGCAAGGGTATACGAGCGGAAGTACATTCGGGGTCCCAGGAAATTCCCATACATAACAGAAATTATTTATGCACCTAAGTACCTTTAACGTAATTTACATGGCTTGCTTTTTTTTCGCGGTCTTTCAGAATTTGGAAATGGAATAAAGCAGACGACCGCGGGGCGCTCGAGAAACGATTAATTAGTATATATTAAGATTAGCTGGAAAACTATTAAGCTATTTGTAATTTATTAAGCTAGGAGGAGTTAGTAAAGAAATTTAAAATTCTATGCTTTAAATTAGCAAAGACAGGACAGGAAAGATATGTTATAGAGTAGAGACCATTGTAGTTCGAACATAAGACCCTAAAGGAGTCGTGCTGTGCATATGTCGAACTACAATGGCTAAGGAATAGAGGACTAAAGTTTCTAGTGCTTCTATTAGGAAATTTAAGCGTGTTAGTAAATACTGGCTATCTACATCCCCATTAATTAGGTTAAGCAGAAAAACTACACCGGGCATTGTCCTACGATTTGTTAAGCTAGGTAAGTTTATAAGTAAAAGTCTACTATTTATTATAAAATGCAAGGTGAAGTTTTTCATCCCAGTTTAGACCTCTAAGTGAAAAAGTTAAGAAATTCTTTTGTACGGATTCTATGCGGTCCTGATGTTCTCCATATTGGGGACTCCAGGCACACGAACCGTACTCCAGTATCGGACGGACCAAAGAAATGAATAATGTGTTAGTTATGTACGGGTCAATTAATTCTTTTGACCACCTTTTAATAAAACCAAGGACTCCTTTAGCCTTATTAACCATTAAGGAAATATGGTCGTCAAATTTAAGTTTTATGTCTAAGGGAATCCAATAGAGAGAATAACAGCTTAAGGCCTTATTCAAACTCAAACTACAATATAGAGATCATATGGCTCGTTTTTTTTATAGTGGCGCGTGGATTTGATTAAGTTCTAAGCAAATCCTTCCAACCCTCTTACGCTCAGAAAACCTTAGAGGTTTAATTTATCTTGATAATCTGAAAGCGATATAAAACGAATTTAGGTGGTTAGCAGGATTATACAACGCAGGAAATAAGATAAATTAAATAAATTTTTTCAAAATTTACGAAAGTTTTTCAAAGGCTGGAAATAGACTATTAGTTGGACCACTGGCGCTTTTCTCATCATTGAGTCATAGAAAAAAAGAGTATACAAAATTTTTAGTAAAGTAAATTTTAATTTTAAAAAATGAATGAAAAGCTAACTTTTCTGGCTTATCCGAAGCTTATGTCCCCTTGCAGTCAAGATATAATGGCCGATCCTTATGAAACTTGGCAATGTAAAAATCATGGTACTTATTGGAAGCTGTTTACGTGGTCCAAGGAGATTTGCTACAAAATAGCTAGAAAATGTAATAGTAGCCCTAATCATAAATTGAGTTATATTTTTGAGCGAAAAAATTTAATTCAAATGCATGACAGCTTAAGGATATAATCGGCCTATCACGGCCATTCCAACTTCCGAATGCATGCAAAGTTTGAAGTCGATAGCTTTAAAACTGAGAGATTAGTTTTCGTAGAAACAGACAGACAGTGGCCCAGCCGGACAAGATCGACTCAGGAAGTGATCCTTTATAGGCTCGAAGATGTCGCTTTCACTGCGTGTACACTTTTGACCAAAATAATAATACCCTCGGCAAGGGTATACAAAATAAAATTGAAACAATTATTCAACTACAATGTTTTTTTTTAAATTACCGGAAGGTTTACCGGAACTAATTATTCATGGTAATTAAATTATTTGATTTTTGCTATGCTTCTTAGTTCGATTTCTCATTAGTTTCTTTGAAACTAGGCGATGGAGTGGTTCATTATATTCGCGTTGGCGTTTGGCCTGCATTTGGCAACAGCCACAAGTACTTATGACTATTATCGCTTGCCAACGGCCCTATGGCCCCGAATGTATGAATTGAAGATCCTGACCCGTCTTGAAAATCCAGAAGATCTGAACTTCTCGGGTTCTGTCTCTATTACGCTAGAGCCACTGGAAAACACTAAGAATATAACCCTGCACTCGAAGAATCTTAAAATCGATGAATCCCGGACCACTCTTGTTCAATTGGGTGAAAAAGCGAAGGCTAACTGCATTAACTCTACATCTTTGAACGAAAAGCACGATTACTACATCCTTTACGTTTGTGAAGAGTTGCAGGTTGGTATTATTTACCAACTGACTTTGTGGTTTTCTGGTGAACTAAACAAGAAACTAAGTGGATACTACCGGAGCTCCTACACGGATTCTGCCACCAAAAAAGAAAGGTTAGTATTTTTTTTGAGCAGGTAAAAATGACTTCTAATAAATCATAATAATCAATGCATTTAATAGATGGCTTTCGGTAACTCAGTTTGAACCATCATACGCGCGTACTGCCTTTCCATGTTTTGACGAACCCCATTTCAAGTCGACTTTCGCGATCAGCTTGGGGCATCCTCAGAATTATACGGCTCTAAGTAATATGCCGCTAAAATTTTTATATGTGTAAGTTTTTTAAATTTTCAAGTAAATTTATCACACTTATTATTGCTCTTCGTTTCGCATTAGTGACGACCCACCACTTTATATATTTAGCAAATTTGAGGACTCTGTACCAATGTCTACATATTTAGTGGCATATTCTATAAATGATTTTAGACACAAGCCCTCAACTCTGACAAATGGAACTCTTTTCCGCACTTGGGCTAGGCCCGATGCCATCGACCAGTGTGACTTCGCGGCGGAGTTTGGACCCAAAGTTTTGAGATACTTTGAGAATTTCTTCGGTCTTAAATACCCGCTGCCCCAGTTGGATCAGATTGCCATACCCGACTTGTCCGCTGGTGCCATGGAGAACTGGGGTCTAGTAACCTATAGGGAAACAGCACTCCTCTACTCCATCAATCGCACTTCTGTCAAAGCCAAGGAGACCATCGCCACCACGATTTCACACGAGTTAGCCCACCAATGGTTCGGCAATTTGGTGACTATGAAGTGGTGGTCTGATTTGTGGCTGAATGAGGGATTCGCCACCTATGTGGCTAAGTTGGGAATCGAAGGGGTACACCCGGAGTGGAAAACTAAGGACAGAATATATGTGCAAGACCTGCTGACCACATTCCGATTGGATGCATTGGAGAGCAGTCATCCCATATCGCGACCTATTCAATCGGTTTCGGATATTGGGCTAAATTTCGATGCGATTTCCTACAAAAAGGGAGCTGTTGTCATTCGCATGATGCACCTATTTATGGGGGAAAAGTCCTTTTACTCTGGTTTAAAATCCTACCTAGAGCTGTATGCCTACAAAAATGCAGAACAAGACGATCTGTGGAAATCCCTTTCGAAAGCTGCTCACCAGTTTGGATCTCTGCCCAAAAATTATGATATAAAAACTATAATGGACTCGTGGACTTTGCAAACAGGGTGAGTACGACATTTTTATACAGGACATAGGTTATATCCTTTTTCTAGCTTTCCTGTTATCAACATAACCCGAGACTATTCGAAAAATACAGCCACACTCAGTCAAGAGCGCTACCTTCTAAACACCCAGATACCACACTCCCAGCGCAAAGGTTGTTGGTGGCTTCCTCTGAGCTACACCACTCAGTCTAAGAAAAACTTTAATGACCTAAAAACGGAAGCTTGGCTGGAATGCGAAAAAAACGGAAACCGTCGAACGACAACAGTCCCACGTATGCCAAAATCAGACCAGTGGGTGATTTTCAACAAACAAATGTCAACTCTTTGTAAGATCAACTACGATGTCCAGAACTGGAAGTTGATCATCAAAACTCTGAAATCAAACCGTTTTCAAAATATCCATCCAATAAATAGAGCTCAATTAATAGAGGACATTATGCATTTTGCCAGAACAGGAGAACAAGACTACAGCCTAGCCTTGCAACTACTTAGTTATTTGAAAAGAGAACGATCCTATTTGCCATGGTTTACGGCCCTTAGCAATCTTGGCCAGTTGAGTAACGTTCTTTTTCACACCGAAAGCTATGAAATTTTTAAGGTAAGTCAAAGGAAATATTTTACTAATTTAATTCATTTACAGACATTATTTATTAACAGTTTTATGTGCAAAACTTAATCACACCGATTTATAACTATCTGAAAGGCATGGACGACAACTTTAAGTCATTAAAAAGTCCGGATCAAATACTTCTGAAGACCTTGATTCTAAGCTGGGCTTGTCGGTACGAAGTTTTGGACTGTGTGCCTAAAGCTCAAGCCTACTATCGTAGATGGGAATCGGAGATGGATCCGGATAAAAATAATCCAATACCAACAAATTTACGTGGAATTGTACTCTGCACCGCCGCACGAAGTGACAAATTGGATTTCCTTTGGAAAAGATACAATAATACAAATGTGGCTGCTGAACGGAGCTTAATCATTAGTTCCGCCAGTTGTTCTGTGAATGAAACAAGGCATAAGTTATACTTAGACTATATTTTTCGGAAAAATTTCATTCGTCAACAGGACTCTTTAATGGCTTTTAATGCGATAGCTGTTGAAAGAGTTGGCTTTCCAATCGCAAAGAAATATTTTATTGACAACGTGGAAGCTATCTACAAATAGTAAGTAATTTTTATGAAAGTACTTTTTTTTACAAATTATGACAAGTGTTTTTCAGCTATTATCCTTCTACGAGGAAATTGAGCAACCTGTTGTCGATACTACCCACACAGCTCACCGAACGCAAGGACCTGGATGAGTTTAAAGAATTTTTCAAGAAATCAAAAAAGTTCTTTGTTGGCTTGGAAGACTCCGTTCAGAAGGTCCTTGAAAACATTCTAATTAATGTTCAGTGGATGGAAAGGAGATATGAGACATTTTTTGAGGCTCTTCTGGAACATATATAAAAAAGGAAGGATTTACTAGTGAATTAATGATAAGTATCAGATAGAAACCATTCAAAAGTTTGAATAAAAGTAGTTGCTTATCACTATCAATGCTAATCTTGTGTTTTTTTTTCTTTTTAAAATAGGACTTTGTTTTTAGTGCTCACATTATCGGCGATTAGCGCCAATTAGTCAATTGGGGCTTTTCTTGGCCATTAAATAAGAAGTCGGCTGCTAGAATGTTTATGGCCCGGGCACTGCCTCTAATGGTGATTATTTTGGGCTTGTTGGTAATACCGAAGCACGTGCAAGTGTTGAAGTATAGAAGAAATATTTTTTCGTAAGATTTATGATAGATTACCAATGGTAGTTGATTCATGGTGTTCACAGAAGCATGATAATCTCTAAGCGATTAATAGGAAGATAAGAACAGAAGTAAAAACAACATTTACCATTTATTAAAATATGATGGAATTTATCCTTTTATCAAATTAATATTTTTATTTGATTACCCTATGCTAATGGTGTTTAAACATCAAGCAACTTAAATTAGTTATTTTTATTGATCATTACATTTTTTCTGGCTATATCTCTGCGTTAGATTAGCTGCTGCCAATAAACTGATATCACTTCTATATGCTATTATTCCTATAAATAGGGGCCTGTTATCACCTTCGGCCACAGTCTCGCGATGAAGTTGATCTGGAGTACAGCTCTACTAGGAACCGCCCTCCTAGTCATTGGCAGCGGTGCCTTCAGCCTGCCAAACGTTCCCGATGGCCTTACCAAGGAAGAGCGATATGCTGCTGCGATTTCAGGTGGGTTACCAATCCTTATATTTAAAGGCCTGTTTCTTCAATTCTAATATAATCCAAAACTTTTTTACTATTAAACGAGTTTATTATCGTAATTAGAAATGGTTTGCCCAAAGATAACCATATATTTTGTGACTGACAGCCTCAAGTATTAACTGACAGACGAAATTTCCTTTTTTTATAGTCAGCATGGCTGAGGAGATAAGCCGTGAGTACCTGAAATATCACCATACTGGAATCGAAACGGAGAGGCTTAAGCAACTGGGATACGATCTCCGGAACAGCCACAGCAAAAAGGCCATTTTTACGGAATCCCTGGCGGATCTGAGCTCCACCGATCAGTATTTCGTGTGCACTCTGTGTAGATCCACTGTGAATGTCCTGGTGCGAACTTTCACGGAAGGAGAGCTGAGTGGAGCGGAAAGGGACGCTGAAGTAAAGCAATTGACCCTTGGAATATGTGATTACTTTGATATCAGCACCCCGGAAGTGTGCTCTGGATTGTTTGAACTTAATTGGCCAGTGTTTGATTTCATCTTCAATGAAACGGCCGCCGAGTCGCAAAGTTTCTGCTCAATGCTACCCATTACCATTTGCCAGGTGAAACAGGACGAGTACAATCTCACTCTGACCATTGAGGGCGCCGTGCCCACGGAGTCCAATTCGAACTTGCCCGCGCGCAGTCCCGACGACATCCAGATCCTCCATCTCACGGACATTCATTATGATCCCGAATATCTGGTCGGTAGCAATGCCAATTGCGACGAACCCATGTGCTGTCGGGATGTGTTGGCTTCTGGAGCGGATTCCTCGTCGGCAGCCGGTTCCTGGGGCGACTACCGAGCCTGCGATGCCCCCCGACCGCTCATCGTTAGTGCCTTCGAGCACATCAAGGCTAATCACAAGTTCGAGTGGATTTACCACACCGGCGATGTCCCTCCGCACAATGTTTGGTCCACCACCAAGCAGGGAAATTTGGACATGCTTTCGGAGATTGACGGTTTGCTGGCAGAATACTTCCCGGAAACGCCCATCTATCCCTGCCTGGGAAATCACGAACCTCACCCGGCTAATGTGTAAGTACCCAGTAATTTGCGGACCCTCGGTATGATTAAGTTAATGACCCATATGGTGAAAGGTCAACCAGAAACGTGGCCGAACTAGAGAGAATTAGGTGACAATAGGTGGTAATTTTTTCGGATAATTTCAAGCTCCTTTTCGCTTCAAAAAGAATAATTTCAATGAGATTAGTTTTAGGGAAATTCATGGAATTTATTCCTTAAAGTTCTTATGGGGTTTTCTCATTTGCTTCATTACCACAATTTATGGTGGGTTTACCTGGCCATGTCATTAATGTTTTTTCCCAAAAAAATTATTTTATGATTGAACTGCACTAATTAGAATATATAACCATAATCCAGCATAGTTTCGCAGCTATTTAAATTCTCAAATTAGCAACAAGGTTCCGATATGGTTTGTTAACTTCTGTATTTTATTATTAAGATAAAGTTTACGGTCAACTTTTTCCACACTAGCCACCCCACGCAAGTCAATAAAATATTTTATGGCCTCCAATATCAGTCAATTATTACGCCAATTGGTAATATCCATTAAACTTTTAGTTAGTCGGTAGGGAGAAATTGGTAGGAGGTAGTAGTTTTAATTATTGCCGATTGTAATCAATGGGGTTACTGAAATAATTCGATAATTTTTATTAGTTTTGGCAACGATGCAATTCCTGACTCCTTGAGAGTGGATTGGCTGTACGAGCACGTCTGGAGTCTGTGGAAGAAGTGGCTGCCGGCGGCGGCAGAGGACACTGTGAAGAAGGGTGGCTACTACACCGCCTCCCCAAGCCAAGGTCACCGGGTAGTGGCTCTCAACAGCATGGACTGCTATTTGTACAACTGGTGGCTCTACTACAACGCCACCCTCATCCAGGAGCAGTTGCAGTGGTTCCACGACACTCTCTTAGCTGCCGAGACTGCCGGGGAGACGGTGCATGTCCTCTCCCACATCCCATCGGGAGATGGCGACTGCTGGAGTGGCTGGTCCAAGGAGTACAACCGTGTCCTCACCCGTTTTAGCAACACAATCACCGGGGTCTTCAGCGGGCACACTCACAAGGACGAGATGAATCTCCACTACTCCGATGAAGGATACGCCACAGTAGTTAACTGGAACGGTGGCAGTCTAACTCCCTATTCGGACAAGAACCCCAATTACCGACTCTATGAGCTGAATCGGGAAACCAAGCAGGTGGTGGAGCACCACACCTACACCACAAATCTCACAGAGGCTAATCTGGCACCAGATGTGCAGCCCAACTGGGGTCTGGAGTATCAGTTTACCCAGGAATTTACGGAGGACACAAGTCCTGCCGGCATCGATCGTCTCCTGGAGGACATGGCCGAAAAGCCCGCCCTTTTGCGTAAATTCTGGCGCTACAAGTTCACGCAGTCGGATCCCAAACTGACCCAGGGATGCGATGATTCGTGTCTGAGTAAGACTATTTGCAGGCTTGCCACAAGTAATTACCAGGAGCGCACTCGTTGCAAGGAACTCCAGGCCAAGTTGGAGGAAAGTGTGAGTATTTGGCTAGGATTAGTCTATAAACCTATCCTGAAGCCTACTTGGTTTTTTCAGCTGGCTAACGAGGATCCTGGCACTGACGACAATGACAATGGCGGAGGAGGTGCCTCCGGACTTAAGACCCTTAGCTTGGCTTCCCTCGTGGCTCTACTGGCTGCATCTACATTTCTTGGATAAGACTTATCTGCCCACACTGGACTATTCATAGCCATCGATAATCGCCAGCCGTTCGGGCCATAAAAATTAAACACTAAAAAACCACCCCGGAGATAAACACAAATAATAAACACACACGATTCTTTGTAGTCAACACTCAGAATGTTCGATATACATATACAGATATATATATATTGGTATATATATATATATAAATTACTTAAGATGCCTCTTTGGTAGAGAATACTTTGCGAATTAGTTGGATTAAGTTAAGAGTTAAGTTTAAGCACTACTGTGGAGTCCGGGCGATTTCTTCTCCTGGCCGCTGTACTGGTTTCCTGTTTTCTTATTTTTTTTTTTACAAACATATACACACTTGGATTTGGTTTTCGATTAGCATAGCTCCTTACTACTGGCCGCTTAGAGCGCGCAGATGAGCGTGGCTATGTCCAGGTCCTGGTCCTCGGCCTTTCGGAGGACAAGGGCGGCCTGGTTCTGGTATCGCCCGGAGGACACCAGCCGCACAGTGCTGACCCCGCAGAAGATTGCCTGCTCGGGTCCCGGCTCACTGGAAGCTCCACAAACGGAACTGGCCATCTCCATGGCGATCGAGTCCAGTCCAGCGGATCCTCCAATCTCCAGACGGTCACTGGGCACTTGACACTGGTTGGTTATGAGGGTTTATAGGTTAGAGGGTTTGTAATTTTTAAGGTTTGGTATATACGCACATCGTAGTTGACTTTCTGCTGGGCTCTTACACTCTTTCCACCAATACGCAAGTTGGCCAGGGAAACAACAGCGGGGAAAAGGGCGGAAATGGTACAGTTCCGGGCCTGACCAAAGTTAGTCATCTTGTAAACAGCAGCGGTGTCCTGGACCAAAACATTACAGGCTGAAAAAAGGTAAAAAGGGTAACAAAAAGAAGTTGCTTAGAAGTGTTTTTTTTTTATAAGCGCCAGTTAGTCGTATAAGTGGCACCTGAAATACGAGTGTTTCGCTTTTATACTTTGAAGTAGTTTCCATGATTTATGATCCATTGAGATTCTGGAAAAGGCATTGCTTTCATAGACTCTATACTTACGTTGTGTTATTTTGTGGAATCGTACGTTGGCCACAAAGGATCCACGAATAGGAATTCTATACTGCAACAGGGCGGCATTTTGACTTGCGCGGAAGAACTTTTTGTTGCTAATACGAGGCCTGAAATATTTCAAAAGAATTAAGCCCGAGATCCAGGGGAAAAGTGAACCAAATCCAACCATTGTCTGTAATTGTTGCAAAACTCGTAAACTCGCTCCTCCAGTGGTCGGTGATGATCTTTTATGCCCGGGAAGTACTCGCCATTCAGCTCCCACCCATCCACAAACTGGAATATTTAAGCCAAACATAGTAACGTATAAATTAGGCTCCTTTGGAACAATTACCGCCATTAGGGCTCCTGTCTCGCAGTTGGCATCATAGTGTTTCATTGTAATCTCCACAATAGTGTCTGGCTCGCCAATTACATACAGCCCACAGACTTCGGGTTGGTCCTCCGTAGCAGATGCCCCAGGTTCTGTGATTCCAGGAACTGCCATTCCGGCTCCCGCTCCGGCAACTACAGCTGCTGCCTCCAATTCGAGCAAGGCTGCCTCCCGATTAAGGGCTGAATTCATGGGATGGAGCTTCTTGAAAATATAGTCACCTGCCTCGGAGGCCACGTGCATACAATCTGGAAGAGGAGTTTTGAAGGAGAGTCTTAATGCATTACAGTAAGAGAAAAAATAGTTCGAAGTGAGGGCTCTGTAAAGGACCGAAATCATTTCTTCTCGTATGGCAAGTGCAGTGGATCCCTTGAAGCAGTCCCAAACTGAATCCGAAACCAATTTGTCTTGGCAAATTTCCACCAGTGGCTGGGGCAGACAAGAGTGGAGGGAAGGATAAGCGAAATCCCCTTTGATTGTCCCTAAACTGGCTCCTGGGCAACAATTAATTTATCATGCGCATCCACTTAATGCCGGCCATCGTTGGCTGATTTATGGCCAGCATTATTAGCCGGGCGCCCACTCATGTGTGGGTGGGTGGTTAGCCGCTTTTTTACGACCTCTTGGCCCCTCTGGCTCTGTTCTGGCCGAAAAACAATTAAACTACTATTTGACTTACTTTTTGTCCTTCTCTTGTCATGCATGTCACATACTTGGAGTGTACTTGCGAGGGCTTTGGCGAGAACGTGAATCCCTTGTAAGGGACTTCCAGTCATGGAAGGAGTTGGTGGAGCTGAGACAGCAACTGGGGACCAACTCCTGGCACTTGGCGCCAATTTGTTTATGGCACTCGCTAATTGCTCTCAAGTGGCGAAATTTTTGCCCTTTTAACACTTGTATTTATTGCGGCTGACAATTAAATGGATGCTATTTACAATTCATTAGGCATTATGGTTTAATAATCATAATTCTGATGTAAAATATTGATGGCTTTTATATCAAAATTACCAAATATTTTCCACTCAGCTCAAACCCTTTTAAAGCCCACCTTGATTTAATGAATAAATTATCTACAACTGGCCAATGCCATGCAAACTGAGTTGCGATTCTGGGGAACTTAGTTTTGTTTATACCATGGATTAGAGTTACTTTCAATTTGCCTCGGAATATTCTGAATTTCCACAAAGTTTCTATTTCTGGAAGTGACGTCATTGAACCACATTGCCCCCAAAGCCCCAACCTCTCGAAGTTCACCTTGCCCGTTGTCCTGGCTATAAATAAAAGCAATTACAAATCGGCATAGCCACAGATTTGTTGATGTTTCACCTGATGACGAGAGCAGATGCAACTTTTCCATTTTCCCTAAACTGATATGCGGTTGCTTTGACGATTCCCCCCCTGGGGAAATGGGAAATGAATGGAAAAGTCGGTGAGGGATTAACTCAATTGAAGTTTTGTACGAGTTGCCAGCTATCCATGAAATTTATTAAGTTTACATTCATCGGAATCACAGTATTTCTTCTCTATGGCCATCGAGTGACCACAGATCTGTAATGTTTCATTTCCATTTGGCCAGTTTGGGTCAACTTTTTGGGACGAACTCTCGGGGCTGAGGGGTAGTGGGTTGATGGCAAAGTGAAGTGCACTTTGATTTGAATTTTAATGGGCAATAAATTCGTGTGTTGCCTCGTTCTACAAATTGCGCATACGACCCGGGGGTGTTGTTGCCGAGGTTGGATGACGGATAACAAGAAGTGCTCACATCTTATGCAAAAATCAATTTGAGAGACAAGTAAACAAGGTTTAGAAAGCGCTTTAAACTTGTCGCTACCGCCAAAGTGCATCCTCTCCACGGCCTCCCCTTTTCCATCGCTATCACTACCTTTCCCTGCCGGAGGCACTCGACTCAGAAACTTTCCCTCAGAGCTGCCGGTGAGTGCGTCAACTTACCTGAGACCGTGTGCACATTGTGCGGCACCGCCGGGCTGCCGGGAAATAGTTCAAACGACCGCTTCACACTGGGCCAGGCCTGAAACAAAAATTAGTTAAGAAGGTGAACCTTGAATAGTACAATTAAATTCCCGCAAATAACAGAACTTTCTCCCAAAAGGATTTAAATTTTGGGCATTGTAGCAAGATGTTAAAAAAAAATAGGGATTAAATAAGAAACAATTTATTTAATTTCTCTTCATATCAGTCTTTAAATATATTTTTTCCTAATGGTTTTATCTTTAATCATTTTAATGTCTGCTGGTATTTATATGATTATTTTCTAACCGAGCCAAAAACTTTACTGAAACCCAAATAAACGAATTTCCTAACTGCCTAAATCACACGATACATTCATAACAAATTCCTTATTTTAATAATAAAATATTTATAAAAGCTTTATAGAAAACAATGGTGTGCCATATATTTCCATGATACTTCCTTTTGTAGGGAAGTTAAACAAGCAACTGCAACTGAATGTGGCAGTCAGATCAGAAACAGTCACCCCATGTCCCCCTTTTGCCTTTTTGCCAGTAAGCACAAAGGACAGACACTAAAGTCAAAAGGTGGGGTAAGCAAGGCGGCGTGTCCTGGCCAGGAGATCAGCGGGATATCCGCGACTAATGCCCGCCGACTTCTCTAGTTGTTGCCAAAGAAAAGAAGCCAATGGGGGGCATCTAATGCGGCACTTAGGGCTCGCCGCAATGCAACTGCAGAGGATTTGGGGACAGGGAATAGAGACAGGGAGCCGGGGGATTAGGGGTCAGCTGGGCTAGAGGACAATAGCCAGTTTTAATTAAACAACCACACACGATTCTCCAATAAACAAGAATAGAGCAGATGACGCCCCGAACGTGCTCAATGGAGGGTACATTTTAAGCATGACAAATCGGTGGCAAAAGCTAAAAACTTTTTAAAATTATGGAAAAAGGAGCAGGATAAACGATGGCAGCCCTTGGCCTGATTTCTGGCTCCTTTATGATTGATTAGAGGTAACTTTTTTCTGATTTTCTTGTTAATTGAAAAGCCCATCCCCTGCGGCGAAGTTGATAAATGGTGACGCGTTGTGAGTCGCGGGCGCGAATAATTGAGTTAGGGACGAAAAAGTTTTGGCTTTCGTTATTCGGCTTCTGGGACATTTGTTTGCGCAACACTCGAGCTTTGGCTTTAACGACTCGTCAGAGCGTTATGAAACTGTCAATTAGTGGCGGTTTAGGCCAAAGCCAAACCAGCTTTAAGCCTCAAAAATAGATGGCAAGAGTAGTGTATCTGGCCCGCTTGCGTCACAAATCTTTTGGAATCGAATGAAAATCAAGATTGAAGCGAGTCTGGATAAGCTGTCAACAGGCAGTAAATAAATAATAAACATGATCCCTTTGAACACACTTGAGGCAGCCTCATTTGCATAATCACAATGCTATATTTGGGGTTCGGTTGGCTGGCTCAAGGGGAGTAGCTCCAAGCTGGACGCCTTTGTCAAACTAAAACGATTCACAGGATGCGCCATCTGCTCCATCAAAAGGTCCCAGCGCGGGTTTCGACTTGGGATGGATTGCTATCCAAAAGTTGCCACGGCGATCCCTCCATTCAAAAGAAGGTGAAGCCCAGTGGGCGAAAAAAAGTCACTGAAAAGTAAACCAAGAATAGAAAAGTTCCATAGAAATTCAACCGAGAAGCCTCAAATTTGCCTTTCAATTTTTCTGAAGTGCATTGATGCATTTCTAACGCCATAAAGGCGTAGATGATAGAGTTATTTTCAGGCCGATTTAATTCAATAGAAATTTTTCTCCAAACCTTAAATAAAAAAGCCTTTTAAAGGTAAAATAATGTAAAAATCATTGTAAGCATTATGCAAATGTAAGATCCAGAAATACCCCATTGTTTACGTACAATTGTTTTTCGAAATTAAATTAATTAACTCTTCATTCCATTATATTCCAACCCTTGAGATTGAGATTGTTCTATTTTAAAATCTCCAGCATCTCCAGTTTCCCAAATTGATTAATGAGTTTTTTTTCGGCGAGTGAATCAATTCCAACACTTTAAAATGGGAAGATGAGTTGGATCAACTCACAAGGCCGTCGTGGGTGACGGCACCCTTTGTTCCTGTCACTTCAGAATCCGCTAATTAGCCAAGGATATGCGAATCAGGTCTGCACATGCCACTGCCGGGAATTAAAAGACCCAAAATATTTGTGACTTCATTAAAAGTTGGCTGGCATTCGAGAGGAGGATCTGAGGGCGACACCTAAGCGGGTAAGCGACAGGAAGCACCTGGCGAGATTGGCATCCTTACGGAGGTCAGGTAAATATTGACTTTCAGCATCGCGGTATGGGATCCGGGTGTAATCCGTAGCCCACGCCAATTTCGCTCGCTTCCAGTTTTGGAGGGGAAATGGATTTTTTGGTGGCAGCATGACTAAGTCATAAGGCAGCTTCAAAGGGGACAGCTTTATGGGTAGCGGGAAATGGTTAAGGCGTCCCGGCCATGAATAAGTGATGCACTTGCCGGAGTCCGGCAGAGGAGCAACAGGCTGCCATCGAATACGCTCGCAGTCGACCATCAAATATTTAGACGCCTTCTTGGCCATCGTAAATTTCACTGAAGGAATCGTCCTGAAAGGATTTGTCTAACTGAGTGATGATGACTCAAATATGCGCATAATGCCGGATGCTAAAGAAACATTGCTCAACTTGGAATACAGTTAAATGAGTCCAGAACGGAAGGACTTACGAGGAGTCCCTGGAGATCAAGTGTGTTCGCTCCGAGTGTTGGGAAACGAAACCCACAATTCAAAATAAACAGCTTTTGGCTTATCAAGAAATCGTTTTATTTGTGTCAACCACTCAACCCGCCATACGATTAAGCAGTAAGCCCGGCGATTGTCAGAGCTCATACTTGTCAAGTGAAATTCCGAGGATTAACAGCCCAAAACCGCAAATGAATTCGATTACGCATACGCACCGTTGAACGAGGCGATGGGGGCGTTGGAGTATCAAAAGCCAATGGGCTTTAATCATTTAATTAATTTCGCGCAACCGCAAATGAACTGTAAAATGCAATTTAGCCCAAAGTTGTCAGCTTATTTATAGCCATCTCAAGTAATTTGTGTGCATTATTTCGATGCCATGGCTACGTGACCTTTTCGATTTTCAATTCATACCAACCGGCTCAGTAGTATCTGCAGTGGCTGCAAAAAAGAGTCCATAGAGCAATGGGTAATTTCAGTACGGAAATTAGTTTTGCCCTAAAAGCCTGGCATCCTACTTTTTTCCGTTTCTATCTCCTTCGAAATTTTTTATTAAACATATTGCATTGCAGATTTATGCACGAGTTCTGTCAGAAGCAAATTCAATACGCGGCATAAATTTCGCGCGGCTGCTGTTACATGACGAGGGCAATTTATGGAAATGAAGGGAACATATTTGGTTATTTTGCTACTCCATTTAGGTAAACGATTCTGGATGATACCGCCATCCGTTGCATAAGCCATTAGGGTAGAGTATGGATAGGTTTCGTAGCTTTAATTAGGGCATTTTAAGTTTTTCAATATTTTTAGTTTACCTTTTTCCCTGCGAAAGTTTGAGTTCAATTTCCTCTCAGATTCCTGATCAATTATGGAAATTGCAGATAATGAAGAGCCCTCTCCCATCTCTTGAATATTGGAAAGGAAATTGAACGAAAAATAAAATGGAATAAATAATTAAGATTGCCAAGCTCTACTGCCTTTGTGTATTGCATTTTTCTGAAACGTAATTATGAAAATTAAACGAAACTTTAAGCCCCACTTGAGGTTTCAGCCACTAAAGGACACCTCTCAGGTTGAGATTATCATTTCAGTTGGCCGAGACTACGACTCTATTTCCTGCCATTGCCTCCGTTGACATTCACGGTTTAATTGTTGTCGTTTTCACATGCTACCAGAGTGAAAAACGAAACTTGTGGCAAGGGGTGAGAGCGTTACGGATATGGGACAACAGGGGTGTGGCTGTCATGTCCTGGCTTAAATGGCTGTAAAGTGCCAAAGCGTCCGTGTCAACATTAAGCGCCCATCAAGTGCAGGACTCTCTGGCAATCGAGAAGGATGTGAGTCCGGGATATGCGAAACGGGAGTTGCGGGTCCAGGGCATGGTGTTGTAAGGTCGTAGGAAGCTAAATCTCATCCATGTCTGAGTGAGTGACCACACAAAGAAATGAGTGCCGTTGGCAGAGTTGCAGCTTAAATGCAATTGCCAATGTCCGGAAACACCTCAACACCTACGGAGCGTCGGTTTTCCCATTCAGGTTTTCCCCACCTGCAACTGTTGGTTTTTCCGCCGCATGCCAGCCGCAGGTTGCGGCTCAATGGCAGGTGCAAAATTTACATTTATCCTTGGCCATTGAGTGGATTCCTGGTTTCACACTGACTTTCCGACTTAGCCCACAATGTTGCCATTAAGCAAACAGATCGGGAGGTTCTCCAATTGATGGATGGCAGGTTTCAAGGCAAAGAAGCTTATAATAAATATTTCTAGCTAGACTTTTGTATAAAATACGTCAAAATGATAAATATATTGCCAAAATTATTTAATTTTTAAAATAACTTATAGGTAAGGACTAGCAGTTATCCTCATAAATTTTTAAACAAAACATATGCTAGCTACATTAACTTATTTTCTATAAAGCTATAAATTAATCACAAAGGGCTGAAACTTCAAAAGATAGGATATTCCCTTTTTATTGAATCAAATAACCTTACACATTTACTCCCCACTTTCTGTAGATGATGATGGATCCGATTGGCTATTTTTGGGCCTTTCTATCTTATCTATCTTGGGAGAGCTTCAATCATAATTAGCTGATTTGTCGTCACGCGTTCTATTTCTGTTCAGCTGCAGCCAAATGCCACGGGAAAGTTTGGCACGATTGGGACATTACCAAATGGAATTAAATATGTATTTGGACAGGCCGAAACTTTGACCCGCTGACCCGTTTGCACTTTCATAAATGAGTTACCCAGCCTAATGAAGGTAATCTGTTCTAACATAAGTCGACACGTTCTGGGGCTAAGGGCTGCCAAAAGTTTGGCAATAACCCCGACAGCGGGAATCAATCAATCAGGCCAAAAATCTCGGCCGGAACAAATTAGATCAAGTCATTAGAGAAACATGGAAACAAAAGTTGGTCTAACTTGTTGATCGAATTACAGGCTCTATATTCGTCTAACAATTTCTTAACCCGACACTCACCTGAACGCCCAGCACAATCATGGATAGGTAAAGGTATACGACCAACTTCATTGCGGCTTTTGATTTTCGAAACCGAAAGAGTCAAGTTTCCAATGCTGGTCGGTTGATTTTGATGAGACTTTTCAATTAGCCTTCGGGCTGCCGGAGCGCGTCCTTTTGATCCTTGGCCTGACCAGAGATTAGCGCAGGAATCACGCACCCAATAACTTCATTAGAGCGTGGAATTAGCGACGGAGGCACGCGATGCTCACGGCCCACACTGCGTATACTTGATGCGGGTTCAAATAGCGCCTGGGAAACCGTTTTGGGGCCAAGAACAAAAGAGCCAAGAAACCGTTGCAGGACGAAGGAGGACGATGCGTCAACGCTGCCGCACGACGACCGAGTGTTGGTCCTTATCAGCGGCGCATTTCCTTTTATAGCCCAGCAGTGAGTCGTCCCTTTTGTAGTTGTTGCTCTGCCTGTCACTATCCTGACGGGCTTCAAACTTTTCAAAGTGTGTAAATTTTCCAACTGAGGTTCTTATAACTTTGTTTTAAATAATATTGTATCAGTTTGTTTTTAGCATTTTTAGTTTTCTGTGTTTTTGTTACATTTGGGTTTAAAATTTTCTTTTTTGAAATTTCAGCCGCTGTTTTAGTAACTCACCACAATTAGCTTTCAAGGTGAATTTCATGAAGGCATTGCCCTCTTCAATGGCGGCTAAAAAGCTTTGCTAAAAGCTCTTTTAAATTCAAATGTTAAAATAATTCATGCCATTTTTATTTGAACAAACATTTTATCTAATAACCATAAACACTCAAACAATATTATTTGTTTTTGGTTTCTTAAAATCGAAATTTCTATATTAAACTTACTTTCAGTTTATCAAATTCATATTTCTACTCAACTCTAATTAGAAAATGACAAATTATATTTACTCACATTTTTATAAAAACTAAAGGACTTTATTTGTGCTCTTTCAATTGTATTAAGAAAATCTTAATATTAGATTCAAATAGGTAATGTGTCTCTAAAAAAGCACATTTATTCTACCATCAAATGTATTTTGGTCCACTTGGTTTTCTTTTCAAAACTTAAACAATTTTAAACTTTCTTCTTCATTTTTCCTATTTCCTTTTATTTTAATCCCATATCCAAAGATGGAGCAACTGCCACGGGTATGGGAACATTTCTCGGGTGATTAACATCCCCCCTGTCATAGTAGCCTCCTAAATGTTCTCCTGGAACATGATATAAGCCATAATGGAGTCCACTGTTGGCCACCTGCATACGAATTTAAGATATAAAGTGCAATTAAAACAAAAAATATAGGCTTAACTTGCCCTTTTTAGTCCATTTATGGAGGCCAGCAGTAACGCCATCTTGGCCAATAACAAGGCTTTGCCGCTCACAATGGATAGCATCTGGAAGCCCATAGGTACCAAAATGGCTCCCAAGGCTGTAACTCCAAACATCATTGTGATTATCATGTTATAGCGATGACGCCTTAGTCGGGCACTTCCAACCGGATCCGTAGATGAGCTTTCTGTTAAATAAACACTTTTGATTAATAAATAAAATCCTATTATTTAATGTGTCTGGTGAGAGACTAACCACTATTCAGATATCTATCGGTGAGTTTCCCCAAGTTCACTTGCAATGTGTGAGTGGTCAGGCCCTTGGCCAAGCTTCCAGCCAAATGGTCAAACCAGGTAAGATGCTTCAAGTCCTTTCTTTCATCATCGGACCTTGAAGAATTCGATGTGGAATTCGGAGCTGATACCAGAAGCACACCATCGTATATGGGAATCACAGGAGCTGTCATTAGTCCTTCAAACATCTTTATACTCCTCGAACGGAAACACCACCACAAACTTCGAGTTACATCCGAGCGATAGCAATCTTGGAGGTCGCTTCTTAACTTTGTCAATTGCGGTATCCAGCTGGAACTTTTTTGATCCTCTCCAGAAACGAACCGATCAATCAGGAGAAGGCCTCCCATGAGAAATAACACAAAACCCGACTGCAAACGCATTGTTCACTCTTCAAATTCCGAATCGAAACTGCAACACATTCCCCAGCATTGCTTGACTTTTTATGGGTTTCTTTGGCCACCGATTGGAAAGCGATCTCGTCTAGTGCACCCGGTCATTAGGGCAGATGTGGAAACCTCTTGGCCCTCTTCAATCACTAACGGTTTGCCTTAGCCATGGTCATGTCATGGTCGGTGGCCACCTTCCGATCAGGAGGCGGTTCCTGCACTTGTTGACTTCGAAAACGAGTCTGACAATGGCCAACCTAGAAAACCAATTGGATTGGGGCTGCGCCTCGAATTAACTTGTCAACATCGATTTGCAGATGCTACCATTCTAATCAGATGCGTATTGACCATGTTAGTGGCAGTTGGCCACGCATTAATCGCTCGATTGAATGGGCAACTGGCTTTCATGGGGCGGACACCGACAACAGTGGGTCATTTTAAATCGGACTAGGTAACTAGGGAGCTGAGTTTGAAAGTTATGCGTCCATTTTAATAAGAAAACCTAGATCGTTTACCAGAAAAATGAAAACATTAAAATGAATTTGTTTCAAACATGAGTTTTTATTTGTTATTTCTTTATTAGCTAAGAGGTCATTCATTGCATTTCCTTTGCTTGATAATTGTTTTGAACAAATTCGCACTAAGATTAAAATATTTACGCTTTGATAGTTCCATTGAGTGCAAAAGTTGACGTTCAGTGATTGGTTGTTGCTCTAGACATTAAACTAGTTAACAAAGTTTACAAAAACAGTTCTACACTTTCCTAAATAGATTTTCATCAGCCCCCGTCTCACGTAAAATCGCTACTATATATCCCCTAGGTTTTACAATTTTCATATTTATGTTTTTGAATTTTTTTTTGTGAGTGTGTGGTAAAAACAGTTGCTCAGAGCCAGGTTTCCGGTTGATTTTCAGATACATTAGTTCGATCGCTTCTATGCTTTTTGTCCCTGATCCTCGTTAGAAATATCCTCAGTGCTTCAGTGTATTTGTGTAAACGCGTCCTAGCAAAAAATAGATCTTTTCTCTCCAAGAGGCCCCCAATCCCGCCGATCGACCACTTTGCATTCACATGTTGACTATGTGGTGCTGGGCAGGCGGTGGCGCCAGTACAATCAGGATCCCGTGGCCGTTGGGGGCGTGGCTACTCCCCGCCCGAATCGCGGAAGGTACAGGCCGAACTTGGACTCGACTCCGGCCAGAAGAGGAACTGCTGCCCTGTAGCCGCCGATGTGATCGACCTTTTCGGTGCTAACCTTCTCTGCCGCCTTCTCCAGTGGCGTGGTGACCTTGTGACCCTCCGATCCCTTTGGCTGAGTGCCGCCAAAGTCCACGTAGAAGAGTCGCTGCAGCAGCTCATATGTCACCAGGGTCACTCCAAACTGAGGCGATGAGCGGAAGACACGGGCTGGAAAAATACAATATATTATATATTAAAATCATATTCGAAGGCTATATGAACTCGCAGCTTACCGGCTGTGCCCTTCCAGAAGGCACGTGGTCCCTCCTCCGCCATAATCTTCTTGGTGGCATCCCAGACTCCCGTATACGTTGTTTGGCCGCTGCGGGCCACCACCTGAAGGCGTGTCTTAATGACGTCGGCGGGTGTGACGAGCGAGGCAGCAGGAACACCAGCAATGGCACCGGCGGCCAGAAGGGTAAGCGGGTGATTGTACCCATCCTTGTCGGCCATCATGGCCTTGGTGTGAGCATAGGTCGGGAAGTAGATGGCCGAGAACGGCACATCGCGCAGAAGGCAGGCCCTGGCTCCCTTGTAGAGACCGAAGAGTCCCAGCTCCCGCACCACAGACCAGGCGCGAATCTTCGACCCACTGGCAATCTCACCCGCCACCTGCAGCCGAATCTTAACGATCTCCAAGGGGTTGGTGAACACCACCTGTGACGCACCTGCACAACCACCCGCCAGCACCTCCGCCCATGTGGCAATGTTGCCCTTCTTATCGGTCAGCTTGTCTCTGACCAAGTCGTTAACCGTCAGTTTGATGGCCTTTTCCGGTGCCACGCCCATCAGCTGGGGCAGCAAGCCTCTGTACAGACCCAGGGCGCCCTCGTGACGGATTACCTAAAGGGGCGGTTCAGGAAATAATTATTATTTAAATTTTTTAATCAGAAATGATAAGCAAAACAGTTGATAAGAAGTAGAATTGATAATACATATTAGAATTGCATAACAAAGTTTAAAATGATAAGGTAATAACTAGCTTTACAATTATAATAATATCTTTCCAAAAATATTCTTTGAAATAAAGAGTTATTCTTAAGTTGCGTAACAATAATGATAAGATAGTAACTATGTATGCTAAGAAATTATGCAAAATCATTCCTATTTAATCTATAAAACTGAAGTGACTAAAATGTTACTCATCTAATAGTTACCTTCTTGAAACAATCCCATGAGTTCCTGTAGGCCACTTCACCAATATACGAGCCCGCTCTCTGATTTTGCATGCGAGTCTTCACCAAATCAATGGGATACACGACCGTAGCACCGACAGCTAAGTATAAATAATTTAAAAATAAATATGTATATATCAGGAATACCTATTCAGAAATACAAAGTTACCGCCAGCAAAGGATCCAAGAGTGAAACGATAAGAGCTCTCCAACACCTGAATAAAAGCAGATCGATCGGCAGGACTCTCCACAGCCTTAATTTCTGTGAGGCGGTGTGTGATATGCTTCGAGTAGTGCTCTGGAGCAATGCTGTTCAGGTCGCTGAAGTCAATACGGCTGTGGATTCCATTAAAAGATCATAATTAGCTAATCAATAATTTAAAGATAATTATTTGAAAAAGGGTAACTAAGATACAGCAACAGGGTTAAGTTTGGGTGGGGTTTTTTGGGGCTTGGAACTACAAACAATTAAAAATGCGAAACTCAGGCTGGGAAAGGACGACATCACTTGCCTACTAGGAGTAATCTTTCTCCGGCGCTTCCACCAGCTGACAGTGGGAAGAATTTAAGTGAGAATTGCGAGTGCAGCGGAGAGAAAAGGAGAAACACGAAGAGAAAAGATACAAACAATGAACGGTTAGACAAAACACGACCAACACTTAACTGGGCTATTCCCAGGCGTATAATCCCATTCTAAAAGACACTCATGCACTCAAGGCGGACAGTTTTAGCTTCTCAGACGGACCTCTAAAGTGTTGCCAACTTAGTTATTAAATTGGTCTATAACTGGCATTTGTTAGTACTTAAGATTTATTTACATACTTTTCCAAGTGGAGAAAAAAGTTCTAGAGTCTGGAATACAATTAAAAATGTTTGCTTTAAGCTTAACTGTTTTAAAAACAATAATTAAAGGCTCATTAAAAAATGTCTTTTTGTAGTATTTAGGGCTTTAAAAATGATTTATTTTGTGTTTATTAAGAGGCATGAAACTATTTTATCTTCAAAATTGAAAAACTAATAATATAAGCTAGAGCTATCACATAATATTTCAAAAGAACTCATTAATGTATGTACATACGAACAATACAATAGAATATTAAAAAATTAACCAAAAAAAATCCGTTTAAGGAAATATAGCTAATAAAAAATTATCTACTTTAGGCAAACCAAAGTTGGCAACACCCAAAACCCCCGGGCTTTAATGGAGGTCTACTTACCCCGCTTGGTGAACAGCGCCGGCCAAATGGAACAGGATGTCCACCTCAAGAGGAGTGATCTGGCTTAAGGGCTGGGCGGCCTGCAGGATTTGATCCTTGGTAACCATGTCAGTGCGGCTTCCTTGAGTGGCTTGCAGGTAAACCTGCTTGATCAGTTCCATGTTGTTCAGCAGCGAGGTAAATGCCATGAAATACGGGAAGCTCACTTTGTGGCCCTCAGTAACCTTTAATAAAATAGTACGATTATTATGGGAGACTACGAAAAATCTACTAATTCAGTACCGATACAAGGTTGTCCTTGACGTTGGGCGTCAGTAAATGCCGCTTGACCTTAACAATTATGTCCTGGAAGTCCAAGGGGGATATGAATCCAGTGCCAGCTGGATCCTTGGTGCGGAAGGCCTCCATTGCATGTTCCTCGTGGAAGTCGTGCAGCAGTTGCGTAAACTCAGCATAGTTGATAAGGCGTTGTTTCTTCTACGGATCATTAAAGATTTAAAGATTAGACTTTGTATACAATTTTGTAACCTTTCCGTTTACTTACATCACCAAAGTATCTTTTAATAAAAGGTCCATCTAAGCTAAAAGGTATCTTTGAGTGCAGTTCGGTTTTTTGTACGACATCAGCAAAGTCAGCTGTAAATATTCGGATATATTCGTTATATAAATTCGAATAGTTATATTTTTGAATAACTAACCATAAGAGACGGTGCCATTTCCCTGACGGTCAAACAGCTGGAAGGCGGTCCTGTAAAGGGCATCGGGAGTGCACAGTAGACCCTCGAAGGCCTGGAATTCCGAGAACGAGATGAGTCCATCCTTGCTCGTATCGGCAATGCCGGCAAAGAGGCGCACCGATTCCTGTCCAGAAAATACAAAATATGGTACGTTTGGAAATAGGTTGAAGAGCATAAATGTTGTTTGTTTTTGGATGAGTCTATTACACAGAGTATTGGTAGAAAAGGCAAGGATGTACTGATTCATAATATATAGTTATTAATATTTTACCAGTGAAAGGTTAATCAGCGTTTATTGGACATTAGACCGGTAGTGGCTATTTAATTGACGAGATAAACAAAGGCCAATAAAAGAAACTGCCCCCACAGACTTCGACACCTGATTGAATCAGTGTTGATTTTGGGGGCACCTACCGATCAGGTTCAGTTCTCTATGTAGTTCTCAGACCATAAAAAACTGATAAGGGGACCGATTAATTTTAGAATGTGTGACGTTGGCATCAGGCACGAGGCAGTCAAGTGATTCCCAGCCAGTTAGCTCAAATACTAATGAGTTTGCGGGTGGGTCAAGGTCAGTCGCGAATGACTATTTCCTTTTTATTTCGGCGGGGATTTATGTACGTGATGTAGTCGGTGGGTGGTAGTTATCTAGTGATAAGATAGCGCTCTTATCGGCCAGACTATGTTGAATAACCTTGCAATGACCCGGTTGCATTGGCTGACTTCGAACTTACGTCATTAAATGCAGATTCCGTGAAGAGTCCCAGGAAATTGCGCACGAAGTCCTCGCTGGTCATAAAGTGTTCGCCATTCTTCTGGATTGAGGCGTACTTTTGGAACACCTCTCGCAGCTTTTCCGTACTGGCGCGCTTCAGAAGCGACGGAGTCTGTGAAAATAAACCAAAGAGAATGTGAGTTTGAGGGTTAAAACCAAGCAAAATAATTACAAAGCTCTCTTTTATGTTGTCTACCGACTCTCCCTGGCGAAATCAACACGTGTCAGCCACTCAAAACAGTGGGGTCTTAGACTTACATTAATTGTGTTCTTGCTTAGAGGCATTCCTGCACTGTCTTTTTGCACTTTCTACTATTTTACTGTTGTTTCCGCGAGCTGATGGGGCATTTAATTAGCTCATCAATGCAAAAAACCGATCTAATCCACGCCAAACCGAATAGCTCCCACCGCTCAACGCGTCTGTTGCTCGATTGCCAGTGGAGCTGGTGGAGAACCACCACCACCGCCACTTGTAGTGCCAGTGAGAGCTATGTAGCTCTCTTGTAGTGGCGGTAGAACTGAGAAGGTTCTCTCTCCCCACATACATAATACCTACAGTCAAGAACACAAATATAAAACCGGTAATAGGTTCAACAATTTGTTAAATGAATTAAACAACTTGTAGTGTATACAACAAAGAGTGTAATTTTTGTAAAAGGTGTTTGAGTTGGAGCTTTAATATAAATTTATAATTTAATACATATAAAAAATAATTATAGCAACCACTATATCCTCTTGAATCATATAGTAGATGCTCTTCTAATGACTAATTTCTCTCTTTGGTCAGTCAGTATTTTGATTTATTCAATTCCCCAATCAACTGTGTAATCAAAACAAGTTGAATTTGTAATCAAAAATAATCTCACTATGTTGAGAATGTGTTTTATATTAATTTTTAAAAAATATTAAAAGAACTCCGTTTATTCTTTTTAACGGTTAAAAAAGAATAATTCTTGAAAATTACTTTTAAATTTTCCATTAAAATTACTCATTACTAATATTTAAAATATGACTTACAGGTCTTACGTTTAATGACACACTTTAGGAGATAAGATTGTTCATGACATCAGTTACAACGACATCAACAAGCGTTAAATACCACAAAGTTGTAATCTTTAGACCTACTTTTTATCAGTTAAATCCATCGCATCTCAGGTATTCCTAAAGTGTATTAAATAACAGTCACACCCTTTTGTTTACTTGCAATCTATAAAGGTCAGCCAGTTCAACTTCGGCGACAATAAACTCGATTCGGTTCGTTCGTTTATCAATTGTTTTTGTTATTGACGTAATGCGATTAGCTTGCATTAAAATTGTAATTTCCCCAGACCACTCTTTAGTCTTCTGGTTGCTGGGGGCTTTATACCTACAATGCCCCAGTCAGATGTTGATTATTTTTGCCAGCAAATGGCAAAAACAAAAACAGATTTCATTACGACAGCAGCGAAGCACGAAAACAATTTGGAGTCCCCAGCCTCGAAATATTCGAAATATAATTATGTTCTCTTCCAACCCGCTTGTTGTTATTTGATTGATATAGCACCCTATAAAAACGAAACCCTTTTACCCTTTTCTCTGGCTGCCGTATTTTTGTATCGGCTAAAAAAGTTATAGTTTTACTTTAAAAATCTTTTAAAAATGTCTCAATGCCAATTGAGTTTTAATAAACTTATTTATTTTATATTTTTTCTTTAGCAGGATCGACTACTTTTCAATCGATTGACAGAGGTAATAAACCAATTCATTTTCCGCACAATTTGCGTTGCCATCAAAAATTCAGCAGTGAAAATACAAAAATTGAATTGCTCGCTTGATGAAGATATATGTATAATTTATATTGGTTTTTGAGTGTGGATCTGGTTGCTGCATTTTAAAGTAATAATTCCCCCGTCTACTAATGAAAATGCATGGGTTATTTCCGTATAAAAGTCATTTTATATTTAAATTAATTCGAGCTGTATTAAAGGGTCACAAGAGGACACAAGTGGAACTCTGAATACTCACATTAAATTATGAATACTTTTATGCCAATAGTGGTATTCAAATACAACTTTTTTGTTAAAGAAAGAACATTAGTTAATGGACTGTGTAGGCATCGAATTACTTTCTTTACTTATATTTCTGTAACCACTCAAATTCAATATTGATGGAGTCGCTGGGCATGAAAGCTTATCCAAACAAATACAAGGAAGTTCCACTATTGGCAGTGCCATGTGAACTTGAAATCCCCAAATGAACTGTATTACATATTCATGCACACTAGAAACAAACTAGTTTTTTTCCTTGCTATTTTTTACACTCCCATTTTTATTTGAAAGAAAAATATTACACATACGACCCGTGTGACGGCAGACAGAAGCAACTTGTTTGCTTGTTTGCTCGGGTTTTATGTCTTTGTGTTTTTGTTTGGCTTGTTTTCGCTTTCTTTCCCCTCTTCCATTCTTGTCCCTCCACTTTCCCTCTTGACTTTTGCTTTGTTGCATTTGCATAATGAGTTCTTCTTGGCCATGGTCGCCGGCCCTGCCTTGCTCCAGTCAAAGGTTACAGAGACAGGTGGTAGTTCCCCCGCTGGTCCTGCCCTCGGCCTGCAGCGAGTGGCACGTGCTTGTCACTGTAACTGTATCTTTGTATTTGTATCTGTGTTTCTGTGAGGACAGTGCAAATATCTGATTTATTTCATGTGAAATTCTAATCAATTGTAGTTGGTTCAAAAACTTTAGAAATAAAATCGAATGAGCTATTAAGCCATAGGACTCATAGGAAATTATATTTCATTTTGCAAAAAAAAATGTAATATTTTGAAAACTTAAAGCATAAAATTTAAATCAAATGGATTTATTCTGGTGAAGTATATTCATAGTTCTCTCAATTTCGTAAAATTCCAGCTTAATAAAAGAAGGGAACACTTTTTTATAAACAGATTAGACAAATTGTATAAACTAGACCACAAAAAAACTTACTTTATGACTCTCCCAGACCTATTAAGTAATTATTAATTTTCTATAATTTCTCTCTGTGTTAGAGCCATGGAAATTTGTTGCGCGAGCGGCAAAGTTTTGTTTTTGTTTGCAATTTCAGGCAAGGTCAACCCGGCTGTTCATTATCGCTGTGGTTGACGTTCCGGGAGCGGTTTCGGTTAGTTCTTTCACCCCCACTTTGCCAACTGAAGTCATACAGGAATTTTGAAGGCCTGGAAGCACCAGAAATTCCCACAAACTAATTTATAATGAAATCTTATGAAAACGCGGAGAAATAACGTTGTACTGCAACTGTAAACATTTTAATGGAGGAAAATGTGTGAAAAAGGCGGGGTGTGCTGGGAATTAGCTACAGCTGCACGGCTGTCGGATTACGTATACGCCGGGCGAGCCATGGGACCCCAGTCAGCTGGCTAATTGACGACATGAACTTGAGAGAAATAGAATCTAAATCCGAAATAAAGAGAATAAACATATAAGAACACGTATGTATGTACGTATATGGATGTGGGGACTGGAAAGATCAAAACTGCAACCGGAGAATCTGAGAAACAGAGAAACTCTGAGGCTTGAGATAGCGGTGACTTTTCCAAAGTCGTGAGCAGCGACAAATCCGACGGATTGAAGGTGATTCTGTTCCGTTCTGTCATCACTGAATCACTGGACGATGCTATGAAAGCTTTTTTTGCTTGGAATGAAACTGTTTTATTTTTTATATAATTATCTATTCTGAGAGCTTTTGAGATATTAAATATTTATCTTTCGACTATTTCGTAATGTTCTCTATCGCATCTGATGCCTGGCTTTATTGATATTAATTAGTCTAGACACTTCCTCAATCGGTCACATATCAGTCAAAGACTTAATTAGCTTCCTGGATGACCGTTACCTCTTCTTGGATATACATGCTATCCACTAATTTGTATGAACACAATCGGTTAGATTCCTTTTATGGCCGCGAACTTTAGACACTTTCGCGTTATCTCGAGATAAAACCGTTTAACTTAAAAAACCGTTTTTTAAATAAATCTCAAATTTTTAATAAATAATTTGTTTCGTTCGTTTCTTTTAAAGGAAATGGAATTCCACTAGCCCGTATCTTAATGCCTCTGCTGGGGAGCGCGCGTTTCGCGATTTTCTCGGTCTGTCATCCGCTGGCGGCGCGCTGCTTTTCCATTCTGAACTGCGATTCCCGTTCGACCATTTGCACAGAGCTTTCCCGCTTTCAGTAATTGAGCGAAAATACACCCACAGAGCCAGAGCGAGAGAGAAAGTGACTGAGAAAATAGAGCCGCTGGCGATTGCATTTCAGATTCATAATAAATTTGATTCACAATTCAGTTTGTTATTGTTTTGGGCCCGGGGCGTGTTCGTTTTGTTGGCACTGCAACTGAACAATTAACAATAACAAGCCCGAGAAAAGAAAAGAACCCCTCCACGAGGTGCCTTATCAAGGTGGTGTGATGTCGAGAACAGTCACACTTTCCTAATCCTCCCAGCAAATTTGATGATAGTATGTCAGTGTGATCCAAAACTGCAATGTGTTCACGGAAGTAATTTCAGTGCGATTTCTGTCTCAAGGTGGGAGTACACAGCAAACACATATGGTGGCATCATTAGCTATTTATTCTTATATTATATTTGTTTAACAATTATACTATCGTGAATATTTTCATATTCCAGATGCCTTAAAATTATACTAAGCGTTAAAGTTTAAATTGAAATGAAATAAAATTTCATTTTAATTGATGCCATTTATTTGCGTCCGTCTGTAAATTCATATGCACGGCCGGCAAGGTCACAATTTTCGTGCGTGCCAAGTGGTTGGCGCTTTTTCTACAACGAAAATTTATTAAATGCAGAGGCATTCATTCACAGCTGCTTGGGTCTCTGTTTACAATGTAAACACGTGCAAGAGAATAATGCTTGACTAAAGAGAAGAGCTAAAGAAAAAACAAGATAGAGAACATATCGAGGGGAGAAAAAAGCGGAAACGTTGCGTATACGCATCGTTGCCCAGCTGCGAAGAGCACGTGAATGAAGCATGCTTGGGTTGAGTGTAAAAATAGCCAGGCGTTTGGTTCTTATTATATTATAGTCATATTTCGGGCCGCCCTGCTCTGAGGAATTTTAACAAGGTCGCGCCATCCTTCAAATTACCGGGCGGAGGGGGCTGGGTGGGAGTTTGTTTAATAAAATGAACAATTACGAGCACCAATCATGAGCAATGTCTGCACGAACCGACAGACTTTGTCATGAAGGTTGCCCAAATGTCAGCTTAGCTCCCTCCTCCCCCGCGAAGAATGTGGGCGTCCTTTTTGTAAAGCAGCAGTCACGAACATAAACGCAGCCCAGTAACCTTCATTTCCGCATTGTCGTTTAACAACACTACTCTTTAGTGGAATGATAGATGATGGCTGCCGGAAGCAATGGCTGCTCTTATCAATTTATATCTGTCCATCGCGTTTTCCTTGTTCAATTTGCTTGAGGGTCCTTCGATATCAGGCTTTAGCTCTTTTATACATTTTCTCATTTTACTGCCTTCTTCAGACTTAAAGTGGATAATCCTGTTTATTCCAAGCAAACGTTTTCCTGACACTGAAGGTAATTGCACTTGAGACTTACCGCCTTGATTAAATTTAAAATTGCGTGCGGCGCTCATGTTTGTGGAATAAGAACGCCATTCCATTCAAATGATTTTCAAAGGATACGCTTATACGGATTTTCATCCATATTATTATTTAAATTTGTAATTATATATACATATATAAAAAACTTTAAAATTCCGTAATGATTTAGTCTTCCTATAGCAAGAGTATTAACTAATTCACCCACCAACTGTTTTAGCTTGATTGTATTTATTTGCTAGCCGGCATGTTTGCGCCTCTCCGTGCTTTTCCTGCCGCACTTATTTTTAGATCCAAGCACCAAAGCACCCGCTTTGAACACAAAGCGGGTGCCCCGCAGGGTCAGGTGGCTGCCACCCAGGGTGGGGGTGGGCAGAGATAATTAAACCGTAAACTGGCGCCCACTTGATGCAGAAGGGTAGCTTTGGCTGGGTGGTGGCGGCATGTACAATGGCTAAGCTTCGCAAAGTGCACTTACTTCTTGACATCGGGCGACTGGCAGAACGGGTATCCAATTAACCGGATACGGGATGTGCATTGGCATTATCAGCGGCTCTCCGGGTGGGCGTTGTTTTGTTATGGCGGTGGTGGGCGGGGCAGGCGCTGACTTTTGGCGCTAGAAATGCACTTTTCCCTCCTCAAATATTCAAGTTCAGCTAGGAATCAACCAGGAGGCGAGGGATGATTTTCAATGGGCAGTTCTTTTATCGATTTTACGCACAATATGGCCTTTATCCTGCAGCAAATAAATTTACGTGACCAGTGATTTTTTATTCGATTCTAAATCGCCATCAGGATCCTGTTCAAAAATATACACCCAGCACTGAATGCAACGCAGCTGGAGGGTCGGTTGTTGCACTGGGAGTCGTCGAGAACAGGACCAACTGTGCCACACAAGAAAACGCGCTAAACTGTGCGACATTGTGGCAATAACAAGGGTTAACAGAGTCTTTGGGGGTTGAAAAGTTTAAGGGGGTACCATACTCAAATCGTTCACGATTTCATACATTTTTTTAAATGAAAGATATAAGACACATTTTCTGAAATTAATATGCAGTTTTCAAGAAATTCAAATGATTTATTCAAAATAATAAAATAACAAAAAACTTAGTATCTGTATGTTTATTATTGGTAAAAATTGTATATGAAAACGGGAGAGTTTTTTTAGAACAAAAGGTTTTAAATATTATAAGCTTGCAAGATATTTTACAAATATATATTTTAAGAAAATTTGTATAAAGTTATCGGTAAAAATTCATTTTTTATAATATCAAAATACTATAATATAAGTAATATATGTAAAAATACATACATAATATAATGTTTAAATTTATATTCGAAATATTAAGTGACGGGTTTATAAAAAACAATTTGTTTTCAACATATTACAGTTGCTTCCCCCTTAATGACAATAGGGAAATGTTAACTTAGGGAAATTTCATTAATATTACAAAAATATAAAAAATATTTATTATGTATATTTTTTTAATATTAAATTAAATTTTATTTAATTTTTTTATAATATTTCTACTAAAGACTATTAAAGGGAAATTTTCAAGGGCCTAACATTTCAAGATATTTTTACTTTGGTCACTCTTCTGCCAAATAATTCTACCGCGAATATTTAAACGGCCACACATAGTTTTTTATTTCTCAAACATCTTACGGCTTTCATAATATTTATGCTATGAAATACAAAACAGAAACAAAGAACTTAACTTAAAATTAGTAATAATTTATTACTTTTGAAAAACTATCCTAGAATATAATATTTTCTCAACGTTGCTGTAATTCGGTGTAATTTTATTACACGGTAAAATATTACTTTTGAAAAACTTTTTTAGATTATAATAATTTCTCAACGTTGCTGAGATTCGGTGGTCTTTTTTTGTAATATTTTATTAAAAGAAGCCTGTGGTGGCCGTTCCGAATAATATTATACCACATCCCCTTTAAAATTTTGTATAAAATATTTTATGAAAGACGATCACTTCGAATTCGTTAACATTCTCCCCAAAGAAGATAATAAAAATACATTAGGAAGTTAGTCATAAATATTTATTCAGTTTAGTAGGTAAGCTTGCACAGTTCAATAATAGCATTTTTATGATGATTCGTCTTTAAACAACAGGTTATTGCAAGTAGTAAGCCATAGAAGGATGCGCTTTCTTTGGATAATTCTGAATAGTTTTCCTCTGTAAGCTGGATGGGTGTGTGAATGGTTTTGGGCGTGCAAGTGTTTGAGTGTTTGTGTCTAAAATATTAAATATATATATGTTTAAAGATATTAACCAAAGCAACGATAAGCCACAATCGAAAATCACATTAGGTTCTTAAGTGACAGAATGCAACGAACGGAAAATCCCGAAACGCAATAATAAATAACAACAAATGGCGCCGAGTGCTGAAAAGTGATGTGTGAGACGATCCGTGGATCAACTGCTTGCAAAAATACATTTCTATCTCTGTATGCCGAAAATATGTACTTTTTCTATCTTTGTATATCTCTGTAATTTCCATGGATAATCACTGTTTGACACCCGAAAATGGAGCGATTGCTGGATCCAGTTTTTTTCGCGACTAGCTGCGCAAATCAATGACCTTTATTTTGGCCTGGCCGTCCATCCGGATGTGCTGGGCCTCCATAAAAAGTGGCGGGTCATTCGGATGCGGATGAAAGCCAGTCTGCCGACACTGGGCTATAAAATCCAGTCCGTAATGCGGCGTTAGTATAAAGAAACCAGTACTAAGAAAATAATTATACGTAAATATATTAGAGAGCTATAGATTTACAAGTGACTCACGTGTTGTACTTGGGCGCACAAACAATGGCCAAAGCCTCGGGCATCATCATCTGGTAGGAACAGTGCGTATGCAAGTCAACGGAGGACAGAAACGCAGTCTGGCTGGGATGTGTCTGTAAATTAAGCCATTTTAATATCAAATGTAACTTTTTGTTAGCCGGAGACTACTAACATGTATCCAGCCTAGGGTAATTAGCTGCATCTGGTCCTGGACATCAAAGATCTGCTCTTCGTGCATCGTGTTGCAGCTGTCCGGAGTGCCCTGCTGCTGCGGGATGATAATGTGTGTGATGTACAGCTGATTCTGCGACAGATTACCAGCCAGAACTCCGCACGTCTCGATGTTTTTCGAGGTGTTGGCGTGTGCCAGCTGCAAGAACACATCCATCGTATCCCCCGGCACATGGACGAGGCGTAGTGACCCCGCCAGAAGGGAGTCCGTGCGGTTATAAGCCGGCTTCTGGTTGCGATCAAAGCTGGGCTTGGAACTAAAAAAAAAAGCGTATTTGTTAGAGTGGTGTTGTACTACTTTGAACTAAAAGTGTCGACAGGTGTCATACGGCATGTTTAAAATAAATATTGGAAAATAAACACCAGAATGAACAATGTTTGTGTAAAATTTGGATACGCCTAAACTTATCAAAACTAATATAATCTCAATGTCAGGTCATACCCAGATTCGTCATTGGGGAAAACATAGTTTTTTTTTAATGCATAAACAATCTATCACTTTAAGGAAAGTATCAGTGCCTTATCAAGCCTAATCAAAATCGTATCGTTATAGCCGTCATAAAAACGATCGGTCGTAAAATAAACCCAACCGCTAAAAAGCTTATGTTTGTTGTGAAAATTCCAAACAAAAACCTTGCGGTTTCAAATGGCCCCATCGTTGCGCCTCATCAAATGACAAAATGAAAATAATTACAGGAATACCTAGACACTTCTGAGTTGGATAATCGAATACTTTAGGCTATTTCCAAACAAAAACTTACTTGGGTGTCTTATCGGCGACGGTGGCTTCGCTGGCAGCTGGTAATAGGAGACCAGAACCCGATCCCGGCAAGCTTCGATTGGCGCCCGTTGGAAAGTCGTTGGGATAGACCACCTTGTCGAGCAGGTCAAGATCCGGGGCTGAGGGCTGGTTGACCTCGTCAATGAGCACATGAAGGTTGGCTGGGATCAGCGAGGGTATAGTAGTGGCACTAGCTTGCTCCCTTTGTCGCTGTCGTTCCCGTTCCAGTTCCCGTACACGTTCCGCTTCCTTGCTCGCTAGGAACTGTTCGTATTCGCGTTGATAGTGTGCCTGCAGCTTGGTGCGCAGCTTCTCCGTCGTCGGCATAATTTCGTCCTTGATCTTTTTGCTGATGTCGCGCACCTCAGACTTGACAGAGGCATAGTCCGGATGTTGGCGAATCTTCTCAAGGAACAGTGTCATGTAGCGGAGGTAGAGGATGAAGGCGTTTTCATGGTTGCCCTCCCGTTGGTAGACTTTCGCCATGCGCAGCATCTCAGTGCCCGAGCGGTAGTAGCTGCAAGGACATTCGAAAAGGGTACGAGCATGAGAAAATCCTTGGCGGCAAGGTCGCCCACAAAATCGAAGGACTCACCGTGTCACAGGCATATTTTTGTCCACCTCGATGAGGGCTCCGCAGTGCGACAGGTGCTTCAACCTCTCCTGCGGCTCCACGACGCCCATGCTCATGTTGTTTACCGACTTTGACATGGTTTCACTTGCTCCGTATCTTCTACTCTGTTCCTGCAAATCTGCATCTGCCTCCTTCAACTCGCCGTTCCGTAGGTCTGTCTCCGCTTATTGTCTGCTCCGATGGCTTTGCATGGGCTGTCAGTTGCGAGATTCGCTATTTTGCAAGGTTCTGGCCAGAAGAATTATTACTCATAATTACGCAGGTGGCGTCCTCTGGAAAACAACACAACAACAATCGAAAATCGAACAGCTGTTGGCGTAAACAACTATCGAAAGAAGTCCACCCCTAAAAAAGGTGTCGTCTCTAAGAGGGCGCGGGCAATTTGAATGTGTAGTTTTGTGAAATGAAAAGCAATGTAGATTTTTCTAACAAAAAAATGTTACAATTCTATTATGTTAGAATTTTTAAAATATTTAATACGAAATAATTGAAAGAGCTTCAGTTAAAACTAATGGTCCCTAATCAAAAGACGCTAAATTTGAAGTCTAAAACAACGAATATATACGAATTTAATAAAAATTTGTAATAAATAAAATTCATACTATAAACCAAGTGTTTGGGTAACGAATTGAACTGTATTGTTTTCGTGTAAAAAAAATTTATATTTAAAGCAATATTTCGTTATTAAAGCAATAAAGCAATGTTATTTTTTGTAACATTATTTCCTGGTTTTATTTTTACTGCACGTGTCGTTTTTTGTCTGTTCAGTACGCTCGTGCACTTAAGTTTTTAAGGTATGTATGTAAAATACAGAAAAAAATAAGTTTATTCAGGACAGCCCTATAACGAGAACAATCAAGGTGCCATAGAAAATATAAAAGAAGAAACCATTAGCTAAAATATAAAACATTATCTCTTAGGAAAAGAAATAAAAAAAAAAACCGTTTACAAACAAATGACCTTTTTATATGACCAGCTTATATATATACCCAAAAGCGAAATAAAAGCCTTTTAATAATGCGTTGCAAATTTAAATTTGTGAAAAGTATAACAATAATTCTTCCTATCAATTGCACGTAACCTAATCCGTATCTCGGCAAATAAAACACGGTTAATCTTGGTAGTACACTTAATAACACAGCGATAGTTGGTAATAATCAAAGTGGCTATTTAAAAGACCCCTTGGCGGATCGATTGTGGAAATCTTTTGCCCGTTCATTCAGTAGCAGCGCGTGGTCTGAACGAAAAGGAAGCCATTGCGACTCCTCCTGGCCAGCCGGGCATCTGTTTCTCTGGGGTAAGTCAAATATCAGGCAATTAGCAGTTTAAATATTGGCGATCCAAAAGTGCGAATATCTGTTGTTTGCGGGGGTCAAAGTGCACACTTGTTTACCCAAGGGTATTAGCACTAAGTGGCCCAATCTAACGCCACTGATCTGCGGAAACTAACGAAGCGATATGATAAGTTATCGCCGGATTATTTAAGGCATGCAGATCGGGCAAAACCTAGATACAGTGCAGGTGGCAATATTGGACAGAGTCAAGAGCTCAATGAGTTATTAAAATTAGATAGTTATCATTTTTGAATTGACGTTTAAAATTGTAGAAATGAAAGAAAATTTCTCCCTGTTTAAGCCCATTGTTTAGGGCTTGTAAGCTTGTTAAACATAGTAAATTTTTTGCTAAAATTTGTAAGCTAAGTGGTCTTCAGAGATTGAAAAACCATGATTGACCGCTTGGGAAAGTGACCAACTGAGGGATTGATTGCACGTACGCCCGCAACTAGCCAAAAAAAAAGAGAATAAATAAAAGCCGAAAACCAAAAAACCCATTCACAGATGTAGACGCCGAAAAGCGAACAAAAATAAATGCGATAAAAGAGAGGGAACTGAGCTCGGATTGAGCCGCGGATTGAGTTTGGCTTCCAGCTCGATCAGTTTTCAGTCGAGTGCCAGCTTGGGCGCAAAGCGGGCGACAATCCCACGGATCTCGGTTTTGGGTTCGGTTGAGATAGTTTCGTTTTGAATGGTTTCATTTGTGTTTTTTGTCGGGGCGGGGGAAGCAAAGTGTCGCCTTCGTGGAAAGATAAATAAATAAATACAGAAAAGACACAAACAGAGTAGTGCCCAGCATGTTTTGAAATCAGTTTTCGGCATCGACAAGCCCCGAATCGCAACTGCAAATGCAGCACATTGCCGGGCAGTTAATTACATCGAATTAACTTTAATTTGGCGTGTGATAAGCTCGCTATAATTAAACCGCTACACCGCGTTAAAACTCAATTTAGACCAGCTCGGAGTTTGGCTTTGAGCAGATGAACTGGCGAGTGAACAAGTTGGCCGTTGTCAAGGAGCTGCCTTATTGCATAACCCCCAAAAAACAAGTCCAAGCATCCCTAAATCAGTGCAAGTGACCTCAACGAAGAGATACCCACGTATAGCGTATATTACCTCTGTATGGACCGCATTAAGTGCGAAGCGTATAAAAGGCTCATCAACCGAAATCTTCTGTAATTTGCTCAATTGGCGCGTTGTCCGGCGATCAGCGTTTGGCGGCCTGTATCCAAGAGATACTTTTGCAGTATCTCTACCTAGCAGCGTGTAAGTGTGTGTTACATTTTCGAGCCTCTAGGCGATTGCAAAAGTATCTGAAGACCTGAAACTGAAACCCCGCATCGAAATCCGCACAAAATTTACGTGTTTACACAGCCATTTGTATCGGTATCTGTATCTTTTGCGATGGCCCTGCAGCAGATGGTTTGGCCGCATAAATGTTATAGCTTTTTAGTTTTTTTTTACCGCCTGTCCGATGCCCGATCCGAGCATATTTATTTAATTTTCGTTTTCAATGTCAGCTCGCTGTTGTGTGTAAATTATGCAAAGTGTGTGGTCAGGGGGTCTTTTGGGGGAGCAAGGAATCACAAGCTGCTTTACATGCACGACACTCGCCCACTCGATTTCCAATTTAACGCCTTTTTTAGGGAAACCAGAGAGTTCTAGGCGAAGCTCCAGTCTGCATACAAAAGAAGTCGATTCATCACTTCGCTTCGAAAAAAAGACAAGGGAAGTTAGTTGATACAAAGGAAGGAAGGCGTTGTTTATGGGGGTGTATGGAAAACCCCACTGGTATTGGCTTTCAAGAGATACAATGGATGTGGCTATGATAGCTTCTGAAATTTCCATTAGACTAGTACATGAATGGAATACCTAAAATTTGGATCTTTTTATTAATTTCTTCCTTATTATTTGGATTTAAATACTTACTACTTTTATGACCGCTACTGTATGATGGCCTATAAGCCACTGAAGAAGCCGCTTTGTGTTTCGCAACTGATAAAAACCGGTTCCGGAGACAGTCTGATAAGAGATCCCCCGGCTGCGGGTCGGCTGTTTGCTTTTGACATTATTGTTATTATTATTATTGTTATTGTTACTCGGCTTGATGTTGTTGCTGCTATTGTCGCTGGCTCGTTGTCAATAAGTCTGCTGGAGGTCACACCCCACCCAACGTTGATCCCATTCGAGCGATTGCCAACTGCAAGCGGGAGGGGGGAATTTGCATTTGTCCGCTGTGGCCAATTAATAGATGATGGCCAAGTGGATCCAGCTGTCCAGTTGTCATTTCGAATCGATTGCTTTCGTCAGATATTTGCAATCTACGCTTCGATTGCCAAATACGAATGAGGGATTGCTGATTTCTGAGACTTTGAATAAATGAAAAGATTTCACAAATACGTTGCCATTGTTCAGAACTGGGGGGAATCCTATAAAAGATTAATTTTCAAAATCAATCTGTATTAAGTTTTTATAAAACAACTGGACGTTTAAGCACTTTAATAAACGTGAGAAATATTGTCAAATTATGTTAAGCAGGTTTATTATCACCATTTAAAATTCAGTTTTAATTTATTCATTATTTTACGGTATTTTTGAAAATAGACAGACACTAGAGGAATGATTATAAAATCTATAACAATTTACTTAATATTGTTAATTGTTCAAAATTCATGTCAAAGATAATGGTTGTTTAATTGAGTTTCTAAAACATGATCTATTAATCTGAACCATGTCATTAGAAATAAGTGGCTAGTTTATGGTTGGGCAAACATGATCATTTTTTATAAATTATTTAACTAATGCTAGATATTTTATAATTTAAAATTGTTTTCTTCTTCCAGATTAAAGTTAACAGTTGAGCACCAAGATGGCGTTTAACAAGATTGTCTTCTTGGCTTTATTAGCCCTAAGTTCCATTTGTGGTTTGGCCTCTGCAACCTACAAAGTGGGCGTGGGCCGAGCTGACATCACAGGACCTTCTGTGGAAATTAATTTTGTGAGTTTATGACCTTACGCAATATCCATTATTGGCAAGTTACTTATAAACAAATTTCTTTATAAACAGATGGGCTATGCCAATATTAAACAAATTGGCCGGGGCATCCACACCCGAGTCTTCGCCCGAGCCTTTGTGGTGGAGGACGAGAACGGCAACCGAGTGGCCTTTGTGAGTGCCGACTGCGGCATGATGGGCTATGGCCTGAAGAGGGAGGTGGTGAAGCGTCTACAGGCACGTTATGGCAATATCTACACCACCGAGAATGTGGCCCTGAGTGGCACCCACACCCACGGTGCTCCTGGTGGATTCTTGATGCACTTGCTCTACGATATCTCCATTCTGGGCTTTGTTCCCCAAACCTTCGAGACAATGGCCCAGGGCTTGTACTTGGTGAGTTGGTGATTCTTGCTTTTTAGTATCTTTAAATTATACGTTTTTTTAACGCCCATTTAGAGCATCAAGAGAGCCACCGACAACCTGGTTAATGGTAGGATTTTCCTTTCCAAAACCACTGTCTTGAATGTAAACATCAACCGCTCACCCTCCTCCTATCTGAGAAATCCCGCCGAGGAGCGTGCTCAGTACGAGCACGATACGGATAAGACCCTGACCCAGTTGAAGTTTGTGGACTTGGATAACAATTTGCTGGGAGCATTTAACTGGTATGCCGTCCATGCCACCTCGATGAACAACACCAACAAACTGGTGACCAGCGACAACGTGGGATATGCTGCCCTCCTCCTTGAAAAGGAGTACAATCCGAACAAGATGCCTGGCAAGGGAAAGTTCGTAGGCTCCTTCTGCTCTTCCAACCTCGGGGATGTCTCGCCCAACATAATGGGTCCTAAGTGTTCTATTTCTGGCAATGAATGTGATCTGCTCAGCTCCCGTTGTCCTGCCGGTGAAGGAGATTGCTTCGCCTCCGGTCCCGGTAAGGATATGTTTGAGAGCACCCAGATCCTGGGTCAAAGGTTAGCCGATGCTGCTCTCCGTTTGCTGGCCGACAATAGTCAGGAGACGGAGACCAAGGCCCGCGAGGTCACTGGAGATGTTCGCTTCATTCATCAGTTCGTGGACATGCCCAACTACAATGGAAGTACCTACAATCCTTTGAGCCGGAAAATCGACAAGATCCGTGGATGTCAGCCCGCTATGGGTTACAGTTTTGCTGCTGGTACCACCGACGGACCAGGAGCCTTTAGTTTTGAACAGGGCACCACCACAGACAATGCCATGTGGAACTTCGTGAGGGATTTCATAGCCGCCCCAACCCAGGAGGATATCAAGTGCCATGAACCAAAGCCCATTCTTTTGGCCACTGGCAGGGTAAGTTTTGAATTAGGTTTGTTTTAAATAAAGGGGTTTTGTGTTATTTTCTTAATTATATCAGTTTTAAAAATTAAATTTTTCCATTTAAATGTTGTCCCTGAAATAAATAATAGCCCCACTTTCAACGTTCACCTCAAACTTTGACCCAAAAAATGCACTTGAATATTAAGGTTTCTAAGTTTTTGAAACTTTACTTTTTTATAAATTTAATGTTTACATTTTTTATGAGATATTTTAGTTTTGTTAGTTTTTATTATAAATCTTTACTATTTTTAAATTTCAGGCCACCTTCCCTTACGAGTGGCAGCCAAAAATTGTGTCCGATCAGTTGCTGAAAATAGGAGACGTTATCATTGCCGCAGTTCCCTGCGAGTTTACCACAATGGCCGGAAGACGTCTAAGAAATCAAATTCGCGCTGCTGCCGAAGCCATATCCGGTATCGAGCCCGAGGTGATCATCGCCGGACTGACCAACATCTACACGAGTTACACCGTCACCCCGGAGGAGTACCAGGCCCAGCGTTACGAAGCCGCATCCACCATCTTCGGACCACACACCCACTCCATCTACATGGATGTTTTTGAGCGATTGACCAAGGCGATGATGAAGAACGAGACCGTCGAGCCGGGTCCAAGTCCGCCTTACATGAACGATGTGATGTTGTCCCTGAACACTGGAGTCCTCTTCGACGGACATCCCATCAATACCGATTTCGGTTACGTCAAGTCGCAGCCTAACAAGGAGTACGGAATCAATGAAACCGTAAAGGTCACCTACATATCTGGAAATCCTCGCAACAACCTTTTCACCGAAAAAACATACTTCACTGTGGAGCGAAAAATTAATGAGGATCGCTGGAAGGTGGCCTACACGGATGCCAGCTGGGAAACGAGGTAACCAGGGTCTGGCAGCTCTTTTTTTAATCTTAGATACTGATTTTTATTTTAATTTCAGAATGATCTGGCACCGTACCAACACCATTCTAGGCTTCAGTGAGCTAGATATCTACTGGGACATTAGTCCGCAAACACTTCCTGGAGAGTACCGCATCCGGCATTCGGGAGAGTACAAGTACATCCTCGGCGGAAAGTATCCCTACGAGGGTCTGTCGCATTCCTTCACCGTGAAGGAGGATTAGGTGTAAATTAAGACAACCCCGATAGAGAGTTTGTCCCATTTAAATATTCCTGGCCAAAAATATTTTGGCCCATCAAAATGAAAATCCAACACTGATTCCATGTATTTATTTACCATTTGTAAGTGAGAGGAAAAGCTTTATTTTTGCAGATTGCGAATAAAAAAGATGCCAAATTTTGTTGAAACTAAGTTTGAAGTTGTTTTATTTAAAATGGGATAAGAAAGCCAAAAAAAAGTTTAAAACCCGAATCGCTTCTTGCGATATAATATTACTATTTAGATTGCACAGCCATATTTTATGTAAAGCTTATATTAGATCCATTTTTAAGGTTTGACAATATTAGATGGCATTCTCAATGGAATATTTAGTTGTATACCGAATTCAAATAACCCGCCATACTTTTTTGTACACAAAAAACAGCTGTTCGAATGCGATCCACAAAAGAGAGTGGAATGTATCTTTTCGATTGTGGAGTGTAGGTGTTTGACTCTCGCGTTCTCTCAGTATCTTTGAAATTTCCAGCTCCAAGAAACACAATCCAAAACAAAAACCAGAAAACACGCACTCTCAGATACTCTCTCGCTGTGGGCCTGGAAATGTATCTTTATCTACGAGTGGCCGAGGCGGCAACAACACCAGTTCCATTCGGTTTTGCTCAACGCGCGGACGCAGTGTTGTGGTTTTAAAGCTCGAAAAAGTCAAAACTAAAAACCAAACGAAATTCAAAAAGAAAATCGTGGGAGAGAAAGAAATCAGAATCAGGACCGAACAAAAATATCCCAAAGATACGCAAATCGTGGGTGCTAGTGCAATTCCTATTTATTTGGTTCCTAGGCTAAGAGTGCGAATGTATCTGTGAGATACGCAGTGCTGGCGTGCAATGCAATCGGGGTGTGTGGTTAGCTGTCCCTTACTTTGAGAGCCTGTAAACAAAGAACGTCTCAGGTGATTGGACCCGATATTCGTCACTCTTCAGCAACAAGTTCACAGGGTAAGTTGGGGCATCCGAGAGGTACTTTTTCTAGAAGAAACCAAGAACTACTGACGTGTTTCACAGCTTCCGTCTTGCACTGATAACACTGAAATAAAACACTGGGCCTTTGAATCGAATAGAAATGCCGGAAAGTGGGGCAACTAAATTGAATATTCGATTTTGATTAGAGAGAAATTCTCGGCGACGGGATGGGATTTTTTCCATACAACCCGGCGGGTCTGGTATGGGTATGCGAGCTTGTGTGTGTATGCACTTGTTGTCACCACATGGTCAGCTACTCAATTGACCGCTGAGCACGCCCCTTTCCCTGCGCCTCTCCACTAAACCTCATTTCCATACAGATGCTTCTGCCCCCCGACTGGCGATAAGGCACTAAATATCTGGACTCGAAAAATATTTCTATGCCTAGACGAGCATACATCTTTGCCACATCAGTCCGGGTCTGTTTATATAATAGTGGGGGCATCGGGATCGGGATCGGGATTTGGGGGGCAGTTAGGAGGAAGTCGCCTCAGTCACGTAGTCAATTGTCGGCATTTGTTTTGGTTGCGTTTCATCGTCTGCACTTCATCTTCTCGCTCTCTGTTGTTGTGCTTCTGTTTTCTGGAATGCGTTTCTGGAATAAGATTCATCCCCTAAAAGAGAACTAGTACTGGAAGTGGTTCTAGGACCCCTAAAGTATTGCCAACTATATGAAAAAAGGATATTTTTGTTAAGATCCTTATTTTTATACTTTTTTTAAATTTATTTAAATTATTTTCTATGGTTATATTATTTAAAAAAGATTTAGCAGCTCTTACTGATATTAATTATTGGCCAAAAGTGAGTATATTCTCTAAGGACAGAATGTCCTCTCTCTAGCCGAGACACAACCCACTCTTTAGTTTCCTGTGCTTGAAATTTCCCTTCTCTGGGTGATATTTAAAAATGAAATTATTTAATCGAAATAAAATTTATATAACAATTGTTTAATACTAACAATTAGTCTTTAAAATAAAAAAATTAACTTCCTTTCTATTCAAAACATATAAATAAATACAAATTTGTTATTATTGCCCAATTTTTCAAATTAATAGCCTAGTTAATTGAGCGCATTTCTCCAATTAGATTTTTTCGAATGATTAATGCTTAAATGCTATACACAAAAATAAATTGGGCAAGCGACTTCAATAGCTTCAATTAACTTACGATTTAGCCGGCGTTAATTTATGAAATTTATAATTCAGCCACCCTCCGGTTCGGTTCGTTCCCCTTTCGCCTTTTTCGGCTTTCGGGATTATTGCTGAGACGATTTGATCAGTCCAGCATTTGGTCAATATTTGCTTGCTAATTAGACCGGCAATGGCAACCGGTTGGCAAGGTGGCGGCTGTCCGCTAATAGAGATGGATTTGAAAACGAAAGTCGCTCTCTTGCCAATTCCAGTCGTGTGTCGAATGCAATGAAAGTGAGGACATTTACCCACTTCCTTGTCTGGCTAATTGCCCCCCTTCGCCTCGTCCTCCCTTGATCTGGCCCAGTTTTTCCCACTTTTTTCCCGAGCTCATCTTTTGCCTTTTTATGATGCTTCGATGTGGACTTTCAACCGGTTTGGATTGCGATTTCCATTTGGGACGCCGTTTATGCTTACATTTTCAAGGTGAATTGTAAAATTTATGTGTGCACACGCTCCGTGACTTCATCTGTCTGGCATTGACAGGGGGTGGGACTTTTGGGGGCACGAACTGGTTGGGGGCGATCTGCGAACATTTGTCATTCATTACTAATTAGAAAACTGGCTGGGTGTGCATGAATTATTCCTAGTCCTTCCTTCCTTTCTGCTGGTCTCATCTCCACTGAAAGTTTAATGCGATGACAATTTTTCAGGCACAGAGAAAAATAATTTACGATTCTAATAGTCTAATAATGTAAGAGTATATGACTCTTATAGTCTCCACTGCCACCGCTTAAAATTCATTACTTTTGATCTCCAATTTAAGAGCCAATATTTCATATTTTAATGTTTATCCCCCATTTTTGAAGTGCTCTGGCCTAAGGGTTGAGTTGTGCCCTCAAGCAAAACTTGGGGCAATCAAATTAACGCTTATGGAATTGAAAAGTTTTTGCTTCGATGTGGATGTCGTACGTCTGGCAGTAGAACTTCTGCCAGCAGTCTGAAAATCACATTACCCCAGGGTCGGACTTCAAGGAGCACTGCAACATGTGGCTGTTGGCCAGGCCAACTCAATTACACTTAACCAAATTGTTTGCATAATTTGCACAAACTAGACCATGATTTTCCCGCTCAGAATTTATTCTCTGTTTATTTTTCTCAGGAAAGTGGAGAGACCCCAACGCTGGGGTTAGGGCAAAGTTTCTTAGACTGATGATGACTTTAAAGCGAATGGAGATGATGAAGTGAAGCGGTTGTGGACGAGGCGCGTCTAACGAGGCCCATTAAGTCAGTGAATTAGAGACAAACTCGGAATCAAATTACAGTGCCAAGCAGAAATCACAAGAGTGCCGTCAATTCGATGCGATTTTAATTATGCATTCGATCGACGAGTATAGCCACGCAAATTGGTCATACCTAATGGAAAAGAGGAGGGTCCCCAAAGGGGGAGTTTTGGACATGAGAGGAAGCCTTACCCATCGCAAATTCCGAATTGGCAAATGTCACAGCAGACTCAGAAAATGAAGAAGCTTTTTTTTGGAGTGCAGAAGGTCAGCTGGCGGGGATCAGGGGTCTGACATTTAGCAGCTGGCAGACTTCGGTGGGAGTAGTTTGGCGACTTCGTGCCACATTAACAGACACTGGCCCAAAGAGGCATCGTGGTCTAGGACCACAATATCCACCAGCACGAAAATGCCATACCACAAAGAGCAAGCATTGAAAAAGTTAAATACGGCACTACCAGAAAATATATCTTTGAATTTTTAATTTAAAAATATTTGTTGAAAAGTTTCCTTTCTATTTAAAGTTTCTATGCATTTTAATAGGACATCTGCTCCACCCAAACTGAGCAACAAATTAATTCAGAGAAACTAGTTTATAAAGTCATTCTGATTTCCAATTCTTTCGTCAATCAAATCCCACAAAATGTATTTATATTTCGGAGTGGCATTTAAAACTACTTAAGGTTCATTTTGCAATTTATTATTTATTTAAATCTCATTTCAATATTATTGAGACTTTAATATGGAACTTAGCCATAATGAAGATTATTAATTAAAAGCTTAACTATACTGCATCTACGCAAGAAACTTGCTTTAAAGCTGATTTCTTTATTGAATCGAAAACTCGCATTTATAAACGTTTGCAATTTTTAATCAGATTCATTTGTCACCTGAACATTTTTAAGGTTAGAGATAAAACACACACTTTTTTCCAGTGCCCATCGGTTGAGTTCCGAATTGGCTGCGAATGCACAGTTAGTGTGTTTTTGGTGGCTCATAAATGTCGGTGGTGCCGGCTACTGGTGGATGAGTTATAGTCGTGGCCCCGTCCATCTAAAACTTGGAGTCGCTTCAGCAGCTTCCGCGACCCCTTGGCTGGTCATAAAATTGATGGACGACATTTGTTGGGGGCCACAACGGAGCGAGACAGATAGCCCGGCCAGGAACCTGCCAATCGGCCTTGCCCAAGCTCTGTGTGCTTCACACAGAACCCAAACACCCCCAACAAGGTGTGTCTGTCTACCTGTAACATTTGCTTCTGAATAATGATGTCGTGTCGGCTCAAATTGTGCCGTTGCATTTATAGAATTTGTGGCAGTTGTTGACAGTTTCATCTGAGCAAGAGTGTCGCAGATCAGCAGGAAGGATGTGGGGGAGCTGGGAAAAATGTAGCTAACAATAAGATAGGTTTTATCATGGGGGCTGCCAGGTGCCACAGTGGAAAATTTGCCAAAGTTTTCTTGCAAAAATAAACAAAATAATTTAGTTTCATTTCGATTGTAAAGTTTTCCTGACTAAAGTTATACAAAAAATTGTACATTTCAATTTGGAAACTCAAAGTAGGTCATCCTGGGTAACAATTTTTTACTGTGACAACAAGGACAATGATTTTGTCCCGCAGGTGGGAAATAGTTGCTGACTGGCCAGATAGGTGGCAAGCTTTATGTGTTAGACGGCGCTGTCGCCCCACACAAACGTATCTGGATCCGTGCCTGCTGTCAGCAAACCAGCCAACCATTGAACCTTCTGTAAGTCAGTGGGTCGTCCGATGTGCTTAGTCAGCGTTTTGCGAAAAAAGTATGTATTTCATAACTTAATTGCAGGCGAGCGCGCAAGATAACAAAAATTGTTGAACAAAAGCCGGCAGAAAATTAATTTTCAGTTCACCCAACTTTTCCTCCTCGGCTTTCGGAGAAGTGCATTCAAACCGAAACCCCGAAAAGGGAGACGGGTGGCGGGCAGAAGCTTCCACTGGCCGCAATCGAAATTGTTGCTGGGTTGCATAAAGTACAAAGAATACGAAAAAGTGCAGCACGCAAGCCAAAAATTGCTGAGCCACCTATTCAGAGGCTCTCCGGTTGCGTCTGTCTATTGGATTTTTGTTGCATCGACTTTCCGGACGGGAGGCGGACTGTGAAAACGAGGCGTGGCCCTTGTGGAAAATGCAATCCGACGATGATGAAAGTCCATTTCATTACAGCACCACAACTTCCACTGCAAACGTGGTGAAGTGGGCAGGTGGAGAATGATGAGGCGTGAATGAAAATTGATTGGGAGATTAGTTTGCCTAACTAACCAGAAGTGGAGATGAGATGGAAAATTATGTTGTATCATAGAAAATTGCAACATTTTTTTTTAAACCCTACTACCAGTACAGCCATAGAATATGCCTTCTCCTGCCATACCTTCTACCAAAAATTCCATATAATCCATCATAGTTGGATTATTATTTTCACCGCAACTGTGTCCCAGTGGCCAGCCACCCTTGATGCATATTAAATGTCTAAAATCGAATTTATCTCGGTTATGCCTTAATTTCCGTAACCATATCAACTTGCAGCACTTTTCCACCTGGCTGCCGTTTGTAATTTACTGCCAATTATTTAAAGTAAAATCAAATTTCAGCTTTGTTCTGACATCTCTGGGCCCAGTTCCGGCCGCAGTTGGCTACTTCAGAGTCTATGGTAATTAAAGCTTTCTGACATTTTCCCCAAATAATCTAAATTATTTGTGTTGTGGTGCCGGACTCTTTGTGTGCTCAATATTGATAATTTTGGCATTTTGCATATACTTATTGGAGGTTTAAAACCGAACTGTGTTTGTATTCCGCTCTCTGACAAAAACGACATTTCGACTTTATTGGGGCCATCAATATGATCGACCAGAAAAGTGAGTAATCCAGTATCGGGTGGCATTGTGTGTCCAGACAACTTGGCAGGTGCTTCTGCATAAAAAATTCACACAAATATACCTGTAGGTAGTTTTATTGCATTATTTTTTTTTAGGTTCGACAACAGGGTAATGTGCTAACTACACCAGTTTGGGATGAGCTCGTAAAATGTTATATTTATTGGATTAAATTGAATCTAATCACGTTCATTAAACAGCATATCTTAATAAGATGGGGATAAATTCAAAAATTAATTTTAAGAACAAAAAAAGCTGACAGTTATAGTTGAGATTATTTTAATGCCTTCACTTAGCGAAGATAACATTTAAATTAAGAGAATTAAAAGGTGCAAAGATCAACTAATACTTTTTTATTAAGCATTTATTAATAAAGTTCAAGCGGTAGTCTATTTATTATTTGACATTCCTGTAAAAGTTTCAGCATTTTATTTGCATATCTTCACATATCTTTAATAGCTCCCACGCACAGCTCATAAAGCACACCTTACTTTAGCAACTTGCAAATGGGTGGTCGCTTCCTCCAGCTGGAATTCTTTGGGCCAAATGGTGCAAGCCATGGCAACAAACATTCCGTTTGTTGCACTGAAATTCTTGCAAATTAAAACACAAGTATTCGGTCCACACTTTATGGCCGTTTCGATGGAATGAAAAGGGTCAGTGCGAAGCGATCGCCAGAGAGGTCGCTGAACTCATTTGCACGAAATGCAGAAGGAACGGGGAAATATGTGTGTCCCATTCATCTGGATGAAATAATATTTGCATTTCAATAACTCTGATTGTGTAATGATGAGGAGGAAAGAGCGAAAGTACCGTTAAACGTTTGGTCATCACTCACAATGAAATGTTCTGTTTTGTTTGCCGCTGCAGCGACGCGTATCTGTGGGATACATTTGCATATCTAACGGGGAGTTCTTTGAACCCCAATTAATCGTTCTCCAAGAGATGCAGGGCCAAATTAGTGAGAAGTGGTCTATCTTCATCTAAAACTAGAGACGAAAATTCCGAAAAGCATACGTAGAAACTGGATGGTAAATGTTCGAGCTGGAATCGTAAAATTTAATGGCTGTCCGAGCAGAAACATGCCCTCGTTCTGATCAGACTGCCCGAAACTCCAACTAGAAATGGAAATTGGAATAGATACGTGTACGTGCCGGGGTTTGGCGGGGACTTCAACCGGTTGGGCCATTAAACTGGGCGAGATTATTTAATATTTGCTGACAGCTCTGTCCGCTTAACACATGTTAGCTGACATAAACCGCCGCAGCTAAGAGCATCCATAATTCTGGCCAAAAAGTGTTGTGACTGTTGGCCGAAATGCCGCGAATTAATAACAGAGCTCATCTGAAAGACTGTGTGATTAATGTGAGCAATTACCTTCCCAACTACCAGTCTGACTTGGCGGTGGAAAATAAATTAATGTTGATTAATTATTCAATGCCCTTCAACTCAAACCGCCTGAGTATCCCATAATCCTTGTGGTTAGCGGATCCTGTTGGACGGCCACCCACGACCACTTCGATATGCAAATTAAGTGCCACAAAGCATTGGCGGCGTGCATTTATCTTAAAGACGCGAGTTAACGGCGCGCAGCTAATTAATATCAATTAAAATTTATTGGCACGCTAACTAAGCCGCAATCTATGAATTCCCCGCCTCGAAAAACGGAACTGGAAACAAACTCGTTTCCTGTCGGGTGTCGGGAGAGTGATTGAGGTACTTTTGCCTAAAAAACATGGGTCAATAACAAGGTAAATATTTCATCGGAGACACGGGGATGATACAAAGCAGTTTGCCTAGTAAATAAAATATACAAATCAACACAAATGTATGTACTTATTCAGTTATCAAGGCAAACTGAGACTCGTTTGTACACACTTGTTATTGAATAACTCCTCTTAACGACCTCTTCAAATTGCTACTTTGGCGTTCTACTTTTTTAAACAAAAATGAGGAAACTATTAAATTGCAAAGGAAATACTCGCTTTTTAAGAGCTTCTCTGTGTAATGAAAAAGTGCCATCGAATGTATTCAAAAGTGTATATCTGGGACTCGTTTTATTATCGTCAGCGTGTTGCGAACGCAGTAAAGCAATCGCCATAAAACAATCCGCTCGCTGGCAGGTCAAATTAAAAAACGCTCATTAAAATAAATGGCCAACTGCCCAAACTCAAGCAACAGCTGGTTTTCAAAAACAATATTTTGTTTGGATGATTCGCTTCTAGGTCGGGAGCGATATTAATCAATATGAAAGTCGAGTTCGGGTTCAGTGAGCTTAGAGCTTCTCTTTCGTTTGGGTTTCCCTTTACACATGGTCGGATATTTAAGGCCAAAATCGATGGACGCGACCCATCTGCCCATCCCTCTATGCCCCCTTGTGGACACAGCATCCCCATACATATTTTCGTTACAAATTGGTAGCTATCGGAAAATGGCTCTCATAGTATCCTATCTGTTTTTCTTTGGCAGGCTTTAAAATGGCAGCGGACTGGCGATTGATTGGCCTTCTCAGCCTTCTGGTCGTATCAGTGGGCGCAGAGGTGTACACCGCCTTGGCGGAGATGGAGGAACTGCTAGAGACTGAATCCGTACTGATAACCAACCTGGAGGGCTATATACGTGAGCAGGAGAACAAGCTGAATTTTCTCAAAAAGTGAGTATCTTTTAAAATGAATTTTTATACGTAACATATTTAGTATACATATATATGTTCGATTACCCAACTAGTAAAAAAATAAACTCATGCTGGCATTTGCCCACGCCCCATTTACTAACTAACTAACTAGCATTTATGTTAGCTTTCTGTAAAAGTTTATTTACAAATAACTGAATTAGCACGAAACAAATATCTAATTAGATTATTTGCCAACATGCCAGAAAAATGGCCTTTTCCATTTTAATTATCATAATTGTGTTTGACCTTTCGCTTTTAAGCTTTCAATTTATTACACAGAGCTAACCTTTAGATTTTGTAATTTAATATGTTTAAAGCAGCAGACGCAGTTACTTACTAATTTATTTTAGTAATGAGGTACTGGAAACCTTTTATTTATCGAGAAGAAATATCCATTCTTATGCAAATGTGGAGATCTAGTTTCGAGGCGAATACAAAAGATGTTCAGGTAGCCGCCTGCATGTGAGGTAATTACTTTTGCCACGTGCGAGGGGCAGCTGTTGCACGACTGTATGTGGCACCTAGTCGCCCGTACGTAGGTTTGTGCATATGTGCATCCGTATCTGCAAGATACATATCTTTTGCTTATGTACAACTGACAGCGGAAATGGGGGAGCCGATAGGTAACAGTGGAGAGGTGCAGGATGTGGTGAGACAACTCCCCTAATCAAATAATACCAGAATGCCAGGCGCACTCAGGATCTATGTGGCAGCGCTGTGGTAGTTCTTGTGTTTGTATCCACTATATTTGTATCTGCATTTGTATCTCAAGCTGTGTTTGTATCTGTATCTGTGTTCTTGTTGCTGTCCCCTGGCTTTGTCACAACAAAGGACGAGACAGGATCCTCACAAACAGCTGACAGCTGTGAGCCTGCTGCCTCAGTCTCTCAGTCTTGGTCTCCTGTCTGCCAAAGTTATCCTTGCGGGCTGTCATTGCCCTGCCGTATATCTGTATCCTGTTCTCTCTCTTCTCTGTCTCTCTCTCTAAGTATCTTCTGGATGCAGTTTCTAGTCATCTGCTTGTGTCGCGTGCCGTCTGCTTGAGTTGTGAGTTTTACTGTTTAATGCCGCTTCTCTGTTCCAACTGGCCAGCTGCCAGTGGCTGCAATTTCTGGCTAATCCGTTTGACAGTTGGCCTCGCAAACTGATTTGCTTTTGTGGCCCGTGGCAAAGCCTCCTGTCCGGCCGAAAGGCAATTGGGTTGGCCAACACACACCGCCGCACCGGCCCACTGGCGCTTCCAAAATGCCGGGATATACAATGCAACGTCAATATGCGTATGACTGCCTAACATTTGCATGAAAACCACGATCGGAATAGCAGGACAAGTTTTTGGAATTTGTTCCTGTGCCAGAGAAATGTAACGGTCGGTTGAGCCACCAAAAAGGCAGGGGAGTGGTTGCCTTTGGGGAAGGTTTTCTTTTGAACAAACAACTAGCTAAACAAGTCAAAGGTTTCAACGACTTGGGAATACCCTAGGAAATACGCAGAAAAAACCTGGAGTCACGAGACTCTAAATAAAAGACATTCCAATCTAGAATTATATTTATAGTTTGTGCTTTCATTGAGATGACTATTTTTAACACTATTTGTTTTTCATAAATATAATAGTCCGAGTTTTTTGTTTGCATTCATTTGAAGCTTTGATAATCTAGTTTCTTTTTGATATTTTATTATCATAGATATGTGCATATTAATGTATAAATTCGAATTAATTCAGAAGTATGACGCTGAAAGGCTTTTAAAATAAAAACTTGACAAGTATGAGCCAAAACAAAAATAAACTGACTAGCGAAGTTTCTTCAGCAATAATAGAGAGACCATTATACCCTTAGACACATCCTGACATAAGAGGTATCAAAATAGCATTAAACAGCCAGAAGGGAGCGCGCTGCAGTTATGAGTTGGTAAATAAGAATTAAAAACGCTGATAAACCGAACCGAATGAATGCCGGCTGCTCCTGCTTATTTGGTGTCATGGTCTTAGGAACTGGGTTTTCAACCCTCGTTCTCTCATTTGGTTTTTGGGCAGGAGCAGATGTTTCTGGCTTAATGGAACGCGCCAAACACAGAGCCGGGGCATTGTGCGGTTCGTTCTACGGGTGTCTTATGTACCAGCTAGTACATGGGCCGGAGTCGGGGATGAGGAGAGGGCGGATCGGGGAGGGGCACGATCCACTCGACTGCGCGCCGGCGCAGGAAGTGGAGGAAGTCTGGAAGTTGAGGAGCTGCGGCCTGGAACGAACCTTCAGTTCAGTTGAGTCGCAGTTGCCGAACGGAGCGGATCGATCTTGAGAGTGAAAAGTGCTTGTCAGTGAAAATAAAGCCCTTGAATACCCAAATAGAAACCAGTACAGTGCGATCATGTCGCATCACAATTATACCAACCCGGCTTTTTGCCAAAACAGTGAATTCTATCCAGTTTCCAGTAACAAATCAGCTCACGTAGAGTCCATCTACAATAGGAGCTTGCAAATGAATTTTGGGGCAGCTCCCCCGCGATCGGCACACGCCACACCGACTAGAAAAGGCCAAATGCAACGTAGCATGTCCACGCGATCGGTGACGCGGAAGCAGTACCAACAGCAGCAGCAGCAACAGCAGCAGCAACATCAAATAAAAAACCAACAACAGCAGGCCAATCAGCAGCAATCCAGTGGCCGGTATGCCTTGGTTCCCTTGGAGGAGCTGAACACCAGCAAAGCTGGTAGATATGCTATAGTTCCTGGGCAGGCGGCCCAGAGGTTGGCCAGATCACAGGATAATCTAGATCGGTATGGCTCGCGGTACGGCATACACGAGGACGAGGAACCGCACTCCTTCCACGAGGAGCCCCACCAGGAGACCCAGTTTGCCAGCTTGCCGCCCATGATCAATCTGCCCCCGAAACCCATCACCCGGAACAACAACAACAGCCAAGCCCCCAACCAATCAATCAAACACGCTTTCAGTAGCGATTTCGGGAGTAAAACCTTTCTGATTGTGGATAAGAACAGCAACCAGCGATACCAAATGGTGCCCACTGCCGAAGACGAGGAGCTGGTGGACGAGAACCAGGAGATTATCCAAATGCACAATGGCCGTGCCCACAGGTATGCGATGATACCAACAGAAGCGGACGAAGATGATTTGCCACAGCAGGACCAGGAGGAGCAGCAAGAGACCTGTCTGAGCACCACCGAGATCTCCCAGCAATTCGCAGCCAGGACTTCTACGCCGCAGCAGAGAAATGCGGCAGCGGCAACCAGGGCGCTGCACGAACTTCTGGTCACGCCAAGGAAGATGCAGCCGCCTCCGAGGCTGGCCCATTCCACGCCTCGGAATGCCGCCCACCTGGAGCAGTTGCAGCTGGAGCGCAGGTTGCAAATCTACCAGAGCCAGCAGGTGCTCAGCCAGTTGGGATCGGGACCACCCGCCCTTCCCCTTCGCCAGAATAGACTTTCGCCCCAGAGACTGCATTACGAGACGGTGAAACCAGCTCCTCTGCAGATTGCAGATCGCTCGATGGCCGTCATAAGCCCTAGGGTTCAGGAGCAGCAGGAAAGGGATCAGGACATGAGCAGTATCCAGGGAAAGCCCCAGAACAACAACTCCTATCCGCAGAAACTGGCAAACGCCACAATTACCTTGGCCGTTGTTTCCCTGATGATGGTTTTGGGCAGCACCATGAATTGTGGATTGGCCATCTATATGATTGCTCACGTAAGTAAATATTAATCTGGCGTCCTCTGTCTTTATTTATTGACCTTATTTTATTTATTCTTTCAACAGTTTGGAAAATCCTTTTTCTTACAATTCAGCCTGGCCTCCTCCTTCTGTGCTGTGGGCCTTGGATTCCTCGGATTCAGATCGCGTCACTGCGAATGGTTGCCCAACAGAAGCTACATATCCGGCTACATCCTGGTGACCGTGTTCTGCCTCTTCAAGTGTTGCGGCCTGCTGGTGATCCTTGTTTGGGATCCCTTCCCAGGCCTGCCTGTCCACGACATAACCTCCGGAGTCATCCTTGGGCTATCAACCTTCACCGTAGTGTTTATTGGCTTGGGCGTGCTGGGAAGTCTCTGGTGCAACCGCCCGCCGCCAGATAATCGCGTGAATGTGGTTTAATTCCCAATAAAAATTAACTAAGCTTGAGATTTAATATTAAAATAGTTGTACACCAGATCCAATAACAACATAAAAACTTGGCACACCGACGGCTAAAAGACCAAAAAGAAGTATTAGACTTTTAAAGAGAGGAAGTTCATCATCCCCTGAAAAGACTGTAAATAATAAGTGGGTTGTACTTACATCATAATATCTTAGAGTATGCTAAGAACGGTTATTCATTATTAAATTATTAAATGTATTAGTCTAAGAAAGTTAAAAATATATCTGCACCCAATAAATATATTTTTTGAACAAATTAAATTGGTTATTACTCAGGGTCTAACGTACATAATTGGCTGGCTGAAGAAAAGTTTTACACAATGCTTAAAAATATTATCCTGCCTTATTAAGTTATTTTTTCAACTGCTTACTTATTGATTGACATTGAACTAACACCGCATAGACTGAGCTTGAGCTACCCGCCCAAGGACTTAAAGTATTCTTGCTGGAAAAGTTCGAACTTCGACCATTTTCCCATCAGCTGGAATGCAATTTTCTGTTCGCGGAAAGCAAAAAGCACTTAGTGAACTGTCTGGTAACTTGGCTCCTCCTTTTAACTTTTCAGCAAAATGGATGACTACCAGAGGGAACACGCCGACGCCTCCAGTGACATTACCGCCTATGTCTCAAATCCCATCAATGCTTACCTACTCACCAAGCGCCTGACCACCGACTGGAAACAGGTGGAGAACCTCATGGAGCACGACGTGGGCACCGAGTTCGTGCAAAACATTACCCAGTATCGCAACATCCTTAAGTTTCCCTCCGACGAGGATCTCAATGGAGCGGCAGTGGCCTTGCTGCGCCTCCAGGACACCTACCAGCTGGACACCTCTAGTGTAGCCCGTGGCAAGCTAAATGGCATACAGTACAGGTGAGTGCGGCACAGTCCCGAAATCCCAGGGATTGCCACTAACTTTATTGCCTTCCAGCACGGAGATGTCCTCGGATGACTGTTTCGAGTTGGGCAGACAGTCGTACGTGAACCACGACTACCATCACACAGTCCTCTGGATGAACGAGGCGATGGCCCGAATGCTCGAGGAGCCCTCGAACCAAACCAAAAGCTTCACCAAGGCCGATATCCTTGAGTACCTGGCGTTCTCCACCTACAAGGAAGGTGAGTGACCAATATTCGGGGTTTTTGTATTTTCCCCTAAAGTGGTTAATTTCACTTGAAGAAAGTGTGGGTTAACTTTTCAAAGAAATGACTACAAAAAATTTATATTTTTATAAGTAAGCAACATTTTATAAAAGAATGTAAATTTCATTAAATGTTCTTATATGGTTTTTAATAATTTGATAGTTTAGTACTTTTATTTTTCACTATTAAACCGATTTCCCTGCCATTTTTAATTAGTTCCCGAAAGAAATCCCCCTAGTACCTAGCCTGTTACTTAAATTTGAGTAATTAAATTCTTAGAGTGTGCTCGCTATCCGCTCTCCCTGTTGTCCTTGCTCGTTTGCATGGCACTTTCAGGGTCCATTTGGCTGCAGGAAATTGCACTCTGTCCCCAGCCACTTGCTATTTTAGAACAACCCCCCCTTCACGTACTTGCACCTGCCCTGGCCAGGTAGCCGGGCTGGGTCGCCTGCCCTGAGAGCCTGCCATTAAGTGCGAAAAAGTGTTGGCCATCTGCAGCCAGAGCGACAATGTTGCCGCAGTGGCTAAGAGCAATCACGTAGAGGGCAGGAGCCGGCCCGGTCCTGGCACGTTCCTGGCCCAGGACCCGTGTGGTTTATTAACGTCTTATTACACCCGTAGACCGTTCTTATCCCCTCATCAAGGAGTTGCCAAGCACACGTATCTGTATCTTTAGTGGGTGCTCTCCGAAAAGCCACCGCCCACTATTGCTGGAGAGTGTGGATTTATGGGCGTGCCGGAGGCAGGGCGGAAGTGCCACCATATTGTGTTGAGAAACGGCACAAAAAACAACACAAATGGGTCCGCCCTCGAGGCAAGTGACAGGCTTTCTGTCATGGGACACATGTGTCGGGAGATGCAAATTTAAATTCATGTAGCTGACAGGATCTCAAAAGTTAAGGTCGTGGTTGAGGTTGAGGTTAAAGCTAAAGGACTCCTTGACCGAGGCAAACTTATTAGTGGGCGGCCAGGAATAAATTGTTGGACGGAAATGAATAAATAAGTGCACAACTTGCAAAGTTTGGCAACAATCCCATCGACTTGATGGCCTTGCCGAGGCAAAGTTCGAGGTCAGTGCCGGGCAACTTTCAAAGTTGCAAATTCACCACTAAGGCGAAAGAAACTGTGGCATACTTTTGGGCGGGTCTTAGTATTGGGGGCATCACTTGACCCTGATGAATTAATTGTGCCACTCGGCTTAAGTGACTCTTAAAAAAGTATTTTACTTATGTGCAGATGATTTATTCAAACAATTTGACCCTTTTTAAGTTACTCTGCAGTTTATGGCTCCGAAGAGCTGTTTATGCTTTATAAAAAATTTAAGCTCTATGAAGGATGAGAGTATAAAGGAGCGTAATGAATTTAATATTAATCGTATTAAGTGCTTTACAATTCAGGATTCTTTAGCTGCTTTTAAGTCTCATTAGGCGGATTAATAAGCTCGTTGTATTATTATTTAAAGAGTTCAAGATTTTGCATTTAGATACCATGACTTTAACATTTAAGAGCTTCGAATGTTTTTTGTTTAAATTAATAGTTTTTTATTATTTTCTTAGGAAACATTGAGGTGGCTCTGACCATGACCAACGAATTGCTGCAACTATTGCCACACCACGAAAGGGCCAATGGCAACAAGAGGTTCTACGAGAAGGAAATAGCCAACCAGCTGCAAATGAGAAAGATGAAGGGCGACGATGGTAGTGACGAGATGCCTAAGTCTGACTTGGTAAGATATATTAAGGCCCTTAAATAAAGTCACTCCCGCTCACAGCTAGAAATCCACTTTCAGCCCGTGGCCAAAAGTGATCCCTCGGTCTATGATTTGACCGAGCGAAAGGCCTACGAAATGTTGTGCCGTGGCGAACTAAAGCCATCTCCGGCGGACCTGAGACCTCTACGATGTCGTTATGTAACCAACAATGTGCCCTTCCTGCGCCTGGGCCCCCTGAAGCTGGAGGAGGCCCACCAGGAGCCGTACATTGTGATCTATCACGATGCCATGTACGACAGTGAAATTGAATTGATTAAACGGATGGCACGTCCTCGATTCCGGCGGGCAACTGTACAAAATTCCGTTACTGGCGCTCTGGAGACGGCCAACTACCGGATTAGCAAGTCCGCTTGGCTGAAAACGGAGGAGAACCGTGTGATTGGAACCGTAGTGCAGCGAACGGCGGATATGACTGGTCTGGACATGGACTCTGCCGAAGAGCTCCAGGTGGTCAATTATGGAATCGGTGGTCATTACGAACCGCACTTTGATTTTGCTCGAGTATGCCAAATATTTCACATTAAATTTTCTTTCTTTATTATATTTTTTATATATTTATTTTTTAGAAAGAGGAAAAACGCGCCTTTGAGGGCCTCAATCTGGGCAACCGCATCGCAACAGTTTTGTTCTACGTAAGTTTATTTTAATATTTCCAATTTTCACTTCAATTAAAAGAGTATCCTTTAAATGGAAAACTCTTATTGCTGCAACTATTTGAAAAGCTCATATGTATCCACACATGGAGTTTAAAGCATTCTTTTCAAAGGAAAAGCATACAAGCAAAAAAAATATATTCGGAAACCAAAAGCATCTGTATAAACATTTTTTTGCTCTTTTGAATGCATATGTGGAGATAAAGCTTTAAGGACTTTGAATTCAAGAGATGGAATAGACAAAAATGTGACGGTTTTAATGTGTTTCAACATGAAGTGCGTCCAGACTAAAATTTTTGAATTTAAGCTCTCCGTTGGAAAACACTTTATACATATTTTATGGTTTTTTACTTTTTTCTTTCTTTTTTCCAGATGAGTGACGTTGAACAGGGAGGTGCCACCGTCTTTACTTCCCTTCACACTGCCCTATTTCCCAAAAAGGGCACGGCAGCCTTCTGGATGAATCTCCATCGAGATGGTGAGGGCGATGTGAGGACACGTCATGCTGCCTGTCCTGTCCTGACGGGCACTAAATGGGGTATGTCCTGCACAAACACAATTTAAAACTCAACGCAGAACCAGAGTAACCATTTTAATTGTTTTCCATCAGTGTCAAACAAGTGGATCCATGAACGGGGTCAGGAGTTCCGTAGACCCTGCTCTATGGGCGAGGATCATGGCGAGTATGCCATCTGAACTGGAGTCTAGTTAGTGAAATGCAACGAATCTTAAATGCGGAATCTCATCCATCGTCTGGCCATCGAATTCCTAATGTAAATACAGCATCTAGCCAGGAGGCGGCCGTCACTCTTTTCTACTTATCGGTTCTGTTCCCGGAACTAATTCTATCTAGTTATATCTTAGACTCTTACGAAAATTATCTACTTTTGTATATTTTCTTAGTTTAAATAGTAGAAAAAAAATTAATTGAAATAAATTTGAAATTGAAAGCACTTATGGGTTTGAAATTGAAAGCACGTATGGGTTTTGTTTATTATTTTTTAGCCCTATTAGCAGTAATAGCCCGAAGCCAATATAGTATAAGTGGACTCATCTAAGAATTTCTATTTTTCCGAGTTTTATTTCCAAAAGTTCAAATTACTTAACTATTTAAAAAACCTGTAAAAAAACAGAGAATTTTGAATCCGAATCGAGAGCCGTGAAGACCACTGATCCGGTTGTGATGTTCGATTAGTGGGTGGCAATTCATCAGCCGGAGGGCTCATCCATCAAGTGCGGTAAGAGGAGCTTCAGCTGCATCGCCTGTTAACCGATACTGGGATGTACAGCCGTGTTGCTGTGTGGGTGAGTATCTGTGTGTTTGCATGGGTGAGTGGATACAAATCGGCTTACTGTTCAGCCTTGCATCTGCCGCATTGGGTTGCGTACTTTGTGGCGCCTGCGGAAAATTCGATTTGGCCCGATATGCTAAAAGGGCTGGCACGAGACGACGGCAAAAACGGCAACAATATTGCATTTGACTGAAACCAGAGAGCATTTTTGCATGCAAAAATGCATTTGGTAGATGATTTTATAAAGTGACGCATGGAGTGTGAATCACAACTTCGTTTGGAGCACCTATCCATAAATTGTGTAAACCATTATTGATTAAAATTTATGTTTCCTGCTAAGGTGGAACATGAAAATGATAAGATTTTACTAAACACCAGAAGTTCCACGTAACTAATGAATGAAATGATTATCAATGAATGAAAGCCACCAACTGGCAGAAGCAATCTTTATTTTTTCACACTGATTTACTGCTTATCTTAAGAGATTGTCAACGAAATTTACAATTTTACTTATCAGATATGCTAAAAGAATAAATTATATGGATTTTGATTACAAGGAAGGCGCACAAGCCGATTTTTAATTCAATTGATAAGAGTCCCATAATGCTTTCATTAAACTTTCGTGTCATTCGCCTCTTCGCACTGGTATAGAAATATATTTGATTTATTAAAGGAATTAATGGTATCTCTAAATAAATTAATAGTAGTAGGACTACTAACAAATATGTGAACAAAAGCTTTTTGTGTTTAGATTGAATTTTTGCAAACCATTTTATTTTTTTTTAGGTTGGCCTGTTAGTTAGCCCTTTTGGATATAGCCTGTTAAACGTTAAATGTTTTTACTTATGCTACTTATTCACATTTCAATTTTTTGTATATCAATATGTTCTAGAATATTTCCTTTATTTTAATAATCCAGCGTTGACTAAAAGAAAGAAAGAAAGCTTTCTGACCAAACAATCCATTTTATTAATTGTTGATTTTGTATTCAATAATTTTATCTTTAATGGAAACTTATGCTGAGTAAGTAAAAAACGATATATTTTGCAATTTAAAGTTATTTTTATTTAAAAAAAACTATTAAATAAGGGAAAAAAAGTCTTAGTAGGATATTCCGGTGTTGTCGCGGATCCAATCCAAGTAGCCAGTGACACGGCTGAAGACAGCGGGGTGTCCGGCCATGCAGCCAGCACCAGAGCCGTATGAGGTGACACCCACAAGACGGTTGCCGTCGTGTGTGACCAGAGGGCCGCCGGAGTCACCGCCGCAGGTGGACTTGCCGCCGGAGGTGTTGATGCAGATCATGTTGTCGTGGAGAGACCAGAAGCGGCTGCATTCATCCTGAGACATGATCTGAACGTCCACGCTCTGGAGCCAGTCGGGCAGGGGGCTGCCGTCATAGGTGCCGCCCCATCCGGAAGCCACGGCCCAGTAGCCGGCGTAGCCGTTGTAGCGGTCGTTGTAGCTGGGCAGCTCCACCTTGTTCACCAGATGCCAGAAGTCGACGTGGGGGGTGCGGATCAGGGAGATGTCGTTGTGGAGGTTGCCGCTGTTGTAGTGGTGGTGCTGGATGATGTCGCCACGGCCAACCCAGTGGGTGTACTGGGGCTGGGTGCGGATGCTGGCGCCGTAGTTGATGGTCACGCCATCGGCGTTGTTGGTGCAGTGAGCAGCGGTCAGGACCCAGGTGTTGCCGATGATCGAGCCACCGCACCACCAGTTACCACCGTTGCCGCTGAAGAGCAGGCCGACGATGTAGGGCACCTTGCCCTCGTAGGCGGGGTAGCCGTTAGTGATGCGACCCTGGATGTCCTTAACGGGCACTGGGGTCAGCTTTCCCTCGGCAGAAGGAGAAGCGGGGGCAGGAATAGCCGAAGCTGCGGCCACGGCCAAGGCCAGGAATACGAACAGTTTCATCTCGAATGAGTCTTACAACTGACTTGGTTTTTCCCAGCAACGGCCCCTTTTTATACCAAAGTTTCGGCTCTTATCAGGTCGGCTAAGAAGTGCCATTTTGTATGTAAAAAGCGCGCTATTGTAAATATTTTGGCGATGACAAGTTTAGCCAACTGATAAAGATGCCTAATTTATAACATCCGAAAAAGAAAGGGCTTGAGAATATAAAATAAAATCCTATCGTAATAATCAAAACGCAGTATATAGAAGTACAATTTATTTCATAATAAAACGTACTTCTTGACCATGATCTAGCGAATATTTCCATTAGTCAATGAATTTGCCTTTTTTCTTAAAGGCTTACTTAACAAAAATGTTTAAATATAAACTAAAACATAAAACACTTTATGCTAAAACATAAAAAAAATATCTCCGCATTCACTTTACTGCGATTACTTTTTGCGATTTTTAGATCAATTTTGTATCAACCTGCATGAATAGGGTAAAAATAAAAAGTTCTTATTGGAAATTGCATTGAATGTTGAATGTCATACTGTAGAGATATTTTTATACGACTAAAGAGCGCATTATAACTTTGGTCAAAAGTGTGTATCACCTCACGAATTAATATAATAAGTTCCATCTGTCTTTTTGTCTATCTTGTCCGTTTTACCTGTCTGATTCTACGCGATCTTAAATAGATTTGAAATGTTTTAAAGATAGAAACTTGGTTAGCTGGTTAGTTAGCTGGTACTCGTAGAGTAGAAAGGTATAATGAATTCGTGTGAACTAATGCATGTCACATAGAGAAGGAATCATCTCCGACCCCATAAATTATACATATTCTTTATCAGCATCAACAGCCGAGTCGATTTAGTCATGTCCGTCTATAACTATATAAGATATAGAGCTATAGGATTTTGCATGGAAGCTCCTAAAACACCCACAAGGTGCGATTTACTCACAAGGTGCATAATAGTTTTTATGCAAACTAGTCTCTCAGTTTTAAAGCTTATATACTTGCTCACCCTTCTTTCCTTTGCACGCAGTATAAAAGTCGGACACCCACTGGACATCCCCTGGACTAATTTCTAATCACAGCCTAGTACTGTAATTTTAAAAATTGTCACATAGTTTAAATCTACTTAATCTTATGTAGCTTGTAGTCATCATAAAATGTTATCTCTTCTTGTTCTTATCTATAATATTAATTTAACAATAAGCCAAGTTTACTGTAAAATAAATTAATGGTTGTCCAATAAGGACAGCTTAAAATAAAAATTACCCCTGTTATACTAAAAAAAAATATAAGTCGGAATTGCCGGGATCGGCCGACTATATCCTAAATCTGCCATGATCGGTGTTTTTAGAGTTAGAGATTCGGGATTTTCTAGTGATTCAATTTTTGGAAAAAATAATACGACATATTAAATTTCATAAGGATCGGCCGACTATATCCTATTGCCATCATACTATATAACTGAAAGATCAGAAATTACCGTGTTTTTAAAGATTGAAGCTTAGAACTTTATAAAGATTATATTTTTTTCAAATTGATTCTACCTGCCATATAACTGAACGACCGAAAATGGTATGTGGTATTTGGTAAATATATGTACCATTTTTGGTTTTTTAAAGAAAGAAGCTTGGGACTTTTTTTGTGACTTTTGGGATTTTTAAACTGTTTAAAATTTTCGTGGGATTCAATACATTTTTTTTATGTTTCTTTTTTTCGTTCTTTTTTTTCGTTTTTTGATACGTTCTATATTAATACCTTTTATAATAATCCTGTATCGTGAATTGGCTAAAACAAGATCAGTTTCATGGAGGCATAACTGCATTCAAATATAATTATCTTTCTAAACAAACAATCCATTTAATTACTCGTATAGTTTGTATTCAAAAGGTTGAGTTTTAATCCAATCTTATGCTTAGTAAGTAAAACATATGTTTTGTGCAATTACAAGTTATTCTTTATTTAAAAAACCAATTAAAATATGGAATTATAAAAACGCTTAGTAAGAAATTCCGGTGTTGTCGCGGATCCAGTCCAAGTAGCCAGTGACACGGCTGAAGACAGCAGGGTGTCCGGCCATGCAGCCAGCACCAGAGCCGAAGGAGGTGACACCCACGAGACGGTTGCCGTCGTGTGTGACCAGAGGGCCGCCGGAGTCACCGCCGCAGGTGGACTTGCCGCCGGAGGTGTTGATGCAGATCATGTTGTCGTGGAGAGACCAGAAGCGGCTGCACTCGTCGTGGGACATGATCTGAACGTCAACGCTCTGGAGCCAGTCGGGCAGTGGGCTGCCGTCATAGGTGCCGCCCCATCCGGAAGCCACGGCCCAGTAGCCGGCGTAGCCGTTGTAGCGGTCGTTGTAGCTGGGCAGCTCCACCTTGTTCACCAGGTGCCAGAAGTCGACGTGGGGGGTGCGGATCAGGGAGATGTCGTTGTGGAGGTTGCCGCTGTTGTAGTGGTGGTGCTGGATGATGTCGCCACGGCCAACCCAGTGGGTGTACTGGGGCTGGGTGCGGATGCTGGCGCCGTAGTTGATGGTCACGCCATCGGCGTTGTTGGTGCAGTGAGCAGCGGTCAGGACCCAGGTGTTGCCAATGATCGAGCCACCGCACCACCAGTTACCACCGTTGCCGCTGAAGAGCAGGCCGACGATGTATGGCACCTTGCCCTCGTAGGCGGGGTAGCCGTTGGTAATGCGACCCTGGATGTCCTTAACGGGCACTGGGGTCAGCTTTCCCTCGGCGGAAGGAGAAGCGGGGGCGGGAATAGCCGAAGCTGCGGCCACGGCCAAGGCCAGGAATACGAACAGTTTCATTTCGGTTGAGTCTTACAACTGACTTGGTTTTTCCCAGCATTGGCCCCTTTTTATACGAAAGTTTCAGCTCTTATCAGTTCGGCTAAGAAGTGCCATTTTGTATGTAAAAAGCGGGCGATTGTAAATATATTGCAAAATTTTGACCATGACAGGTTTGGCGAGATAAGTTGGTCTAAAATATGGTCTGTACTTGACCAATTGACTTGTTTGTAAAAACAAATAAAATAACTTGGTGTATTTTTAATATTTACTTTTATATATTAATATTTCAAATTAAAAATTGTGTACGCTTACGTTTAGTTCTTAGCATTACTTTTTAGATTTTTGAATTATTTTTCTGTGTGGATGGAAGTGACGAACCGCATTTAATTATTTTAGATCATCATTTAGACAAGCACACTAAACGATCATCCTGTTCGTCACCTATGTGGACTCCTCAACCGTATGTAACTCAACTTTCAACGCATTTTTTAATACTTTATATTTTTACTCTTTTCATGCAGGTTGGTAGTAAATTGGGTTATAAATCGCTTTTGATATTCGGTATTCTGTTGTTTAATGAGATACTTGTTCCTTTAGCTGGGCAATCAATAGGATTCACAATTTTACACAAAGTCAGTAAAGTTAATTCGTGAATATTTTTTCATATGTTTTAGTCGGTCTTATTAAAAGAATTTAATATATTTCTTAAATATTTTTGTTAAGTAATGCCGTTAGGAAATAAGGCAAATTCATTGACTAATGGAAATATTCGCTAGATCATGGTCAAGAACTACGTTTCATTATGAAATAAATTGAACTTCTAGGTACATATTGCGTTTTGATTATTTCGATAGACTTTTATTTAATATTCTCAAGCCCTTTCTTTTTCGGATGTTATAAATTAGGCATCTTTATCAGTTGGCTAAACTTGTCATCGCCAAAATATTTACAATCGCCTGCTTTTTACATACAAAATGGCACTTCTTAGCCGACCTGATAAGAGCCGAAACTTTGGTATAAAAAGGGGCCGTTGCTGGGAAAAACCAAGTCAGTTGTAAGACTCATTCGAGATGAAACTGTTCGTATTCCTGGCCTTGGCCGTGGCCGCAGCTTCGGCTATTCCTGCCCCCGCTTCTCCTTCTGCCGAGGGAAAGCTGACCCCAGTGCCCGTTAAGGACATCCAGGGTCGCATCACTAACGGCTACCCCGCCTACGAGGGCAAGGTGCCCTACATCGTCGGCCTGCTCTTCAGCGGCAACGGTGGTAACTGGTGGTGCGGTGGCTCGATCATCGGCAACACCTGGGTCCTGACCGCTGCTCACTGCACCAACAACGCCGATGGCGTGACCATCAACTACGGCGCCAGCATCCGCACCCAGCCCCAGTACACCCACTGGGTTGGCCGTGGCGACATCATCCAGCACCACCACTACAACAGCGGCAACCTCCACAACGACATCTCCCTGATCCGCACCCCCCACGTCGACTTCTGGCATCTGGTGAACAAGGTGGAGCTGCCCAGCTACAACGACCGCTACAACGGCTACGCCGGCTACTGGGCCGTGGCTTCCGGATGGGGCGGCACCTATGACGGCAGCCCCCTGCCCGACTGGCTCCAGAGCGTTGACGTTCAGATCATGTCCCACGACGAGTGCAGCCGCTTCTGGTCTCTCCACGACAACATGATCTGCATCAACACCTCCGGCGGCAAGTCCACCTGCGGCGGTGACTCCGGCGGCCCTCTGGTCACACACGACGGCAACCGTCTCGTGGGTGTCACCTCCTTCGGCTCTGGTGCTGGCTGCATGGCGGGACACCCCGCTGTTTTCAGCCGTGTCACTGGCTACTTGGACTGGATCCGCGACAACACCGGAATTTCTTACTAAGCGTTTTTATTTTCCCATATTTTGATGGGTTTTTTAAATAAAGAATAATTTTGAATTGCACAATATACATGTTTTACTCAGTGAACATTAGTTTGGATTTTTATTCGAGCTATTAAATAAAAATGAGTGATTAAAAAAAATGACTGTTTGTTAAGAAAGTTCAAGTTCGTCATCGCCGCCTGAACCTAATGTAACCTAAAAAAGTTCAATCTATTCCAATGTAGTAAGACATATATTCCTATATAAGACATATATTGCAGAGTTAATATAAAAGGTTATAACCTTAAATACATTGGAAAAAAAGCTTTAATCAATATTCTTATCAGTTAAATTGAAACTAATTTTCTCATTCAAAAACTTGTTATCAAAATCGGAATAATTTATATTTTCAGTATGTATATCTGATAAGTAAAACTTCACCTCACCCTGTGTCAATCTTGTACCATCTATTTATAGTCAAATGATTTCGGCCGTTCCGATTTATATACTGATTTCAAAGAAGAAGGAAAGAAGGTTGTGAATAGATTAAAAGCTGACACACAGACGTAAGTGCTCATATCGACTTAGGAAGTAATGGTGATCAAGAATATATACTTGAAAATGTCTTCTTCAATGCGTTGTTTTTTACACTCAGATTACCTCTATATTAAGAGAAAGGACATCACCTTTCTAGGCTTTATTTTTTACATTATACCCCACTTATGTCAAAAATTATAACACCCATCATATAACCCTATAAAATTAATAAAAAGAAAAGGCCGAAGATAACCTCTTGAGCGGCCCCAGCTTATAGCTAGTCAACGAACTAGTCAAGTCCCTAAAAAGGACACATCGGGTTCTTTCGTCAGGTAGCTAAACATGTGAGAAGATCTATAGAAAATCTCAATTAAGTTTACTCAGAAGGTGTGACTTATTAAGAGAGTAAAATGGTTTACAAAAATAAATTCAAGAAAACTGCCAATTGTTTAAAAACTCTTTTGGAAGCTACCTATTTCAATAAAAACTAGCTCCGAAAAGTTTCTGTGGGGATGCGGGACATGAAATATGGAACATACATTTTAATAAACACGAATACTTTAAAAGATTTGTAGATCGCCTTTCGATTATTTCTTGAAGATTTTTAAAATATTTAATGAATTTTAAATTAAATGATTACAATAAACTATAGACTATACAATAAACTAAGCTATATAAATAATATATTAAAAAATGTTCTTCAATCGAATTATGGTAAAATTATGGAAAAATTCGTATGTTTACTTTTTTTTTACCAAATTGTTTTAACAAACAAGACAAACACCAACGACCAAGTACTGACCATATTTAATCGTCTTATCTCCAGGCTAAAGCTGACATGGTTAAAAGCTGGCAAAATATTTATAATCAGTCGATTCCTACATACAAATAGCACTTCGTGGCCGGCACGATAAGAAGTGAATCTTTTGTATTAAAGGGGCCGATTCCAGGAAAAACTAAGTCAATTAGTTGAACGACTCAATCGAGATGAAACTATTTGTATTCCTGGCCTTGGCCGTGGCCACAGCTTCGGCTATTCCCGCCCCCGCTCCTCGTACCGCCGACGGAAAGCTGATCCCAGTGCCCGTTAAGGACATCCAGGGTCGCATCACAAACGGCTACCCCGCCTACGAGGGCAAGGTGCCCTACATCGTCGGCCTGAGCTTCAGCGGCAACAGTGGTAACTGGTGGTGCGGTGGATCGATCATCGGAAACACCTGGGTCATAACCGCCGGTCACTGCACCAACAACGCCGATGGCGTGACCATCAACTATGGCGCCAGCATCCGCCACCAGCCCCAGTACACCCACTGGGTGGGCAGTGGTGACATGATCCAGCACCACCACTACAACAGCGGCAACCTTCACAATGACATCTCTCTGATCCGCACCCCCCACGTCGACTTCTGGTCGCTGGTCAACAAGGTGGAGCTGCCCAGCTTTGACGACCGCTACAACGGCTACGGGGGCTGGTGGGCCGTGGCCTCCGGATGGGGTAGCACCTGCACCGGCTGCTCTCTGCCCGACTGGCTCCAGAGCGTTGACGTCCAGATCATGTCCCAAGAAGATTGCAGCAACTACTGGTCTCTCCACGAGAACATGATCTGCATCAACACCTCTGGCGGCAAGTCCACCTGTGGCGGTGACTCCGGCGGCCCTCTGGTCACACACGACGGCAACCGTCTCGTTGGTCTTACCTCCTACGGCTCCGGTGCTGGCTGCGAGGCCGGATACCCCGCTGTCTTCACCCGTGTTACTGGCTACTTGGAGTGGATCCGTGACAACACTGGAATTTCTTACTAAGCCTTTTATTTTCTATAGTTTGAAATGTGGTTTTAATGAATAATTATTTTGAATTGCAAAAATAGTTTGTACTTTTAAATCTGTAGAGTAGCCATATCCTCGTGGTATAGGGAAGAAGAACCGGGATTGATGGAGGCTAGACAATGGTTTAAGAATAACGTTGGCCAAGGAAAACACTTGTAGTTGGAGATGTCTCTGAAAATTATAACACCATTTTCTAGGGTATAAAAATAAGTTTTATGAACGTTTTATTGTATTCTTTCTTTATTCTATTTATTCAAAAAGTGTCCATCTGCCAAGTATTTAAAATTTCTTTAATGAGAGCTAGAGTCAAAAAAGAGCAAGCAAGGTGGTAGTTGAGCACAAGTATCTGTGTCTTTATTTGTGTATCTGTATCTGTGACTGTGGCTCTGCCTGTATCTGGCATCTTTGTTTGCACAACATTTTTTCTGGATACGTGACAGTTTTTAACGGAGCATACTTCTTTTTTGTCCCAAACCACACTATCCAAGGTGGTTGGTGGCTCAGTATTCCACTATCGGTCTTCGTATAATGTCACATTTAAATTGGAGCTCCGTTTTGGGAATATTCCTGCACTTGATTTTCAATGGAGGAGTTCACGGAGAGTTCTATTCCTCGGCAGATGCGATGCAAGATCTGGCCCAAGTAGAGCGGGAAATTTTGAATGCCACGCGTTCGTATCTGGAGGAACAACAAAAGCAGTTGGATTTTTATAGAAAGTGAGTTTCATTATCTGGAAACCTTTAAAATCGATACCAAAGAAAGATATTAATATTCCCTCAGTTTTTTGGAGCAAATAAAGGAAGAGCATGATTGGGTTGTCGATCAAACGAACTTGGATGAATACATGGGTCATCCTTTGCATGCTTTTCGTTTGATCAAACGATTGGTCCAGGATTGGGATGAGCTCGTGTTTGATCCCATAATGTCCAACGCGCCTAGAGAAGGTTGGGTGAAACTAATGCAAATTTTACATTTTATATTAAACTTTCTGTTTTAGAGCTTCGTGAATTCGTGGATAGTGTAGTAAGCGAATTGGGCTATCCAAATGAATCAGAACTTCAAGGAGCTGTAAAAGGCATCGCCAGACTTCAAAACGTCTATAATCTCACCACGTCAGATGTCGCCGATGGCCTCATAGATGGCGTATTGTATGAATCGGAGCTTAACTGGCGGGAATGCTATGAAATCGGAGTTATACTCTTCGATCTTGGGGAATACCAACGTTCTCTGGAGTGGCTTCAAGTGGCCTTTGTCATTCTTAGAGGGAATCCTGGCCAAGAGGAAAACGAAAATTTCTACTTATCCGATATAAAGGAATACGCGGCACTTGCAAACTTTGAACTGGGAAATCCGAAGCGATCTGAGAGACTTTTGAGCCAAATTCTGGAGCTGGAATCTTCATCTACTTCCCATCTAACTCGCAAGTATATTGATGCTAAAAAACCGGGAAAGTCTTCGGAAGTAAATAATCCCACATGGTACGCAAATTATACGAGACTGTGTCAGGGTAAGAAGCTACCAGAGGGGAGTAATGGAAGGCCGTTAAGTTGTTATTTGGATGGAAAGATAAACCCTTATTTCGTATTGGCACCGCTGCAAGTTGAGCCAGTACACGTTGATCCGGATATTAATGTTTACCACGGAATGCTGAGCCACCAACAAATGAATTCCGTTTTCGAGGAGGCGGACAAGCTGGTGATGTACCGTTCCTCCGTTGCCGGGGCTGGCGGGCAAGGAACCGTTGCCGATCTACGGGTCAGCCAGCAAACGTGGTTGAATTATACTACACCGGTCATGAAGTCGATTAGCCGGATTATTCAGTTTGTTTCCGGTTTCGATATGGCCGCAGCGGAATTTATGCAAGTGGCTAATTACGGCGTGGGCGGGCAGTACGAGCCGCATCCGGACTATTTCGAATTCAATTTGCCAACGCAGTTCCATGGTGATCGGATCTCTACAAGCATGTTTTATGTAAGGTTTTGACTGTGTGCTAATAATACTATTATTTATGTAACATTATTTTAGCTTTCGGACGTGGAACAAGGCGGCTACACGGTATTCACAAAGCTGAATGTGTTCCTGCCACCAATAAAGGGAGCCATGGTCATGTGGCATAACTTGCATCGGTCCCTGGATGTGGATGCTCGAACGTTGCATGCAGGCTGTCCAGTGCTAGTGGGTTCTAAACGAAGTAAGTTTCGATATAATATACACTTCCTCTTCATTCAGAAAGTTAAAAATCACTCGTATTATAGTTGGCAATATTTGGATGCACTCGGGCTTCCAGGAATTCCGTCGTCCATGTAACATAACTTCAGATAGTTACAAGTCTGCAGCCTACAGAAATTGAAACTAACTTTGAAAAGTTAAATCAGTAAATATTAATGGACAGTCATAGAACTAAATAATTTTTAGCTTAAAAGTTTTCATAAAAGTCTATAATTTAAATAAACGTTTTTTATTTCTTTCTAAAACTGAGTTCTTAATTGTGGAATAAAAAAAGGGGCAGTTGAACGACGCACGAGTTAAACGAGTTATTTACCTTGAAGCACTTGTATTTGTATCTGCCGGTGTCTGGACTCCTTGTTTACATACCTTTTGTATGCCTACGTGACAGTTTGAGCTCTTTGGGCTTAATTCGCACTCAAGTACGATGATAGGCTCGCCCCGAGGCTAAATTCCTCAGTCAGTCGCTCAGAATGTTGCATTTAACTTGGTACTTGGCTTGTGGAATGCTCCTGCATTTAATTTTCAGTAAAAGTGCGAACGGAGAGTTTTATTCTTCCGTGGATAGTTTACAGGATCTGGCTAAAGTGGAGGAGTACCTGATAAATGCCACTCATTTGTATCTGGAGGCACAGCAGGAAAAATTAGACATTTACAGGCGGTATTATATTATAAGTTCCATTTTAGGTTGATACCGTCTGTATTAATCATTTTATAATAAAAATGAGTTATTTTTTAGGTTTGTAGAACAAATCAAACAGGAACAGGAACAGGCCAGGTTTTTAAATAATTTGGACGACTACCTAGGACATCCGCTGCACTCTTTCAGATTTTTAAAGCGTTTAACTTACGATTGGGATTGGCTTGTCTTTGGTCCCATTGTCGACAATAAACCAAAAGAAGGTAAGTTTTGAATCCACGATTCTAATACCAGAGCTCCTAATCTAACTTCCCTAATCCTAATCTTAACTTAGAGTTTGAGAATTCTGTCAATGGTTTAATTGAAAACTGGGGCTATCCCAATAGCTCGGAGGTTCAAGGAGTTGTTAAAGGAGTGGCTAGACTCCAAAAGGTTTATAATCTCACCGCTTCAGATCTAGCGGATGGAATCATAAATGGCTTACTCTACGAAACACAACTGGATTGGAGGGATTGCTATGAAATTGGAGTTCAGCTTTTTGAAATCGGAGATTATTTAACATCTGAAGAGTGGCTGGAGGAAGCCTTGGTTCTAATAGAGGAAAACCTAGAACAGGAACACGGAGCTGTGTATAAATCCGATATTAGGGAATACTTGGAATTAGTTAATTTTGAGTTGGGCTACACCAAAAGATCTAAAAGCTTATTGAACGAAAGTTCCGCTCAGCTAACTCTTAAATTCTTGGAAAATTCAAAACGAAAGGAGATTCTGGCACAGGATGATTTCCCTTGGTTTGCCAATTATTCAAGACTTTGTCAGGGTAATCGATTGCTAGAAAAAAATGACAACATCCTTAATTGCTATTTGGATGGAGAACGACAAGCTTTCTTCATTCTGGCTCCATTGAAAGTGGAGCAAGTCCATCTGGATCCCGAAATTAACGTTTACCATGGACTGCTAAGCACCCAACAAATTTCCTCCATTTTCGCCGAGTCCAATAAAAAGGAAAGGATTCGGTCAGGGGTAGCTGGTGAAAATGGAGAAGATAGAACCGTTAAGGACATTCGTGTTAGCCAGCAGACTTGGCTGAACTATTCAACCCCAATTATGAAATATGTGAGCAGGATTAACGAGTACATTTCCGGCCTTACAATGCAAGGAGCTGAAGAAATGCAGGTGGCCAATTATGGAGTCGGTGGTCAATACGAGCCTCACCCTGATTATTTTGAATTTAATTTGCCTTCAGACTTTGAAGGCGATCGCATTTCCACCAGCATGTTCTATGTGAGTAATAAGTATACTTTTTAGTACCTAATTTAGATGTTTTCTACAGCTTTCCGATGTTCAACAAGGTGGCTATACAGTATTTCCCAACCTAAATGTATTTCTGCCTCCAGTCAAAGGCTCCATGGTGTTGTGGCATAACCTTCATTATTCGTTGGATGTAGATGCCAGGACATGGCATGCCGGATGTCCCGTCATAGTGGGTTCCAAAAAGAGTAGGTTATTCAATTACTTTATTCCATTTAGCATACTTTTCTTAACAATATTTCACAGTTGGCAACATCTGGATGCACTCGGGCTTCCAAACCTTCCGTCGACCATGTCATCCAATCTCAGATAGTCATAAATCACTGGCTTATCATAATTAATATTCTCTCTTACTTTTAATAAATTAAAATCTTATTTTTATAAATGGTCATAAGTTGTAGACTTTAGTCAAAGTCTCTAAAGGGTACTGAAATTTCATGGTTTCGCTGGAGATCGCAGGGCTTCACATTATGCTGATTCCGTTCTCGTATCCAAACATTGGCAACTACAATGAAAAGTTATTTTTCTTTAATGTTCAATAAATATTCATCAGGTCTACTCACTCCATTTGCTTCCTTGAAGGACAGGGCAAGCAGCATGTTTAGTGCGATAGTCCTGATCTCCCGACGCATGAAGATTGTACCAAAAGAGTAGACTTCCTTTTTCAGGAGTAACCAACAGAGGTAAAAAGGGAAAGGCAGTGCCACCTCCTGCCTCCACATCTGAGAGCTGGAAAAGTATATTATTTTTTTTTTGACATAATTATCAATTATAGATTATACCTACATAATATATTCCCGTGGCTATGCGGTTTCCTCTGTCGTCCCCCTCATCGTATACGTGATTTTCGGGGAAACTGTCCCAGTGGGGTTCGTAATGACCACCAATTCCATAATTGGCCACCTGCAGCTCTTCTGCATAGTGCATATCCAGGCTGGATAAGTCGCCGACATGGCAGCTGAGTATTTTGGTGGCTGCATTTCGCGAATAATTAAAGGAGGCCCCTTGACTGGTGCGGAAGGCAGCGGCCTGGGAGGCGCCTCCTCCTCCAATAGCATACACAGTAGATCTTTTGATTTTAGGTCTAGCCATTTTTTGGATGAACTCTGCTGTTTTCGAGCTAACCACTTGATGCACCTGAAACACCAAAGGCTCGTGGCTTAGCTCTTCCAACTTGAAAGGAGCATAGCCCAGTCGACTCCTTCGTAATCGACACCTCAGTTTTCGCTGTTTGGCCGGAGAAGGGTTCAAGTCTCCTCGGCACACCTGTTCATACATTTTAAACTCCCGGGACGCGTGGTAGTCCCCAGGTCGACGCGCCGTCAAATGAAGCAATCCGTTCTTATCCCCATCAGTTATTAATTCCTCTAATTGCTGACGGGTTTCCAAAAGGTGGCTTCGGTGCTCTGGTTCGATTGAGAGAACATGATTCACCAATCCAAGTGCCGTCTCATGGGCCCCCATTTCCCGATGATAGTCCACCACGGCTTCCATGAAATCCAGGGACGCAGACTCCTGGCCATAGCTCTGTTCTCCGAGCAACTGCATCGATTGTTGTAGCCATGGAACCGTGTGGTTGTAGTCCCTCAAGGCATAAAGGTGCTGGCCGAGAACAAAGCAGTCCTGCCAGGACATGGCAGTGCTAAAAAGAAATGAAAAACCAGCTATATTTTTTCGTCTCCTTTTAATTCCAATTTTTGAATTATTGAGTAACTTCCTTTTCCACTTTCAAAGCTTCCCCTGTCATTTAATAAGCTTGTGTTTTGCCAACATTTTAGCTCCCAAACTATAAACTTTCTGGCGGAAGAGGAAAACAGACGCATAAACCCAGTTGCTGTGTATTGTTCAAAATTTATAATAGGTTGTGTGAAAAAGTTGTGTCATCATTAACCACAACATTTGTACCTCAACATCTAACCAGAAAACATTTTAACAATTTGTTGGAAGCTCTGCCAGTCTTTGTACGTCAATGAATCACATTTCGGCTAGAATGAAAATGTGGGAACTAGGAACTCACCCATATTTGACTCCATTAAGAATGCCACTGGCCAACTCGGCCACATCAAGTTGGTAAGTCTGTTGCAACCGGGTCAGGGCAATGGCAGAGCCCACGAAATCATCCTGAGAGGGAAAGCTTAGGTTTGCCTTATGGCCGACCATATTTTCCAGGAAATCTGTAATAGTAAGGTTTTAGTTTTTATATTAATTCTTTTGTTATAGTGAGGTTTACTTTCACGACTCGTGTCTGCGGAAACACTGCTTTCGAAAGTCTCCCAGTCGCTATGTAATCGCTTAATTAACCGGAAAGCGTTTACCGGGTTGTTGAGGTAGTCATCGATGTTTTCGGCGGCACTCAGGTGCTCCGTACGGATTGCATCAATTTCGCTGGGGAGAAGGAAAAAAATTCAAAAAATAAGATCCCATTAATCAGACTCATAAACGCTGGGCAAAGCAGCATAACTAAAGGCATTTGCATTAATTAAGTTTGTTAGTTTGGACAAACTATAACCAAAAATTCTTCACGCTTATACACTGATAAAAAAGTTTTTAATTTTATATATCTTATAAAATAAAATTAAGCTACAAACCAGATTGGAATTTTAAATGCACTTATAAAAAGACACTTATAAACAGCATTTAATTCTCGTAGTGTCGGGCACCTGACTGAAACAATTTTTCAGAATTATGGTACAAAAAATACATTGTAGAAAAAATACATAAATACAGGTATCCAGGGCTATCGGTGGGTTACCTGTTTTGTATAATTAACGCATTTATTTTCACGCCTGTCTCCTGCAGTGAGGCTAATTTCAAGTCATTAAGATGGTAGCGTAACCATAATCTAAATCAGAAACAACACTCTACTAATTTTGGTTCAACTCTATTGTTAAATTAGTATTGTTTCAATGATTAAGTGGCAGATGTGTTTGCCAATAAATCTGCTTTATTTCAAAGAAGACGCCATGCACTTTGAACAATTGTTTACACGGTGAAAAAGTGTGAGACCTGTTCTTTGTTTATTATTGATCGACTGATTACTCATTTGGTTATAAATCGTATACTTTACATTTATCTAACGGTTCTCGAGAGCCAATGCAATCCGGTTTACCAAGTGCGAATGATAAACAAAATTAAAAATATTTATACAAATACGCGGCTGAGGCGATGATTGCACCATATTTTAGTATTCTAAATTTGCCAAGTCGATGACACTTATGGCCGAGCAACAAAATAAACTTAAAGCAATTGATTCTTAGATCCGACTGCAGATAACGGGGCTGGTAGCCATCGATAGCCTCTGATATGCAAATTCATATACATATTTCCTAAATGCCGCCAAATGTTCAAGACGATTGCCCAGCGATTTGTGCTTTATATGAGCCATTAATTAGTATAATAACCGGCGCGAATAAATCAAGCCAAGAAATAGGAGAAATTAGCAGTCCATAAAATAAAAAGAACCGCACCGTATCTAAACAAATAGCCTCAGTTAGCCTCAGACAAATCGATGGGCATCGAAGGCTCATAAAGTCCGTTTGCCATTCTCTTTTTGGTGCAACCGGTTGAATGGGGATACTAAAAATCTTCCAAATCGTAATAAAACAGAAGTTATCTAGAGTTTAATATGGCGATGTCACCTCTATCCCACACCATTTCAATTACCGACAAAAAAAACTATGAAAATCGCCCGCCCACCCGGAGTGCCCATTAGCATGGAATTTATGTGGGTGTTCCACCGCGCTTATGAAATGAAAAATTCATAATCTGTTGTCCGCTGACATCTGTCAATTGTTTTTTATTCAATTGAGAAATTGTATAAATATACATATTCCGTTGGAAATTAATTGGTTCTTCGAATTCCAATAGTTTTGTATGCAAAGTAAGAATCTAATTTGCATTTTTTTAAAGCAAACGACCGTAGGCCTATACTTAAAGCCAAAACCAGCCTGGATTAGTGGGCTCGACAAGAAACCAGTTAAACTTTCATTTTAGTCCAGGCTTTAAAATAGTTTATTACTAATGGAGGAATGATTAAAAAAAAAAGAGCATATGTTCTTGTATTCAGACAGGATTTGTTCACTTCTATTTTAAAGAGATGCATTTTTAATTTTTTTATTCTTTTACAATTTCAAGCATAAGCAATAATATTTTTTACAATTAACTCACCTTTGCAGAGCCAAAGCATGTTGATTTATCTCATTTACATAATTTTGTAATTCTTCCAGCAGCACTATCTCAGTTTTGAATAACTTTTCCAGACCCGAGGTGGAGCTGAAAAACTCTCCACGGCAGGATAATATGTGTAGCACAAAAAAAAGGACACTAATCACTCCGGACATATCTCTAGTTTAACCGAAAATGTTACCGGCTTTCAGATCGCGTCTAGCAATTCGCTTGCTGTTCCACCGGCGCTTCGTTAGAAACTGACTTTCAGTCGACGGCAAAAGCGACGATCTTTGTCCGATCTTCTAAAAAAAACACAACAAATAAAAAGCTCGAGGCGTACTGCGGGAGGTGATCAAGCAGTTCCAGTACTCGAATCAAATGGTGTGGAATCTCTGGTCAAAGAACTGCCCTTAGGGTTTTATTTCTGCATGAATAGCTGCGGCATAATGAGTACTTAACAAGAGGAGTTGGGGTCAATAAACTAGAAAGCTCACAAATTATTAACATTTACATAAGACAGAACTTCTGGCAGCTATTCCAAGAATCATAACATTTTCCCTAGGTGGTGTGTATTAAACATTTAAATTATATGACGCGAATTTCTCCCACTAATTACTTTCACTTTACTGCTAGCAGCAGTTGTCACTTCACAAGCTCTAATATTCAAATCACCCACAGAAACTTTGCCCGTGAACTTGTTTATGCAAATTAAGCCGGCAAAATGAATAGCAGTCGACTGGCTTTTTGTTTTCAGTTTTTTGGCTCAGCTTCAAGTCAACTCGCTTGGTTTGTTTTGAGTGGAATCGTAAAAGCACTCAACACACTTTTAACCCACTACAACCCCGAAACAAAAACCACATTAATCTGACTAGGAAATATCACAATCTTTATTTTATTATCTCGTACTCCAAGGAAACCTCATGATCCCGGAAAACATCGCAGGGCCGGGCAAAGGTCTGCGTCATGTCGTGGATCCAAACGTTGCCAACTGCAAAGATCAGGTCAAAATTGTTAAGTTCATTTCAAAGGTGAGCTCTGTAGCAGGTGGATGTGACTTGATGGCTCAATTGGAGACTCTTAAAGTGGTCTAACATTTAAAGTGATTATCTGACCGAAACAATTGCTGAGATTTTTTTAATTTTGTGATTAATGTTAATGCTTGAACTGGCATATGTAGCTCATTGTATTTTATTGTTAAATGTAGAATGCGTCGTTTTTTAAATAGTTTTCTTCAATAGATTCATGAAAAACAACACTTACTCCACTTACTGCCCTTTAGAACGGGACAACCGGCATGCTTGGTTCGGTAATCCATGTCCAAGGACCTGTGTAAATTGTACCAAAAGAGCACATTTCCCAGCTGGGGTTTGACTGCAAAGTCCAGAAAGGGAAATGCTGTAGCCCCTCCTTGCTCCACGTCTGAAAGCTGATTAAAAAGAGTTGGTAATTTATATACAACAAGAAACAAAAAAAAAATTACATAGAAAATGGCAGTGGCGATGCGATTTCCCTCCTCCGCAGGGTAATGATTTGGATCTCTGAAAAAGTCCCAATGCGGTTCGTAATGACCGCCCACTCCGTAATTGGCCACCTGGAGCTGCTCGCAGTAAGTGGTGTCCAGTCCGGTGGCATCTTTCAGATCTCTCAGCATTCCTTCCATGGTGGGGTGGGACTCGTACGCCAGCCAGGCGTTCTTGCTCACCCGAAAGGCAGACTTTTTATTTTGCCCTCCGGGTAGGGGGTTGACTGTAGACCTCCTCATCCGAGGAACTGCCATTTGGCGGAGGTCTGTGATCTTCTGAGGACTGAGCATGTCGTGGTACGTGACAACATAGGGGTCTAGGTTGTGTTCCTCCAGCTTTAGTGGTGCTAGCAGTCGAAACGGATGGCTTCCTCGGCTTAGCCGACACCTTAAACGTCGCTCCTGCCTCGGTGTAGGACTCACCTCGCCACGGCACACCTTTTCGTATTGAGCGAATTCACGAGTTAGCTGAAAAGGATAATGCAAAAATGAAAATTCAATGTGTCTAAATACAAAATATTCATTCTTTAGTAAAAATAAACTACTACCAACTACTGATACTAGTTCCACTAAATACTAATACTTTCCAATGTAACCCAGGTAACGATTGAAAATACATTTTCATAAAAATCTAAAAGGTATTTTGGTCGGGTGAGAATGCCTTAAGAAAAAAAAGTATTTTCTTAATAATTAAATTTAAAGTATAATTTATCACAAAATCACCGCCAAATTTATTTTATGAACCAAAATTACTCATACGCCCTGTTGTCATGCTTCATCTTAATTAACAAATTATCTATACCTTGCTTTTAGGCTTTAAGCTCGAATAAACCATGCGCTAATTAATTCTTTAATTCATTTCTACATGTTGTGGGATTTTTCAACTCACACTATATGAATCGGAGTGCCTGGGCAATAATGGGTCATCGGTCTCCTCCGGAAGTGCCACGCCTTTGTCGCCCAAGTGCCAATTCCGGATGCGTTTCGGATCGAACTGAAGAACCCGCTGGCTGAGCTCGTAGGCCGTGTCGAAGTCGCCTAAAAAATATAATCGAACTCGAATTAAACAGTGTCCCCAAAGCTTTGGCACTCATTCAATGCTCACCCAGTTGGAACAAACCCTTGGCGACCGTTTCCATTTTGTTGAGGGTATCGTAGTCGGGTCCGTTTGTGGGCGTCGAGTGGGCGGGGCTGCTGTGGCGCCGCAAACGCTCCATTGACTCCCTTATCCATACCTTGGTGTTGTTGTAGTCCTCCATTTCAAAGAGTTGTTGGCCGAGCTCGAAGCAATCCTGCCAACTCATGTCGGTGCTAAAAATAAAAACTAAAAATATTATTTATACAAAAATCGACTCGACGATACACTAGGTTGAAATAACAGAAGTCGGGCTTATTTGAATTTCAATGAAACAAAACTTTAAATAGCAAAACATGCATAGTTTCACGGTTTATGGGTAAATATAAAATCAAAGCATAAACTTGTGGGTGCTCTAAATCTGTTTTTTTAAATAACAGGTATCGGAAGTTTTATGAATGCATAAAGTATAATTTTCTGTGTTTATAATCAGGATATGAAATCTTATTATACCGACATGTTTAAGGAACCATGGATGAATGAAATATAAACTATTTCCAGAGCATTGAGACTTTCTGGGGAGGATTTGGAAATAGATAGGTTTGGGGCCGGGATTAGCTGGAATAACTCGACGTATTTTAAGCCTGGCTGGTTATTGCTTATTCGCCCCCGTCATCTCACCCGTATTTGACGCCATTCAGGATGCCTGCGGCTACCTGGGCCACATCCAGCTTATAGGTGCTCTGCAGGCGAACCAGAGCCAGGGCAGCTCCTTCTACATCCTCTTGGCTCGGAAAACTGAGGCCATAGCTACGGGTGGCATTAAAGACTGAGAAAGTACACAAATTAATTACTTCTACTAAACAAAATATAATGATACTAACTCATATCTTCGGAAATCTGCTGAACACGTCCTTCCATTAATGCCCAATCCATGTTGAGGCGCTTCATCAGCCGATAGACATTCACAGGATTGGTGAGGTAGTTTTCAGTATCCTTTGATGCCGATACATGCTCCTGTTCGATGGAGGACAATTCTCTGCCAGATTTAAAACGGGTTTTGGATTAGTAGTGTGTTAGGTGCCTACCAGTTTAACCGATTTATGACTCGTGTCGTCATAGGAGGTGACTTTGCATGCGCATACCCGTATTCCGACTTAATTAATTCTAATTTATGTGTGATTCTATATTCATAATAGTTTTTATGATCGCTGCGATAAGAAACAAAGCAGGCGAAATGGAATAAAACGAAAGCGAAATGCCACGATCACGCAGCAAACATGATAACCAATTTGATATTAATATTTTGGTCTTCTGCCAATACTGACTATCTTTCGCTAATGTTTGAATGACTTCTCTCTCGAGGAAGTGTCACCTATCTATCATCAGACTTGGTTCACACATTAAAAGTCGACACAATGTCTGGTACCCTCTTGTCTCATGTGTAAACTTTATAAACTAGTTCTCGAAAGGGGCATAAAAACTTTAATGGATTTGCTAACAACAATGGGTTGTAATTAAATTAGCATTGTTTTTATTTGAATACGAGATCTAGCTAAAAGTGTGTTTAATTTTGTAGGCTTTTGTATTTTGATTCTTTTAAAACTATATTATATTAGCTCTTATTCGGGATATCCTTTTTAAGGAAAAAACAGTATAACATTTTGTTTAAATGCAGGGTTATGCAAATTAATAAAAAATATTCCACGACACTTGAAACGTTTTCATTCTAATCAATGTTTTTATTTCATTTTTAAGACTACAGGATAATTTTTTGAATTATTTTCAAATATAGTAGTTTTTTTACTGATATCTGGATATTATATACATAATAACTATCCTTTTATAATTTTTGTAATTTCTGCCTTCGATTTCTAACTATAACACATTTTTTCGTCCTTCTACTTACCTCTCCAATTGCTGAACAGAGTTCTTAATAGTATCAACTTTAGATCTCAGGTTTTGCATTAGATAGTTCTCTGTTTTCAAAAGTTCCTCCAGACCGGTGATGGAAGAAAAATAATCCGAGGCAAGTGAACTGTGACCCCAACAGGACACAAGTCCCAGCAGTAGAAGTAATCTCATTCTCTATTAATTTAGTAAGTCTCGTTTGTAGTTATCCTTTATCAAATGCTTTCAAAAAAATGGTATCAATATTTTCTCTATTAATCCGTCGTCGTTCGCGTCTCGTGGCGAACTGATCGGATAGATCTTCGACGGATCTCGATTCTCAGACATCCCGGAGCGAGAATTAATTTCGCAAACTAGTTGCGGCTGGCCGTCTATGATTTGGAAGAAAACTGTTTTATTAGCCAGTTCTGTGCATGTTCCGAGAACCCAGCCGAAGCCGAAGAGAAGTTCGAGAATATCGAGCGTGTTTTATGGCTTGTTTTGTGCTGATTTACTGATGCTTATCGGCCGAACGAGCTCGTTTCGAATTCAGAATTCGATTCGGGCTTAGATTCGGATTTGCGGCTATTGTTTTTGGTCCGGATTGGAGCCGCCCGAGCATATTAATACGGGCTAATTGGTCTTTGATATTTAGCACTGCACTTCGCAACTTTTTTGGTTTAGCGACAGTGTTGGAAAATCGAGCGAATCTTTATGGCCAATTAACATTTCACATCCGACCGGTGCGACAGTTCCATGTTGTGGTTTATGGACCCCCGGCTGTGGCATTATTTATTCTATCCCCCCGGGGCTCCTCGGGCTGCCAATTTGGAGCAATGATTTGTTAATGAGCCAGCCGACGGAGTCTACTATAATTCACGATGTTTTGATTTGCAATCTTGGATCGTTGATTTATCGACTTCAGAGGTGGTCAACACTTGTTTTATGGCCCACCAGTGAGCTCTGCTGTTTCACCAGCTTCCACTTAACAACAAACACCAAACAAAAACAGAAAAGCCGCAGATGGCTCACAATTATGGATCTCATTCAAGCCGAAATGCCTCCCATTTCGCTTTTGTTTACCCAACCCATTCACATCGCCGACCACTCCCCACGGCCAATAACGCAATAAAAGGCTGATTTTTAATCAAATGCCAAGGCCAACTTTATTTCAGTCCCCCGCAGCCAATTAATGCATACATATGTACGTAACACGCATCGTGGAAAGCCCTCGTGGAAAACTCTCGCATCAATTTCCCCGACAGAGTCAACTGAGTCCTGTCCATGCAGCTGCATTTGCAATTGAAAGGAATACAAATGAAAATGAAAACGGGTTACAGTATAGAGTCGACTATAAGATACCCTGGATTTTGAGTATTTTCATATACATATACTATTTTTCATACCACATCATAGGGATATATGTATATTACTTGTGATATTTAGAACCTTTCGGGTTTAAAAACTAATTAGGAAAATAATACTTTCTTATGTAATTAGCTCTTTTAAAATTATAATATTTGAAATAGTTTATGTGATATACCCTACAGAGTATCTTAAGTCGACTGGCATCATAAGTACATATATGTACAAAAAAATGCCGCTGGGCTGAAAATCAAATCCTGTCACGCACTTTCCGCCAGAATACTTACAAACTTGGAAACCCAAAAGCACCGGACATACAGCATGCTGACTGCGGTAGTCCCACTCCGGTTCGGTGAGAGATACGCCGGAGATGCGTGTACGCCAGTAGAGCACCGAACCACGTGGGACATTCACGCCGAGTTCCAGTTGGGGGAAGACCAAGGCACCTCCCATTCCGGGGTCTTGCAACTGAAAAAGGCCGTGATGAGCCAAAAATTAATTAGCGACACATTAGTCAATTAATTTGGCAGCCAGCGCGGGAAACCACGTACTTTCAGCAGACCACGTGCCACATGTCCCGGATTATCCTCCAGCCGGGTGGTGGAGTGTTCGTGGCTATGACGACGTGCCTCCCACGCTGGGTCCTGGGCTCCCACATCGCTGTCAAGGTGATGGCGAATGCTTCTCAGCTTCTTCTGGGCCAGCTTAGAAAACTCCAGAGGCTGGTAGCCAGTTCTACTACCCTTCTGCTCATCCACAAGCTCCAGCAATTGATCGGTTTGCTTCTGGGTCATCACATCGTGATATAACACCACATAAGGGTCTGAACTTAGGGGTTCCAATCTATATGGCTGGAGGAGGGTCCATGGCGTTCGTCCTTCAAAATGACACTGACTGAAGCGACTTCCTATTGTTGGTCCTTGGGTTGCCCCGCGGCAGAGTTCCTCGATGAGCAACTGCTCTGCTGACTTAGTTTTCTGAGAAAAATATTTTTAAATTACTTGAGGGCATCTCGAATTCAAATATATTTAAATTTTTACTGAAAGTTTTGCTTTTTCAGGCTTAGGTAGAACTTATCGAGAAATAAATATCCTTCTTTTTAAATTTATTATATAACCCCCCTAAAATTAATTTATTATTGTTGACAGCTTTGAAATGCGTACTACAAAGGATTAGAAACATTTGCTTTTATGTTCCAGAAAGGCGTTACCTTTGCCTGCAAAGTTCTTCTCTTTTTTAAATTACAGGCTTAACCTGAAAGTTAGTCCTTCACTTACTTGCGTCTTTGCCTTTGACTTTTGTGTCTTTCCCGCGGGCAAATCCTTCTTGGCCAGACGTTTCTCAATCTTGGCCTTGGCTTTTAGAACGCTTTGGTTCATCGGAAACAGAAGCAGCAACTCCTCGGCAGCTGTCAGAGCCCGGGTAAGTTCACCTAAAACGGGAAAAACCTTTTTAAAAAGGCTAAAAAATTGCATTTAACCCTGAGGTGTAGCAACCTGCTTTGTATTCCATGTTTAGTTGTTCCTCCAGAATCTGGACTCGACCATTTTCCCGCTCCTTCGTGTGGTCCGTGGAGTTTTCAGTGGGCGACGGCAGCTTGTTCATGGCTGTTTCCAGCCAAAATCTAGCCACAGAGGACTCTGAATTGCGCGCCACTTCCAGGCAGTCGCCCCAGGACATTGCCGAGCTATAAGTATGCAAACAATTTTTGATTGCTTTTCTTGGCTCCTCTTTGTTAGCATTTTTTCTTATTTCGGTTGTCTTACCCCATTTTTATGCCATTGACTAGACCCAAAGAGAGACTGCTGGGCTCCAAGTCATAGACCGACTGAAGATGCAGGAGACTGCTCAACGATTCCTCATACTCCTCGTCGGTGGGCAGAGCCAGGTCTCTTTGGCTGAATTCCTCATTCACACCCAGTTGATCCGTGGCGTTTGCCATTTGCTCCAATCTGGGCCAAACACTTTCGAAACGTTTCAGGATAGTGAGGACATTCAAGGGATTCCCCATGTACTCCTCGACGCCATCAGGGTCTACCTGGCGGTGAATCTCAGCAATGCCCTCCGTCTCCCTTCGAATCTCCTCTATCTGTAGCTCCAGCCTCTCAATATAATCCCTCAGTTCATCAATAAGCTGTGTTTCCGTGACCAAGAGAGACTCCAGTTGCTCTTCACCTTTAAGAGAACTTCCACAAGCCATCGAAGTCATCAGCATAAGCTGGCATAGGCACAGAAACCCATACAACATTTGCATAATTAGCCAATGGTTTTTTTGTGATTCTTGTTCTGTATTTCTCTTATGCCCTCGGGTCAATGACAAGGGATTTTTTGTATAAAATCTTTGGTTTAAACACAGAACATGCGACCGAACAGCTTGGACGAAGTTACTAAACTGACCCCTAGAATCATAACATTAGAGACTAGATGTTGGTTTTTTTCTAGAAAGTGGTTTGATCAGGTTTTTTTACAATAATTATCTAACATTCGTGGTAGTCTATTTATTATTTGTAAAGCTTTATTAATATTCAAATAATTTTATTTGTTAATGTTCTTTTAAAAGATTAAAGTCTTGTTATTTGTTATTTATGTTCGAATTGCAAAAATCTTCCTTCATCGCTGCTAAGTCCACAGGGACGTTTAAAAACCTGAGTTCCTTCATGAAACCATTCATTGCAAACTGAAAATGTTTGAGAATAAATGAAATATGCAGGAATTAAGCATTTTGTGAAACATACTCCATTTGGATCCTTTGAGAACGGGGCAGCCAGCATGCTTAGTTCTGAAATCCTTGTGCAGAGAACGATGAAGGTTATACCAAACCAAAAGGCTGCCTTTGACAGGCGGGACGGCCAGGTGGAGAAACGGAAAAGCAGTTGCTCCGCCTAAGGCCACATCGTTAATCTGAAAATTAAACATCGTATGCCACAATTCATTTTTTTAAAGCTCAACTAACTTACATAAAAAAGTGCAGTCATCAGACGGTTTCCTTTCCAGCCAAATACTTTCTGGGGCTCCTAAAATGTATTTTTATTTACATATCTCGCCGAACTGATTTACAAACTTACTTCCACAAAATCGAAATGCGGCTCGTATTGCCCTCCAATGCCATAGTTAACCAATTGCAGGGGCTCTGCACTCTCTGTGCTCAAGCCTGTGATATCCTCCAGCCGTTGCTTGATTTTCGAAAGCCAGGGATTTTCGTTGTACCAGAGCCAGGTATTAGCACTGGTGCGAATATCAGAAGTGGTGGCATTTTGGGATTGGCCCACTCTAGAACGCACCATGCTGCCCAAGCCTTTCTCAATGATTTGCTCCATTTCACTTGGATTTATGGCCTGATGGTAGTAGGCCACATACGGGTCCAGGTTGAGTTGCTCAACTTTAAAGGGAGCCAGACGATAGAAGGCCACATTCTGGTGGCTGAACATGCACCTGAGTTTCCTCTGCTCTCGAGGAGATTGCCGGAGCTCTCCTCTACAGACTCGTTTGTAAAGTTGATAGCTCTCCTTGGTCTCCTGAAATAAAAAACACTTTTTAGCCCCCTTGTGGCTTACTTTTATACTCATACAAACCTTATTATTTGGCTCAGGCAAAGCTACTGGGATTCTGGGACTATGATTACGTTCTTTGGCCAATATAGCTTCATAAACAACTTTATTTCTTAAAGCCTCTTCGTGGTCAGATTCCTGTTCCAAAATCTCATTATTCAGCTTGTTAGCTAGTTTAAGGTTTCCCAAGTGGTAGTAAGCGGGTATTAGCTTTTCCAAAATCTCCACGTCCGTGACATTTGGTGAGATCAAATCCGAAGAATCATCATTAATTTTCTTTCTGGCCTCCAACAGCCATTCTGAGCCATAGAAGTACTCTTGCATTTCGCACAGATTCTTTCCCAATTCTAGACAATCGCTGGCACTTAGGGAGATATTCAGATGATTTTTTTCTCCAGCAAGAACTCCATTGGCTAACTGAGATGTGGGTAACTGGTATATATTTTGCAGGCGAAGTAAACCACGAGTGGCTCCCTTAAGATCCTCAGCATTGGGTCCTTTGAAATCGATCGTTTTCAGGCCCCCGCTTAAAGAATTCTTATAGTCCTCGAGGTTGGTTGTATTGAAAATTGGCTCGAAAACGTTAAACTTCCAATCGTAGACCAGACGTCGAATTGTGGTAAAAGCATTCAAGGGATTTCCAAAATAATCGCCAAGATCGTCGTTATCAGGTTGTAGCTCCTCTACTTGATCTAGAAATCTTTAAAGAAATTGGAATTTTTATTTTAAAAAAGTTTTCATTCATTTAACCTTTTAATATTGTCTTGTTCTCGTTGTGCCCTATCAAGATATTCCTCGAACTTTTCCACAATGAAGGCTTCCACATCTAGCAGTCGCTCTAGTTCACTTGTAGCTGAATAGTAATCTCCATTTACTGAGACCAGGTAGAAGCTGATATAAAGTATTAAAAAAATGGAATGTTTTCGGGACATTATCACTGCTCTGAGTTTGAAAAGTTACTAACCAGAGAATCCAAATGAAGGAGTCGAGACTCTTGGCTGGGAGCGCAGCTAAGTAAACATTTATACAGTTGGAGTTGTTTTTTGGGCATTTCTAGTATGGAGTGGGGCAAACGTGAAAGTAGGTGGCTTTAAAGAACATTCACAAAACGAGAAATACACGCTTATTGTATTACGAACGAGTTGACACAAGGATGTTTGCTTTGGAGATCAGACGAATCATTTGGGATCTAAGTTGGTTAATAACAATATATAAAGCAACATTGTAACATCTTAACAATAGTTTTTATAATTTTAGCAAAAGCATGAAATACTAGAAAATGTATTTAAACCATAAAAAATCGTATTAAAGACATGGTGATTTTTCAGATTTCAATACTTTTTTTTAGTACAGATAAATTTTCCATAATGTCAAGAACTCATAAAATATTTTCACTTTTTTCTTTATTTATTTGTTTTATTATACAAGGCTGCCGAAATTCTACAAATAATAACTATGCAATGTCGGTTTACGATCTTAAAAACCTTATAGTCTTGGAGGAGTACTTACTTGGTGTCTTGGACCGATTTAGGCAAGAACTGCAGTACAAAGTTATAACAATAGAGAAGTATGTGATTATTTTTAACAATGAAATAATAAACCAAATTCAATGACGATTTTTTTTTCTTTTTATTAGTTACTTGGAGATGACAAAGAAACGAAATAATTCATTAGAAATTAATAAGTTTGCATTTAATTTTGAAGAAAGTGTTCCCATCGTGCGCCGTTTATATTTTGATTATTCCCGTTTAGTGGCCTTCCTTGACAATAATTCTTGGGATGGTGAGAAAGACCTTTTTTTTGTCCAAAAGTGTGCAACGCAGTGAAGGAGACATCTCCGACCATATAAAGTATATATATTCTTGATCAGGATCACCTCCTGAGTTGATATGAGCATGTCCGTCTGTCCGTCTGTCTGTTTCACCGCAAACTAGTCTCTCAGTTTTAAAGCTATCGTCTTGAAACTTTGTACACACCTTTCTTTCCTTTGCACGCTGTATATAAGTCGGAACGGCCGGGATCGGCCGACCATATCATATAGCTGCCATATAACTGATTGATCGGAAATGGTATAACTTTGGTGTTTTTAGAGTTAGAGAGTTCAAATTTGACAAGAAAGCTATTTTTGGCAAAATAATACGACATGCCAAATTTCGTAAGGATCGGCCGACTACATCCTATAGCTGCCATATAACTGAACGATCGGAAATGACCCAACTTTCGTGTTTTTGAAGATAGAAAGCTGGAACTTGGTACAGATTATATTTTTGGTCAGTTGATCCAATCTACCAAATTTCATAAGGATCGATATATATCCGGTTTTAGCTGCAAGGGTATATAAACTTCGGCTCCGCCCGAAGTTAGCTTTCCTTTCTTGTTTTTAAGTAAAGTTAAAATAAAAAATTGGCTTTTAGTTTGTATTAAGGCTATATACGATCAGGAACCAAAATTGCCAACAAAAAAAGATTTAATAGAGACAACGAATGGATTGTATATCATGCAGAGCGTTTACTCAATGAAGATTTCCAAAATGGCGAAGGGCATTTTTCAAGGAGTGGACTACAAGTGGGTAATATTAAATTCAATGTTTTAATATATTTTAATATTTTATTTAGTTCCTCACTCAATGCCTTTGAGTGCTTTACCATGGCCATGTTTCTGGAAGAATTGGATGAATTGATTTATGCCAAGCAATGGCTTGAAGTTTCGCTGGATTTCTACATGAAAGATACAGTTAATAGAGATTTATATGCAGAACTTGGATTCTCCTCAATTATGATATATGAACTATACGCATCGGTCTTGCATCGTTTGGGTAACGGTAGAGACAACCTAACAGTTAACGATACCCTTAGGTCACTTAATCCTGAAGGTTTTGGCATTGAAAAGGATCAAATACAGGAACCAGATATGGTAAGATTTTGACAAGAATTTTTTTTTATTTACCTTTTCATTAGATTTTAGAAAAAGAAAATTGGGAGGCCTATACAACGTTTTGCTCAACAGAAAACCGTCCTTCAAAATCTAATCTATACTGCTTTTATAAAAGAAACACTTCACACTTCTTGTATCTGGCACCTCTTAAACTTGAGATCCTGTCCCTTAATCCATACATGGTGTTCTACCACGATGTGATTTCCGACAACGACATTTTCCTCATAAAGGTGGAGGGTCAAAAGAATCTGACAAGAGCACGTACTTTTAACTTAAAATCGAATAATCGGGAAGAAGATTCAGGCCGAACGACTAAAGTTGGTTGGTTGGATAATAATAGTCTGGCTATTGTGCAAAAAATGAACAAACTTGTAGAGGATATGACAAACTTAGACTTGAGCTCGTCTGCAGTTTATGAAGTTCTCAACTATGGAATCGGAGGATTCTATGGGGCTCATGTTGATTATTATTACGACGATGTAAGAAATTGAATACCAACCTGATGTGTTAAAAATATTCGATTACAGTTTCAGAAAAACGATGAATTTTTGGACGATCGCAAAGCGACTATTGTGTTCTATGTAAGTAAATGTATATTTCTGATTATCGAGAACTTTTTACTGTAATAATGAAATAATTACATATTAGTTAAGTGATGTGACTCAAGGGGGAGCTACGGCATTTCCAGCTCTAAATATATCAGTTTTTCCCAAAAAGAGATCTGCCCTAATGTGGTACAATTTGGATAACAAAGGAAATGGTATTCCAAATTCTATCCATACCGCTTGTTCCACTGCAGTGGGCTCCAAATGGGGTAAGAATATTTATTTTAAAAAGGAATAATACTTGGCTAATAATATACATTTTTCACATCCATCAGTTATGATTAAGTGGCTTACTCAAGCTGCACAGATGTTCAGGAAGCCCTGTTTAAAGGAAGTTTAAATTTTTTTATTTTTTACCAGACCGTTTAATTCTATTAAGTTTAACGATAATATTTGTCACGCTGATTCATCGTCAGTTTAAGTGTGTACTTCAAACAGTAATGCAGTTGTTTTTTAAAGCCACTATATTCTTAGTGGCTCTTAGTTTTCCCGAAGGGACCTACACATCGGTTTTGGATGACTACAAAGATCTGGATGCAAAAATCCGAAGCCATTTAAGGGACTATTCTGGGATCTTGAATAAGAAAATCAGAGTGCTGGATCAGTATAATCTTATAGAAACTTAAATGGAATCTTAAAAATAAAGCCCTTATTTGTACTAGTTATCTTGCTGAAAGACGAAGTAAACTGAAGAGTGTGGGATCTGACCCAGAGGTCTATTTTTCTAATCCTATTCATGCGTACTCCATGATACACCACTTGCACTATTACTGGCCGCTTTGGCTAGAATCAATGGAGGAATCACCGGGCAAAGGTTAGTGTTTTTGTTTTGTAAAACGCTTTAGTATCTCTACCAAAAAAGTTTCTTCCCATAGAATTAATAGCTCAACTTAAGAGACTTTTAACGCAGATTTCTAATGCAAAAGTCGCCCAGAATAGGCTGGGATGGTTTCTTCATCTACAGATAGCGATGGATATGAAAAATGACCTAAGAGAAAATTTATTTAATCTCAACCATGAATCCTTTAATCTACTGGATGCTCTAGAAATAGGAAAGTTTGCCCTTGACAAAGAGAAATTCGAAATTGCTGAAAAGTGGTTGGGCTCAAGTCTCAAAAATATAAAAGAACTTAATCCAGTGCAACAGGATGTCTTCAACATACTCGGAGCTCCTACTGAACAGCAAGTGCAACAGCTACATGAGGAAGCAATTTTAACAACTAAAATTAAAAATAAATCAAGCGTGACCAAATAGTTTAGATGCAATACAAAAAGTGTAAAATTAACCATTTCAGATAACATAATAAATTTTGATAACATAATGAATGCTTACTATTAATATTAATATTATTGTTTTTAGATAATCTAAAATGGAATGTATATATTTAAAATGGCAATGGCCATTTTTGCAAATGACAAAAAAATATAAAATGGTATGTATATATTTTTCAAGAGTTATAAACGGTATGGAACATAAATTATTTAAATGGAAATCAAACCCATTAAAGACGGTGGGAAGTTTTGTTACTAGTTTTTCTTTACAGTGACATATGCAGTCGGATTGGATAAACTGACAATCATCATTTATTAAAGTCTTAATTTGTTGGCTGTAAATTAGCTGTCATTGAAAGTTTTTGAATTTTAAATGCACTGTATGTTTATTAAATGCTTTTTTAAAATATATTTATTATATTATTCATAAGTAAACTGTTTACATTGATTACATAAAGCTAAAAAGGTAATGGAGAAATTTTAGATTTGTAACAAGGTTGCCGAAACTCCTGGCCCATATCGGTCACCCACTTAGTCATGACTGAAAATATTGAATAAATGAAAATATTTAATCGAAAAAATTGTTCATCAAACTTACTCCACTTTGAGCCTACAATAACGGGACATCCTGCATGCTCAGTCCTCTTATCCTCGTTGCCCCAATTGTCCAAATTATACCAAAATAGTGCTGACCCAGATTGAGGATATACGGTGAGGTTAAGTTTTGTAAAAATTGTGGCGCCTCCCTGCTTCACATCACTTAACTGAAGGAGAGTAAATATTAAAAACAGGGCTTTATAGCTTAAAATATTATTTATACCCAAAATATAGTAGTGGCAAAACGATCATCTGTTCCGTTGAAACGATCCTAAAATGGAGTAAATTAGTTTTTAACTATTTGCATGGGATCTGTAACTTACAGCATCCGTAAATACCGGATCCACGTGGGGTTCAAATAGACCACCGATTCCATAGTTAATCACTTGGTACATCTCCGAAGTAGCCATTTCAAGGCCCGTGGCATCACCCACTAAATTGGTTATTCTTTCAGTCAAACTGTGATTCGAAGGAGCCCACACTGACTTTGATGTGCGATACGAATCAACACTATAGGCGTTAGTGGTGTAATTTATTACAGTCGACGCTATTAGGTGTTTCTTGCTCATTGTGCGAATTTTTGTGAGTTCCTTTTGGGAAACCACATTATGGAAAATAACGATATACGGGTCCTTGGAAAGTAGTTCTGTTTTGATAGGTGCCAAGCGTAAAAAGGGCGAGGTTTTGGTGTTATATACACAATATAGACTGAAATTTTTCGGAACCTCACAACGGCCATTACAACATCCGGGCATATTGGGGTCCTCTCCTTCTTCTTTTAAACTAAGCTTTGAGTCGTTGTTGAGGGGTTCAGGTTTGGAAAGCATCTGGTTCTCTAATTCCTGATAATTTTTAAATATTTCTGCATTGGGGGGATGATGTTCAATAGCATTCCTATATATCTCTAAGGCATGTTTCGTTTCATCTACATTGAACAAAGGTACATGAAATATAGATATGTAAAATTATTTTTCACCCACTTTGTTGGAGCAGCGAACACGCCAATGAAATGTACAACTTTTCCACGTCAAAGCCTCTTATTAACTCCAGTTCTGGCAGTTTTTCGGTAAATTCAAACATTTCTGTTGCGGCTAAAGTCCATTGTTTAGCATCCACCCACAAAGATTGATTCATTAAATGATGAGCCATGGCAATAGAGTCCAAATAAGAAAATGTGGAGCTAAAATAAATAATTTATGAATAACTTTGATTTACGAAATGCATGTCAGACTTACTTGTACTTAACACCATCTAGTAATCCTGCGGAAATATCCATTGCTTTTAACTTGTAGACCCTTTGCATTCTTTTTAAACCTTCGGAAGCGTCTTCAAAATCCCAGCTTTGTGGAAAATATGGTTTCATAGACTTTATGTAGTCAACATATTCTGAAAAAGAGCCTTATGTCTTGGATTAAACGTAATAATTATTTTACAAACCCGAAGCAACTGGTTTTTCAATAAATAATTGCCACCTCAACCAATCTGCCTGCATATGATGTAAAACGGAATAGGTTTTCAGGTAATCCCATGCAGTATTTTTCTCGTTGTGTCTTTGGGCCATCAGCTGAACACCCCTTTAAAACTTACAGCAATATAAGCTAATGCAATAAAAGTTAACCCTTATAAGTTACAGCCCACCGTTTTATAGTGTTAGCTTTCTGCATGAGAGCCTCTGCATATTTCTCCAAATTCAAAGCCAGTCCCTCCTCCAGTTCTAATAACTCATCCATATTAGCCACGGATCGGGAAACACGTGTATGAACTGTAAAGTTGTACTGTTCAACCAGTAGGCATTGATAAAGAGGCAATAATAAAAATATTCCGATTAATAACTTCATTGTTTACAAGTTATATTTAAACTATGGTAAATAAAATATACTATTTGTACAGCCATAAAATAACTCATTAAAAAAAAATATTCGTTTTACTGTGCTATTTAGTTCTGGGTTTTAAGATTTGTTTCCCCTTACTATGACTTATATGATTTTGTAGTTTTAATAGACTTGCATTATTGGGTTGCCTTTTTAGCAAATGCTCCAAAAATTTAAAGACCTCGGTTTTTTTCTAAAAAAAAATCAATTTTTTCAAATTGTTCACCGAAACACCAATTTTTTTATTTTGTTCTTGAAGAATATATAATATATTAATTTGAAGTATACACCCAATAAAGCTAAAGGTGTTTTCATAGATTCCTGAAGTTTGGTTTGTCCATTAAGGAAATTGTAATGTGCAGTAAATCCTCTGCTTTCGGGTAATCTTGAAAAAACCATTTTTTGATTTACCATACATTTTCACAAAAATGTGCAAGATTTGATTACGACTTTCCCTAGGGGGCAGCCTTTGTTTAGTCGTAAAAAGTCGAGTGCATCTCGCAGCTCCAAACAATATTAAGAAGGATATATACCAATTAAACATTGACTCACCGTTTCATCTTAAAGGCAATGCTTCAAATGAACCCAGTCCGACTACGTATGGTGAATAAGAAAAAAGCTGTTCACAGCACTCGATGCAAAAAACTTTTCATTTTCCGCATCAATATGAAATTTTGCGTTGTCACGTAGCGCTTAAAAAAATTAGTAATATTTGACGTAGTCGCGAATTAAGGCCCACTCATCGTTAATTGTTTCAACTTTGGTTGTTTGTTTTCCTATTGAAACTTCGATTATTATCCAACAATTTTTTTTTTTAAATTCATCACCTGCAATGGATTTTAATAATTTCTTGTATTATCTTTTCATTATCCAAAAATATAAATGAGAACAGAAGGAACCTTTTTTTCGTTTCTTCAACACTCTTTGTAGGGTTAGTTGTTTTGTATTTGTAAAAGATGGGTTTTATTTAATTTTCTATAAGGCATGGTTTCCGGAGCTCTTGTCCTTCGTCATATATCCATTACTAAAACATTAAAATAAAAGTGAGAAAATAATTTTATTATAAAGTTTACTTGTAAATTTTATTTTTTAAATTTTTATATGTAGCTTATATTGAACTCCTAAGGACTTCTAAGGATTATCTGTGGATTGTATCCAAAAAGCGTCATAATTTTGCTTACCAAATTCTGATAATCTGCATAAAGTTTTGCATCGTAAGAATTCTTTAGGGCATCTTGATCTATTTTTTTGAATAAAGTATGCTCTTTCTTAGTTGATTTAAACTGTTTTACTCACTCTGCTTAACCCTAAAAAGTGTCAGTACTTTGTCGTGGTAGGTCCTCTCAACAATTGTAACTCTGGCTGTGAACTGTTCCGTTTCAAGAGCTTAAGTTTGGTTGTGATCCATTCCTTGGCATTCGGATATCTTCGGTAAAAAAAGGATATCTTACTTGTATCTAAGTATATCTTGTAGTATGTAGTCTATCTTGAGCCATGTCACTCGCAAACATTGAATACACGCTTTTCCTTGTTGTGTCATGCCCACAGAGGCATAAGGTGGTTCGATAAGAAAATTTTTCTGAAAAATAAAAAGTCCTAGGGCTATTCGAAAATGTTTCCATAAAGATTTACCCATTCCTACAGGCTCGTCCATATAATGTAGCCACATTAAACTAAGCTATTTATAGTGGAGGAAAGAGAGTGAATATTTTAGTTCCACGATTAGTTTCAATTCACGGCTCGACTAAAACAAATAATGCATTTGAATTATATTTACTATTTATTTTCCAAGTTTTTTCGAATATGTGTGTTAGACCGAAACGGGTTTTCCCTAATATCCTTTTATGCCGGCGGCAAAACTCCAGTTTTCAGCGACTTGGTAAGGACCTTCCACAGAGCATTTTTTTGTAGTACAAACGCCCACTGTGTACTGGGAATTATTACGGGTATCGCGGTAATACAAAATCTGCATGGATCGTTTTATCATTTCGTGAGCCTCTTCTAAGGTAAATTCTCTGTCTTTTGGTTTGGCTCCCCTTATAAACGGAATTGTCAGATGCCGGGCAAACCCCGTGGCTACCACAAAATCGTTATGGGATCGACCCCGTAAATCAACATTAGCCAGATAGGGTTTGCCCTGCTGATCCAAACCGCCCAACACCACATCTACTAGCAAAGGGTTCATTCTAGTTCGTCGCTCGTAAAGGACTCTGGTCATCCATTGACCCAAAGCTTTAGGTTTCATTTCGATGTCGTCACCGTTGCACTGATCCTCCACTATCTTCTGCTCAATACCACGTTTGATGGATTGTACGTCGGCAAAGTCGCCACAGCCCCCGAGCAGGATATTTTTGTTGATCATAAATATTCGGTCAACGTTCTGATAGCGAGCCATGTTTCCGTAAGATACCAAAGTATCTGCTGCCATCAAGACACCTTCGTCGAAACGTACTCCAATGACAGATGATCCGGTGGTTATAGCGGCGGTATTGTGTTTGGTTCCAAAGCGTCCTGGAGTGGTATATTCCAAAGGTAATTTGTGCGGCTGTAGCAATAGATCTGCATTAAAATTGCATGCATCTCCATGCCACAGCGGTTGTCTGACTTGAAAATTGTTGCACATATTAATTTATTTTTAGAAAAATTTTTATTTTTGAATTTCTGAATAACAATACTGAGTAGAAATTCAAGGAGGGATGTTTCCCAGTTTTTAGTTTTTATTATTTGTTCATAAAAGTACTAAATTGTAGAATATTTCTTTAAAACGCATCGCATCGCATTACCAGAAAATCTTTGGCAGAGATAAATAAACAAATCTCACATATTAAGTCATCGACTTATCTAATTTGTCCTCTCCCAAGCCATTTCTATAAATTTTCTTAGTAAAAACCTGTTGCGGCTCAATGAACCCGAGGGTATTCTATCGAAGCGTGTAACAACTGGTTTGTGTTGACTCTTCTTGGTCAGTGTCAGGCCGGGTCAAATGGCGAAATCAGTCGGAATCGAAGCTCTTGCCGGAGCAGATCTCAATCAAAACGATGTTCCCGAAAGTATCGCTAATATGGCTTCTTATGAGTTACATAATTTCGCCGGCACTGGGACGTGAGTTCTTCTCCTCCGTACACGAAATGACGAAGGTTTTCGGGTATGAAGAGCGAATGCTGGGATACATGCAGAAATTCCTCGACGACAACCAAAGCAAATTGGATTTCCTGAAAGCGTAAGGAAAGGACTCTCACCAAATCGAGCAGGACTAATCGAATCTGAATTCCAAAAGGCGGCTGCGGGAGTTCGAGGTCGAGAGGGAGGAGGCCCGGGAATGGGGTACGGCGTACTTTGACAGTCCCGTAAATAAATATTTGCTCAACAAGCGTCTAACCGTGGACTGGCAGCTGGTGGAGAACCTCATGGAGACGCAGTCGGGCAAGAGTGGGTTAAGTGGCCAATCAAAAGGGTAGCACCATTAAATATTTTAAAAACATTTTCAGAATCGCTGGCACGCCTGCAAAAAGCAAGGGCGCACAAACTGATGCCAAAGAAAAGTGAACTGGAAGGCGCCATCGATGGTTTACTTCGACTGCAGACCGTCTATAGGCTGGAGGCCAAAGACATAGCCAAGGGCGTACTGGATGGCGTTGATTACAGGTGAGGAAATTAACCTATCTTTGGTTTCTTGCTAAATGTTGTTCTTAGCACTCAGCTGAACTCGGAGCACTGTGTGGATATTGCTCGGTTGGCTTTGAGGGATAAGCATACTCGTCTGGCCCACTTCTGGTCACTAGAGGCTCTTCATCGTTTGGCCAGCGATAAAGAGTCGGAGGAACTAAAGCCTCAAATATTGGCTCTCTTGGTAGAGACTAAGGCAGCTTTTGGTGACTATAGAGGCTTGAATGAAACCTATCAGGAGCTTCTAAAGATTCAACCGGCCAGTGCAGATTATGCGAAGAACTACGAGCGGTTTTTGGAATCCATTGGAGGAGAGCAGTCTTTAAACGAGACTAGAGCTGTAGAGGAACATCCAGTAAGTAATCCAGTAATTTTATCAATTAAAATTATTAAATGAAATTTCAGCCTATCCCTGGAAAAGGAGACATAGTTTCTGACTTCGACGGGTACATGCTGACCTGCAGCGGCCACTGGCGACCAACTCCGCGCGAAGAGAGGGATCTCCGCTGCGGCTACATGTCTGAAACACATCCTTTCCTTTGGATAGCTCCCCTCAAGGCGGAGGAACTAAGCAGGGATCCCCTGCTAATACTCTACCACGATGTGATCTATCAAAGCGAAATTGACACGATCAGGAAACTAACTACAAACAAGTTGAAAAGAGCCACAGTCACGAGCGAGAAAGAATCCATAGTTTCCAACGTCCGTACCAGCCAGTTTACGTTTGTATCGGTTTTGGACGACAAGGTTCTGGCCACTATTGACCAACGAGTGACGGACATGACCAACCTCAATATGCGGTATGCGGAGGACCACCAGTTTGCCAATTACGGAATCGGAGGTCACTATGGCCAGCACATGGATTGGTTCTACCAATCAAGTGTAGGTTTTAATTGGACTCTACTTTTGTTTTCGTACTAACCTTTCTGAGTACCTTTCTAGTTTGATTCTGGTCTGGTAAGCAGTCCTGAAATGGGTAATCGAATCGCCACCGTTTTGTTTTATGTAAGTTTATGTGGAATTTTGGGAAGTTGAAAATTTTTTATGTATTTTATATTTAAAGCTTTCTGATGTGGCTCAGGGCGGAGGAACTGCTTTTCCTCATATCCGAGTGCAATTGAAGCCTAAAAAATATGCAGGTACTTCTCCGCATATATATTTTAACAAACATTTTTGGTAATGAACTTTATTTTCAACTTTAAGCCGCCTTCTGGTACAACCTACATGCGTCAGGTGTCGGTGATCCCCGAACTCAGCATGGAGCTTGCCCTATAATTTCCGGTTCAAAATGGGGTAGGTTTTTTCTTTATTAAATAATACAACTTTTTAATCAAATTCCATCATTTCATAGTTCAAAACCGATGGATTCGAGAGTTCATTCAATCTGATCGCAGGCCTTGTGAATTGTGGGACGACTCATTGGCTACATTGTCTCAAATCCGTGAAATGGAAAGACAATTAAAAGCCCAGCAACTCACTAGTCAGATAGCCTAAATTTTTTACTACTTAAGCTTTAGGCCAAGTTATTGTAAATAAAAAATACTTACCAATATTTGCAAAGCCCCCAATAATAACACAGAATTGTATACCTGAGGCTCCACCTGGAGTGGGATCCCCTTTCAAAAAGTTATTTATTCGGATCTTTTCACTCGCTGCTTACGTGTGCCAGCTAAGTCAGAACCAATACTAATTAATTGCATACTTGCTAGTTCTAGCTGTTACCCCCCGCCGCGCCATACCCTTCTAAAAGGTCGGGGGCCTGGGGGTCATGCCTTTGGCTTGCAGCTGTTCCTACTGGTCTTTTCATCGATCTATTTTGATCTGATCTGATCTGGGTCTGGTCTTCTCTATCCGCAATATGTGTGTATTTGAATAAATTCAATATAGTATGTCTTAAAACAAACATTCATATGTATAATAATATGTTCTTGTAATGCATTTAAATCCAGCAACAACATTTAGTAATTATTTTCGCTCAAAAGTACATTTATAATGACGGTAGTAATTCTCTGCTATCTGTATCTGTATAAGTTGAAAAGTTCACCACTCTATCCATTAAAACATTTATATAAATTTCTCTTTATTCTTTTTTTTTTTTTTTGATTTTTTCTTTGATATTTTGTTAAATTTTTTTGTGATTTTTTGCGAAAATGACTTTTGTTTCAGGTAGATAAAATAGTTCAGTTGTGGAGCAACATTTTGCGCAAGTGGCTTTTAAAAAGGACACCGAGTGTAGGTCTTTTATTTTGACTATGCAAATGTCTTTAGTGTACAAAGGTTTAAATTCGCTTTATGTGAAGTATTATATGCTTTTTTTGGTTCGCTTGGATTACGCTCTTATAGTGTGTGGTGGGTGATTTGCTAGTTTTAACTTTAGTTTCAACTTCAGTTTGAGTTTTGTTCCAGGAGCTCAGATAGGAGCACCTGCCAAGGGATTGTCTTGAGGGTACATTCATGGTACATTGAAACATCGATATACAAATACACTGATTACATAAATATATAGAGTGTATATTTAATATTTACGCGTTAAAATTTTTCTAATATTATTCAACTTAAAATTCTTGCCGCTCCGCCTTTGCTTTGATTCTTTGGGGAGTTTATTGAAATTACAGTTTCTTTTTCATAAATATAAGTTAATTAATTACCATTTTTTAATATATACTTTTTTGTACACCTATAAACAATTATATATGAGTATACATAGTGCTCTGTATTTCGCAACGCTTAAGTTCACATCGATAATAAGTGGGTTTCCCGTCTGAATATTTTGATAAAATTGCATATCTTTTATGGATGAGTATTCTCCGATTTCTAACCAATTTGCATTTCTCTATTTAGTTTATTTGACTTGATGCTTGCTTCTGGATGCCTGCTTGTCTTTAATTGAAACTCCTCTCGCCGCAAAACATCCTTCGGTCAGCTCCTTAGATCTCGTAGTTGCGGAACTTGTTGGCCACGTCGGTGTTCTCGGTGCCCCACTCCGCCTTGCGTCCGCCGTAGTACAGCGCTGCCCCGCCCTCCGAAGCCCGCCGGTGGGCGGGATTGGGCGAGGCTGCGGTCAGGCCGCCGCTGCTGCATCCTGCGCCGGATCCGGGTCCGGCAGTTCCACCGGTCTCTGGCAACATGCGATCCTTGGTCTTGGGAGTCACCCAGTGCATGGACTTTGATTGGAGGTTGTGGGAGAGGAATAATGGACTTTAATTAGATTGAATTCCACGGTTGTGAACGAAGGCCAAGGCAGCTGGCGCTTTTGCATCTGCATTAACCCCCCTTGGCACATGCAAGCACACCGATACACACATAGAGTTGGATGAAGAGGCACATTCAAGAGAGGTAAACATTCGGTGGAGTTTTCGGGCACTCAGGAGCGGGCTTATATACATAGTATATTCAAATTTTAAAAGATACAGAGAAATAGGAGCAATTTGATCTAGGCTACAATTTTAATGAATGTGGTGGAAGAATAAAAAAATATTTTGGGTTTGTGTAAAACAAAATTTTAAGACAAAATATTTAAGAAAAAATTATGATTAGTTTCCACAACCATTTTGAAAAGAATACATTTTTCTACTGTATTGTGTCCCATTAAAAAAAGGTACTTCACTTTTTACGAGAGAAGTCATTTAATATTATTTAAAAGAAAAACACTTTCAAAAATATATTGATAATAACGTAAGCCTGAAATATTTTAGTCCCTCATAAATAAATTAAAATGTCAAAAACTTATTTTTGCCAAATTTTAATTTAAAAGACTCGTCCAAGGTATCGCAGTTTTAATTGAAAATGCAAATGTGGATTTTCGGGGCTCATAATCCCGCATTGAAACCCAACAGACAACAGGACAATGGCCACCACAGATGGATGGGCGACAATTTCCGCTTGGCCCAAAGGCGGAAATTACCATAGAGTCCTTGGAGGGGGACCTAGATTTTGGGTGGATCCTGGGCGGCTGAAGTGAATGAATAATCGCGTTAATTGAGCTACAACAAAAATGACGCCGGCTTGGCTTACAAATTTCATTAGCTGTGGTCCCAAAAGAAAAACAAGGTAAACAACCAAGGGGGAAAAAAACTAAGCCGCAATAAGGCCAAGTGCTTGGTCAGTGCTGAAAGGACGAAAAAATTATAATTCCTTTGTGCCGGACAATAGAAACGTGTGGGCGAGTGAGGGATAGACAGTGAGTGGAGGAGACGGGGCGACTACTTCTCTGGTTCGCTGAGTTCCTGGCCCATACGCATACCTCTTTATCCACTTTCTCGGCAATCGTGTATCTTCTCACCTGACCGACATGCTCCTTCATGCCCAGCCACTGTTTGTAGCTCATCGAGATGCCGCTGTTGCGCCATTTGTCATAAATGGCCCTCTTCTCAGGGTCGCAGAGGGTTTCCTTGGCCTCCTGTAAAAAATTTTGAAGAATTTTTATGGAAAAGTACTCGCATAGAATAGTCTGAATTTCTGAGAATTTTTCACTTTATTCATTTTTATCTGAAAAGACCTCATGCGAATTTAAGTCCACAAAATAGGCGACTATAATATGATATGAATTGAACTTCATTTAATATCTTAAGCTTATTAAGGGCTCCCTAAAATGTTTTCTTTCTATTTGAAATAATTGTAATTGTCAAAAAGGGGATTCAGAAAAAAACCTATAGAACTTTAGTGCAATTTCTAGTCTGTAGACAAGAGAATTTCCGTTTCGAGTCTGAAAACTAATCACCACATTCAATATTGGCAACTTTACTCCATTAAATCAAATCACTTTGGCAAACAAATAAAACAAATGAAATGCATGTGTTTGCAAATAGACAAACCATTTGAAATTTAAGTATAGGTAAAATTGGTCATTCTTTTGAATTCCTTACCAGCTTTTACAGGCATGCATTTGAAGAGCAAAAGAGACTTTAATCTATTTTTTCTGAAAAATAAACATGAAAGACACTGACACACACTGGAAAACCTTCCTTAAACCCCTCCTCAATGTGGCCATGAAAGTCAGGACTGGGATTTGCTCAAGTGCAAAATCAACAGCTGCCCAGGTTTGGGAGAGCCCACAGTTTTTTTCCGGCTCTGCCTTGATTTAGCCTGCATGTTAATCAATTTCATATGCCCCACTATAGCACACTTATTGGCATGCCTTTGGAGCAAACACCCTATACAGTGTGTCTGATGGGTGTGCAGGGGGACACACACACTCATCTGTGGAGGGCCTCTCACATATTTGCACGCTCAAGTGATTTTGATAGCTTTGGCTGGGGCTTGATATATATCTTGACTACTTTTACGACCAGACCCACACACACAACAGCACTCTTGTTTGGTATTCAACACACAGTTCAACACGGATGCACACTCGGATAAAAAATTATAGAAACTTAATTAATAATGAATATTTATTGCTATTTTATGTATTCTTTCATATAAATATAAACTGTAGTCAAGCTACTATTATCACTAGTCTGTATTAAAATAATACAAAGGGGTACAAGAAGTTTAATGTTGTGGGTTTCTATACTGAAATATTATTAGAGATTTTCCTAATTTAACCTAGACCTACTTGAAGAACATATATTTTTAAGATCTTGAGTGCTCTTTTTCCAAGTGTATAGCCACATGGTGAGACAGATACCCACTCCCACACAAGCACAATTGAAGCCCTGAGATTTCATCACTGGGCCGCAGTTTTATTGTTCCGGCTGCTTTTCGGGCCCTGTTTACATGATAATCAATTATTTCACTACCCACTGATTATGTGGGTCAGCAAACACGACTCACATCCCCAGCCAGCTCAGCCAGGCAGGATGACTGGCAGGATGAGTGACTGACGAATTGGGGAAACTGTCTAACTGCCAGGATAACCGGGCTAGTATGCCCAGCAGGTTATTTGTGTTCAATTAAGGAAATCATTTGGTTGCTTGCTCGAAATATTTTCAACCTCCTGCCGAGTCGCAATTAACAGTTCGGATGTGGTTCATCTGCACCTGACAAGAATCAAATCGCAATTCTTAATTCCAGACTGCCGCTCGTTTATCCTTGTCGGATTGTTTATCCTTTTACTATTATACTACATATAACCCTAACGGCCCGGGGGAGATATTTGGGCCACTTGACATCTGCAAATTGTGTTGTAAGTTGTTAGTGAATGCCCATGATGAAGTCTCCGATGGCAGGACCCGTCTCATTTGCATATTCCACGGGGTGAAACGGATGCTGCGGAATTTCTCTTGGAATTTTCAGCTATGCTTGGCCTTTGAAAAATCTCGACATTTCATTTTAAACGCTTCATGGGCTCACTCCGGTTTTGTTTTATGGCTGCCCATAAAGGTAGCATCCGCGTGCTCCTGTTCGTGCTCCAGCTTATTCCGACATATTTACGAGCTCGGAACACACATGCACGTGCAATTTTACGAGCCGTAAATTGTACGGCACTCTCCTCCGCCGGACAGCAAGGTCCCGAGTTTTCGGAGAACCATAAGTATGATTACGACTGGGAGGGGGAATTGCCACGGTCCTGTGACCAGGATGCTCATGCATATTCAACTACAAAGCCCGTGTGCCTGTCTTCGATTTCGATTTTTGTTATTTTACTGTCTTTAAGGTTCCAAATATGGGGGAAGAATATATATTTGCCATAAATCCGAACTGGAGGGAATTTCAATGAGCTAAATTGATGGGCTTAACCCTTTTATAAACTTCTGGGAATTACACAGACACCTGTTGTTGGAGTTTCCGGCAATTCTATATAGTTTTTAGTTGGAATTTAGCTTGGTTAGTGGGAATTTATGTGGAAGGAAGGAAAGGAAACAATTTATTACTCAAGAAGCTTCCAAAAGTTAAACGAACCTTTAAAACTTGATCAAAGTAGAACCGAAAACTTTTTTCATATATTTCCATTAACTTTAGTGGGACCACCGCAAAAATCTGTCCTTTGACGTCCCACATTAATGAGTTGTCAGGCTCTACCACGCCTTTTTTCACCCTCTATTTTTCTCAATGGCCGAAACACTTCATACTTTAACACGAAAAATCAATAAATGTTTTCAAAATATATACGTACATTATGTATGAGTAATTTATTTTATCTCATCGGGGCTGCCTTGTTTTTCTTTTGTCGCTTGGAAATTCAATTTGAGGCCAGGGTGCGTATGTGTTTTTTGAGCCACTGAATAGTGTGTGTGCGCGTAAGTGGGTTAAGTGCATGTGTGTGGGTGTTACACAAGTACATAAATAGGGATCTGTGTGCGTGCAGAGGGTAGCCATTGTTTAATGCAGCTTAAAACTTTCCCCAACTGACGACACGAATCTGAATAGATGTGTTCGGTTGAGCGGACCCTCAGCTAATTAAGGAAACTATCCACGGGGAGACCCCCAAGGACCTTTACTGACTCGGCGAGTTATCGGGATGGAGTACGAAAAGTTTTAAACTATGATGAAATAGTTCTTGGCGCTTTTTAAAGTCGTGTCCTGAAAACTCAGACTCAGACAGAAAGTTTGCCAAATTTTAGCCACACCAATTATTATACCATTTTTGCCAAACAATGCTCTGAGAAGTATATCACCATTAATTTTCCACATAAACCTAAAATCTCTTATTGGATATAAGGATATAATAAGCATAATAAACAAGAATAAAATATGCATATGTAGGTCTCGCATTTCAAAGAAATATCCTGCCTGCGGCATCCGACGTTCAATGTTCTTAAGCAGCCCTCACCTTAAGCTACATAAGTATCAGGTTTAAACATCTTTTAATTTTGAGCTCGCTCCGGCAACTTTCTCCTCAACATATTGCCCCAAAGGCTGTCAAATTTACAATCTACCCCAAACCACCTTGCGATTCTGCTCCTGCTCCCGCTCCCATCGGGAAACTTCATTAAATATGTAAAATGTAAAATGCTGAAACGCTTGCCTCTTCGTTATTTCAGGGTGGCGTCCCTTTGGATCTTTTTTCGAGCTTCGCATTACTTACCTTTAGCTGTTGGAACTTGGCCTCCGCCTCCTTGTCGCCGCTGTTCTTGTCCGGATGATATTGGAGGGCCAAAACCTTGTACTCGGCCTGGATCTGCTCCGGCTGTAATGAAATTGGGGATTCGAACCAATTAGTGGAGCAAATTAAGTGAATGCGATGATGAATTCTCTTTGCCTTCAATTTGGTAAGTATTTGTTGGCATACATTTTTAAAATGCCCATCCGGGTAAACATATTACCTAATGGCCCACAAATACACACACAAGTCTCCTGCGGCATGCAGATTTCACCGACACGGGAGGAGCGGCGACTCCGAGGAGACCGCAACACAGGTAAAGCCGTCTGTCAGTTGCACACGAATCCCCCCCAAGATTGAGACATCAAAAAGGTGAAACCGCCATCTGCCCACAACTCAAAATAACAATAAGAAAACATTAAAACTTGACTGGGGAAAAACGTTCGTGCGCAGCTGAGAACCACTTAAAGTAATAGAAAAGCTGTCGCACTTTGGGAAAACTAGCGCGGGGCAAAATGTAAAAACTTTGGGGGTTTCAAATACTGTTGCCAAATTAATTCACTCGTCCTTGACTCTGACGAAAGGCTTGACACTTGCCAAACAATTAAAATTAATTAAGCCCAAGTGCCTTTTGGCCAAAAGCAACAAGTTGACAGCCATCAGCCGCGATCCGAGCCTCCTTCTGACGATTGCGACGTCTATGGTGATGCTGCCACTATATAAAGCCGGCTGTTTATTGTCTTGTAAATGGAAATGGCTTTTCGCGCACCATCGAGCGATACACAAAGGACCAAGGGACTCGCAAAAAGCCAGATAGGAGAGGAGAGGGGTGGCTGTGACCAGCATGGGTTCCCTTTTTATTTGATTCGTTTTCAAGTCTATTGTTCGGCACTAACAGGGGAAACGTCAAAAAGCAGCTGCCAGAGAGCAAACCTATTTAGGTCACCATGCACTGAGATAAAATACTATATTTTGAAGTCATCTTATATGGATACATACTAAAGAAAGTTTTCGGCTGAAAGAGAAAACTTTTTCTTTGTATTTCTAAGTATGTTTTTTTGAAAACTCTCGGGAGCTGATGTCCAGGGAATCGATGTCATCTGCCCGTGGTCACTTCTGAATCGCATTCTACTCGACCATAAGCACAAACACATTACTTGCATACATTGCTTTGAGCTCTCGCCTCACTTGCCCCAAGTGCGGTGTCAACCGCGCTGCAACGGTGCGTATAATTAATTTCAACGCAATTAATATTACTCATACGTCAGGATGTACGGCGCTCAAAGCACCCACGGCTAATGAGAAGACCTGGTTGGGGAAGGTAGAAACTACTAATTCACCCACCTGACAAACGTAAACAGCCACAGATTTCTATAATTAGACAAATGGAGTCTGCTTTTTTCGTATACACGAGCACGCGTATGTTTTTGTGCTCCTGTTTGTGCTCCTGGGCGTTTGGTTTTCCGAGAGTTTTCCCCTTCAATTATTATTATTCATCACACCCACTGGCAGTGCACAACAGAATGGCCCCAATTAAGGCAGGCCAATAGATTCGCACCACAGTCACATATGCAGCCAACCAATTCCAATTTCCACTTGATTAAGTCACCCCACAGATTGCACCCAATTAAAACGGTTAGAGATCTCTCTGCAAATTAGCCCCAAAAACATTTGAAGTTTGTCCAGCAGCAGTAGTTAGATTCCTCAGATTGGATTGTTTGGCTTGGGTATGCAAATTCGCATTGCGAGAACAATTGCCAACTAATCTGCATGAGAATGGAATGGAACGGACTAGCTGGCGTTCTCTAGTGGATGTTCTGATTGCAAGTTGAGATAATTGCCCGGCAATAGAGATAGTTCGGTGCGAGACGTGATGCAAACAAGCCCAGAGGGTCAGAAGCCAAGATACGTGATAAAGGCCAGGCCATAATGCTTAGCCAGCCCCCGATTACCAATTCTGTTTGAATTTCCTGCAAATATTTGATTTTGTTTACACGTCAGAACAAAATCGATTCTGATCGAAAGGCGGTCCAAAACCTCCGGGATAACTTGGTCCTTTGCCCTGGGGCTCTTGCATAATTCAATAGGTTCCCTATTCAGCTCAAAGACCGATGCAATCGACAGCCAACCAAATTTGTGCGTGCCTTTGAGTGGCTTGGTACATTTTCCGGGCCAATAAATTTGATTACGGAAAGATTTTCCCACCTGCCAAGGGAGTAACTGAACCGAAAATTCGACAGACATCTGAACCAAGATGAATGTGGAGAACTCAGAAATTGGAGTCAGACGACGCTGATGGGTAAATGCCATTAAGCTGCCCAGATTGTCTGCCAATCCGAAAGTGTTAATTTTTTGAAATACCCAATACCCAATAATTGACAGGCTTAGGGGACGCTCAACGACAGTTGGACTTGGGACTCGATGGATAATGGAAAAGCTGGCAGATTGTAGTCACTGCTCGAACTGCAGCCCAGATGCAGCGGATCAACGCCAATTCTGCCAATCTACGATGGCTGACTGAGTAATTGAAACTAATTTTCAAAGCAAACATCTCGCCTCAAAGACACACTGAGAAAAACTAAATACATTTTTGTCACGCAAAGAATGGCCAATAAAATTAATTACGAAGAAACATGGTTAATGGAATTAGTGCGGAAATATTTTCAAGAAATCGTTGATGATTCATTGGTTTTTATGTTGAAACCAACTTGCTAAAAAGTTTGTGGTTTTTCCCTCAGCGCAAAAATTCCTATTAGGTTTCGTTTGAGTCTCACGAAGGTGAACCTAAATTATTTATTACTTTAAATTTTTTTGTGGTAACTTTTGGCGCACCTCAACTCAAAACTCTTCCCTTTCGTAAGCCTAATTCGATTGGGGAAAATTTTAAAAGCCCCAATTCCATTATGATCCAATTAAATTCGAAGAAAAGTTGAATGAAATTAGCAACCTTGGCAGCCCTGGGTTAAAAAGAGGTATTCGCAGAGAAAGTTACTTACCGATGAGTTCTCATCGCAATGGAGCAAGGCGTAAAAGTCCTCGTTGGGACTGCGCTTGTAATTGATTATGGCATCCACGGCGCTCATTGCGTCAATTTTCAGTTATATGGGATTATTCGGGATTTAATTTGTTTTTCTATTTGAAAATATCACAAATTAATAATCACAAATTACAACATAGATTAAAAGAGATCATTTCAGAAATAGAGATAAAGAAATTGAGTTCTAGTCAAAAAATATGGCATTTTTCAAAGAGTTAATTATATATTTTTTATATTTTTTTATATTTTTTAAATAATGAACAAATCTCTCTTTAAAATTCAAAATTTTATAAGAAATTAAAATGTAAGCCAAGCAGAGCCCAAATCAAGGCTATTGAAGGGGATCGAATGACCTTCGACTTCGCAACAATTAGCAGCTAAAAATAAGTTAATCACAAATGCACAAAACAAACGAAATCGCTGAGAAATCAGCTGAAAGATCTGGTTTTGTTTTGGTTTTTGGTTTCGGTAGTTTGCTTTGTTATTGTGCGTCTTACACTTTCACTTGTTGTTTTAAACCGCACTTAGACACTGCGACTTTTTTTTATTTACTTCTGACCGCTCAAAGTGATAATATTTCTAAGCTAGGTTGCACCAGAACAGTCTCTCAGTTTCTCTCTGTTTTTCCAACTCCCACTCTTTTTATATATATATGGATGGCAGCGAAACACAACGAACCTGTTCAACCCGCGAACTTGCTTTCGATGCTATTTCTTTGAGCGCGTGTTTGAAAATAACTTTCAAGATACTTTTAAAAGTTGCTGTAGTTCGAGTTGCGTGAGAGCGAAGTTCGATTCGAACTCCAGTGCTGAGAAATTTCGAACCGAAATTCCATTTTTTGACGTTTTTCAACACACACGAAAGAAAACTTTTAACTAAAAAGAAGAAAAATGTCGTCAAACATTTTTTCATTTTTAATTAGATTTTTCTAATAAAATAACTTATTTGAGCTTCAAAGAGGCCAGTTCTTCAAAAGAAGGCTTATTTGGACGTGGCCAAGAACCTGTTGATTTGGAAAACCCACTTGGGGGTTCTTCTGCTTTAGTGGATATGACTCAGATGAAGTCACATGCCATGGGGGATCCCCCGAAGAATTTTTCTTATTGTAATTGAATTAATCAATTCAATTTTATACAATAACTCTTCATTTTAAAAGTTAAACATATTAATTGTTTTGTTTCTATTTATAAACAAAAAAATAAAACGTATTTCATGAAAATGTACATTTGCTTTTAATTTTTAATTTTTAAAATAAAGCTGGTGGTTGTCGACACAACTAAAAAAATGACTAAAAGCATTCTGAAGCTTTTGACTTTCATTTGAGCTTTTAGCCATAAAAATGATTTCAGCCATAAATATGGCTCCCGCCTACCACTTGTTGCTCCCACAGCCGAAGAGAATTAGTTTATCTTCCTGGAGCTACAAAAGTTTGCAAAATTCGTTAAAGGGAAATTAATTCTCCACCCGAAAAAAGAAAACTCATCAATCTGCGGCCAGCTGCTCTCGAAAACTTTTCCCTCCCGAAAATGAAGTCAAATCGAAACGAACTGAAACAGAGTCGCATTGGTTTTCAAATAAAAGGAGTCAGCCGAGTGTAACGGGAAAGTTTGCAGGAAACGGAAACGAAATTGAAAACTGTTGCATACTTTGGGCCGAAGTGGTCTCTCAAAATGGAGGCCTAGACCAATGTACCAAAAACCGTTCCAAAGACCAACAGCAGAAGTCTGAAAAGCCGCACTGGCCGAAAAATGATTTCCGTTCATAAATCATCTTAATGGCAAAGCAGGACCCAGCATATGTATGTCTGGCAGGAAAAACAGAACCAAAAACCAAATGAAGACGAAACCGTTTGACCAGCTAACGATGGGGAATCTAGCAAGGGGCGGGGCCCGGGGAAAAAGTTGGAAAAGTGCGCCCGTGCGTTTGTCTGTCACGCACACATAGGGAAGAAGGGAAAACAAGGAATTCCGGCGAAGGAAATCCAATTTAACGACTATGCTGTATCCTGTAAGACATTTCGCGAAGAACTCAGTAATGTTTGGCACAATTGCAATCATTTTTATTTAAATGTTTATTTTAAAAGAAAAAAATAGGGTCCTCTTAATAACACAACTTTGTCGGAATAAATACATCTTTCGTATCCTCTCGAGCAGAATTCCTTGTAACTTTTAATTATTTTTCATGCAAAAGTCACCTCCATTTTAATGACAAAATAGCCCCTGGTAGCCACTTTTAAAGGGTAAAGAACACACACACGTGCATTGTGCGTGTGACGTCAACAAATGGAGCTGGAACGAAATGAAACGTTTTAATTAGACAAAAGAGCAAAGCAACTATTTATTTCCATTTCTGCTTCGCCTGCTCACTGCCCGCAGCCCGCAGCGAAGCTGCAGATACAGATACAACTACTGGTGCGGACACTGATACAGATACAACTGCGAATGCGAATGCGTGGGCCAGAACTCACAGAATGCTTAGAAACAATCCCAGTGCAAACCCATTCTTTTAACTCGGAGCCTGCAGCTTGTGATAGCCAGAGCAATTGCAGTCTACTGAGCGACCTTTAAGCTTTGCTCACATTAAGAAAATGTTTCAAGTTTTTATTAAAAAAAATAAACATTTGTTATGTTTTACCTTCAAAGACACTTAAGAACTGAAATTTATAAAAAATATTTAATTTTAAGAGACAGTTTGATAAAAATATCCATTTTTCTTAGTGTACAACTGTGGTAAGTGCTGGGCCCCACTTGGATTCTGATAAACGTACATTTTCCGCAGCATACTTCCGAGGGCAAACATTGGCAGGGGCCGAAGAATTGCTGGAAATATGCTCATTCCGGGATTCTATGGGTGAAGGGTAAACAATGCCGATCCGAGATTCTTGGCCAGTGCAGATTTATTCATACCAGCACTCATTCTGGCGCTCAGATTAGAGACATTCCAATGGTCTTGCCAACTTCCACCTAAAACTATGCCACGGAAAATCCCTCCTGCTTGCAGTTTCCGTTTTAGTTTCCCCAGAATTGCATTTCCACTCATCTGAGTTGGTGTATGGGTGTGTGTGTGTTTGCTTTTTCTTCATTTTCCTGCTTCTGCTGCTAACTGCATTTCGCTTGACTTAAACGGAAAATCGCAAGTCAAACAAGTTGACTGAGCAAGTGTGTGTGTTTGTGTGGGTTTGTGCACGCCATCTGAACTTTTCAATGGTCGATTGCCAGTAGATTTTCCGTCTTCACATTTTCACTAAACCCCATTTCCCACCAACTCAATTAATGGACGGCAGGGAATGAAAATTCTCCAGAAGTTGACAGAAATCGTTTTTGGGCCTTCCGCTTTTGCATGTCGGGGAACACCGAGGCAGAAACGAAACTTTTCTTCATTTCCGAGAATTATCTTTGTGTTCTACACATGAATCTTGCCATGCGTTTTCCCCGACTCCAACCCCCCACCAGCCAGCCCCTGGTTTTATATTCCCTCTAGGTCAGTGAGAGTCAACGACACTTGGCAAACGACAGCGCATTCAAAGGAAAGTCTCGAATAGAAGAGGCCGAAGGCGGATGGCAGGGGTACACGGAAAAATGAAGAATATAAAACAAGTTCATTGTTTATTGATCGATGCTGTGACTGAATAATGAAAATCGAGAGGTCTTTATTCTTTGAATAAATTGGTTTTTAAATTTTCAATATAATAAGACTTGGCTTTGTCTACATTTTAATGGCTTAATAAATGTATAATTATGTGATTAATTAATTAAAATTGCTATTCAATTTTTAAGACTTTTGAAATGTACATTTTTTAGCTTTTTCTTTGTGTACTGAATAGGCAACTTTAGCTTGTTGGCTTATAATAAAAAGTACTTCATTTACTTTGTGCAATTTACAACTGTGAAATAAACAGGGAGCAGCCAAGGCCAAGGAGCCGAGCCGTGGGCGGGGAGTGTGTGGGTGCAGGCTCCGGCCGGGCCAAAAGGAAGTGCGGTCACGCTCTGCTTGCATATAAGCCACCGTCCCTGCGCCCTGCACCGTCCTTTTTAGCCACATCTTTGTATCTCCGCTGTCGTCGCTTTGTTTTATTACCCGTTCACATCCATTCAGCGCAGTTCATCTCGCCCCACTTTGTTTTCCTTGCCTCGGCTCGCCCTATAATTTATTTATACATGTATTTTATTAAAGATTTCCATGGCGTCGTTCCCTTCAGTTCCACTCGTAGTCGTTGTCGTTATATATTATATTATATGTGTGGGCTATACTGTATTCGTTATCGCTGTCGTCATCCCAGGCCATCCGAGTCAGTTGTTGACAAAGAAATTACTTATTAATCATATTTGAACGCTGATTTCTCGACGCCAAAAGGATCACGACCAGCTGTCCTGAGAAATTCATATTCGCACAAGCACAGATGGCGCCAAATATATAGCACTCGACATAGGACAGTACTTTTTCATTAAAAGGACATACTTTCAATTTTTTTATTTAAATAAACATTTTTTGTTCCTACAATGTTTTAAAATTCCCCTAATAAAAAATACTTTCTAAACTGAATCTATAAGTCTACCCTTTCCTATTTTTATTAAAAGTACGAACATCTGCTCTGAGTACTAGCTCATGTTATCCTGTGACTTTCAGTGCTGTGGCTTGTCTGTCATCAGTGTGGTTATCCACATGCAAACACACATTGGCCGGGCTAGGGGAAAATGAAAGAAGTACTTGCTCTATTTCGTGGCTCTATTCATTAACCCGTACTCCTCGGTTGCCCCTCGGCTTTTCCACATAATTGCATTTGCTCATCAGAGACACAACCATTGGGTGTATCTATATACGGCATTTGTCCCGCTTCATGTCGCTTGGATTGCCGAGCCGAAGAGACATTTTCGAAAATTAATTTTAGAATATTTTGTCTTGCGCTTGCTTGGCGCTTTGTTTACACAGCGCTATGTGGGGGAATACGTCGGGACGTTCGAAACACTTGTCTTTCATATATCTTGCAGTCGTGATGCGATACAGGAAGTCCGCACGTCGCTGTCAAAACGAGAGCCCCGAATGCCAGCAATTGAAGGCACTCGCTAATCAAAATCCAAATCTAAATCGGAATAAGCACAAAATCATATTAGATAGAAGGCAGAAGGTAAAGCCACTCGAGATGGCTCACTGACAGATGCCCCTGGCCCAAAGGCACCCTGTACGATGAGTGCCGGTAAGTCCCATGGATGCGGACTTGCATGTGATGCACTGCCTCTGCTCATCTGTCGAATGCCGGCAACGCAAAAAATACGGTTTTGTTGAAACTGAAAAGACAACGCCAAATGCCGACCGGCCAAATGGCCAGCCAGATCAGCCCCATATATTCCCAACGATTCAGACACTCTGGCTTTCCCAGGGTGGCAAGACATGGTTGGGTATATCCAAGATCATTATTAATATGCGACAAATACAACATATATTTCAATTATTTCATTTTTTTATGATAAACCATTAAAACATAAGCTGAAGAAAGCTTTAATAAGAATAATAATTTTAATAAAAAGGAAGCTGTTTTAAAGTACTACTAGTCGTATGAGTAATATGTCTGTTAAATGGCTGTTAACTGTTAACAGATAAAAAACCAAAAAAGAAATAATACCAATTTATTATCTGAGCTATGCTTGGATATCCCCCAGTCTGTAAGCTATTTTAAGCCAACTTCATTCTCTCGTTTTCCATTTTCCTCTTTTTGTGGCCATTGTTTTCGGGATATCACCAAAAATAGCTCCACGCACCCCGCACATGGGAACGCATGGGAGTCGGGTGGCGAGGGAGTACGGAAACGAGTTTGAAATTTGACGTGCCGCAGACGTCGGGCTGCCGTACTAATTGCAATCGCTTGGCCGGACGGAGAAATTGCAACAGGCGGACAATTAGCGAGCAAACTCATTCGCATTCATATTCACATTTGTTCAAAGAAAAAACTAGAGGCAAGTTGAACTGAAAATAAAGGAAGAAAAAACAACCAACAGTTTTGAAACGAAGAGATCAACATTTTAAAGTACACATGAAACAAATAGTTGTAAGTTTTAGCTTATTTTTAAAATCAATTTTTTATATTGAACTTTAATCTAACTCGAAGACAGGATCTGAATATGTCTTAATATCTTAATATATTAAGGGACTCCTAAAAATAAACATATTATTTTTTAGAAAATATTATTTTCACTGTATGAAACGTCAGCAATGGGAGAGAGTGATCCAAGAGCAGACCCGAGATACCTCCTGTCTCTCTTTCTCTGTCTCTTGGAGAGATCGTCGGGTGTAGCCATCCCGCTTCCACTTATGCCGCCGCCCATTGGGGCTTCTGCCCCCATACCCTGCCCCGATATGTAGGCCATCTCTGTCTACTCTCCGGCGGTTCCGGTGGCAGGCAGAAGATTCTAACTAGCAGCAGCACTAGAGGCAGAGGCAGCGGAATTAGAAGCAGAATCTAAAACAGAAGCAGAAGAACCGTGATCGTGTAATTCGCCTCGTGTGCGTTCCGTTATTCCGTAATTATTCCGGATTTGTTTGCGAAACATCCTGAAGTGATGCGATTTTAAATGCCATTTCAATTTGTTTCGCTTCACGCGACTTTCTCTTGTTCCGTTGTCCCCATTGTTCCGTTATTCCGTTGGCTTTCTTCCGTTGTTCCCACAGTCCCGTTATTCATTCACCGTTGTTGACGCGCCTTTCGTCGCCGCTGAACGGCACATCGCTCTGACAGTTTGAAAATCAAGCACTAGCCGAGAGGATCGTTAACTCACTAGCGAGCCCAAAGGATCAGTAACACATCCAGCCAGATACTGATAGCAATCGGAATATAAAGTTATTAAACAGTGATCGTGCCGCGAAATTCCACTTGTTTATATAATATTCAGTGGCTGCCAAGAGCCCAACGGAATATACAAGAAAATTCATTTTTCTGGCTCTGGTCGTTTATTTTTTCAGGCAACAAGCTAGCTAGAAAAAAATATAAGAAAAGAAACCGAGCATTTCTGCGTGTTATGTGTGGTTGTTGTGATCAGAGATCAGTGGATCAGTGATACGAACCAAGTGAAAGTGAACACAGAAACCCTCAACGAGAAATCATCTCAAGTCTCAAGTGAAACTAAGGAATAGGTCCTCAGATCAGAAACCATGTCGGACATTGAGGATGTTTTTGGTGGCTCCGCCGAGGAGGAGACCAAAACCGATGCCCAGCCGGATGCCGAGAGCAAGAGCAGTGTGGTAACCGAGCAGACCGAGGAAGTAATACCCGGCGAGACCGAGAAAATGGTCACCGAAACCATTGACGAGGATGGCGACGTGGTGGAGGAGACCACCGAAGTCACCCGCAAAACCGTCAAGCGTACCATGAAAATTACTGAGGTGAGTAAAAGCTATAAAATATTAGTATAATGTTCAAAGTATTTTGGCAATCATACCACAACAGGGCTAATGTATTCAACTATCATTATTTTTAAGTAATGGAAAAAACTTATAAGAATCTTTAAAAATGTGAAGTGGGCATTAACCCATCACCAGTATTATTTAAGAAAATGTTCGATTTTTGAAAGCATTTTCTTTTCCAGAATTGTTTACACATAATAGAATAGATATAGACCTCAAAATATTCCACAGAAAAGCATAATTTGCAAAGTAGATATATACCATTTTATAAAAAAACAGAAATCCATTAATTTTTCATCTGTCCAAGTATAGAATTAAAATTATCATTGAAAATGAATATAAAAACTTAAGCCAATTATAGAATGATATTCGACGAAAATTTGCCACCCTTGAAACGCCTCTCTTATGAAACACAATAAATCATCATTTGTTGCTTTGTGAAGGGATCTTTTCATGCACTGATCTCTCAGCTTGTGAAATTGGCCAAAACATGGCGAACTCTGGCTATATTATTTATACCAAATGCCATTTTTCTATGTGCGTCTTAACAAATTGTTTATACGGTCCCACGAATATTATAAATCTTCCCCTACATTATACGTCACACACACACCGCGACTGTCATATACTGGCGGACATATAGGCGGTCCTATGTATCGCTCTGGTCCGGCCACACTTTCTATAGGCGACGTTGCCAAAGAAAAGTCAAAATAAAAAAATATAAAAAAAAAGTGTGCGAAAAACAAATTTTGCAGCTGTTTGATTTCGGCGCAAATTATCACAAAAGATTCCAATTTTGTGAGACAAATCGGACGATTGTGAATAAAAAACAGAAATTAAATATTGTTAAGCTGAAATCACTTAAATACTCGATGCGAGTGATGCCAAAAAATCCCAAAATATTTGACAGCCAAGAAATTGCAAAAAAATTAAATGCAATAAATTCTGTGCCACCAACAAATGCAACAAAAACAAAGGCTAAAAAAACAACACAGCCAAGGCAAAAAACAAAATTAAGAAGACCGACAAAAAACATATAAAAAACCAACTAGCAAGGAAAACGCAAATGTAAAAGAATAACAAAAATAAAAAATGGAAAAAACCGACTGTAAAAAATAACAAAAAAATAAATATTGAGGTTTCCGTGTCTTGCGGTCTGGCGCGCATTACACCATCGAAGGTGGTGCTTGGGGGCGGTGGGGTTTTTTTCGCTCGCTGGTGCAAGTGGCTTCTGGTGCAGCAGCAATTAATTGCCACAAATCGTTGCACAAAATTACAAATTGCATTTCCGGCTTGGCGCGCCATCCACGCATGCAGTTCCCCTTTTTCCACCGCCCCCCACCGTTGCTCTACGCCACCCTCCCGGGGCACCTCACGAGAATCTTCGATTTCTGTGCTGATGTTTTACGACTGTCTGGCCCCCGCCACGCCCCCATCTACCATTTCTTTCATCGAGTTTTATGGCAGCCAAATTAAATTTGCATTGCAATTTGCTTTTTGGGGTCGGCTCGGCCTTTTCTCGTTTTTATGGGCCCGAAATTCAAATGAAAACGCATGAGCTGTGTAAGCTGGGTCCTGTGGATAAGGATAAGGATATGGAATCCCTAGAGCAGAGCAAAAAAATGTTCATTTTATTGTCCAAAAATCATTATTTATTTAATCAACAATAGATACCTGATATTTAGCAAGGCATGTCAAAAAAAAAATAAAAAAAATTTAAAAGTTTATTTATAATTATTTAAATATATAATTTCTAAAAAAAAAAAGCTAAAAAAGCAAATTATTCTTAAAAATACAAATATTACACATACGCACTGTTGGTTTCCCTGTTAAAATTGATTCACAGTCTATTTTTAAGGAAAAATGATATATTTTTACAGTGCAGGCATCTGTCCGTATGTGTGTTTGTAGTATGCATGTGTGCCCTGCCCGGAGCGAACTTACGGAACTAATTGCGTTGCTGATGTCGGGGTCCGTTGCTGAACTCCTGAACTGTTGAACTGAACTTCTCGCTCTCACTTTCACTGCGTCCCTGCCGGCCCTTTCTTGCCCGGCTAAAACTCGGCTAATGAGTCACGTAGCGTTTTTGTCATTTTTATGCGCTTAACAGGTCAAAGTTCCAGCCGCAAGGCTACGTGACCGAAGTCGAGTTCAAATTGAAAATGCAAAATTAGTTAAATAAAGTCACAGATACGGCAGAGCCTTTCCCACTCACTCCTCCCCTATATTTTATCCCTAATTCAAGCCTCCCGGAAAACTGTCATAAATTTCACAGTTGATTTAACCTTTTTCCGTTTGTTTGTCGATTCCATTCGCTTATTGGATGGGCGGTGCTCTGCTCAAGTTACAGTACTTTTAAAGCTATAATGTTACCTCAGCGTACCCAACACGTTATAGTTGATATATGAGCACTATGATTTCTTACATCAGAATGCATTTAAGCCAAGCTATAAGTCGTGATCAAATGGGGCATGCTAATTTGTGCAACAAGCCGTAAACCCACATAACCGAGCAACATCACCACCACCACCAGCCAGCCAGCCATACAGAATGTTGGTCACATATAAGGATAATGGAATTTCCTGGGGCGCACAAGCACGGCCACAAACTTCCATTGTCATGCCATCCTGCCCAGGATTCTGTTGATTAGACATCATAATATTGAACCGAGATTAATTGAAAATCCATGAGGGACCAGCTCAGCACTGAAGGGACTTGGGTGCGGATGCGAGGGCGCATAAGGGCGGATAAGGGCAAACTATTCAGAGCTTTCCAGGCGATTAGACAGGCCACGAACCGGTATCGCGCACCACAGCAATTTGCCAGGATTTTATTGTGTTTTGTCTGATATATTAATTTGTTTTCAATTTTGCGAGCGCATTCCGCAAAATGTGGCTAGCCGCAGTGCTAATCGGAGCAGGGCCATATTTTTCACCCACATTCTGCAATGTCCGCTAAATAGCACCTCCCCTTGGTACACATTACCCCTGCACTGCACTTGTTTACCCCCTTAGTGCCCTTTACCCTCCACTGCCATCCATTGACAGCTGTCAGCGTTGGCGCCTGTTGAAGTCCAAACAAATATTTCACAGCCAGGCGGCCATTGAAACATTTCAGAGCAAATGGGAGAGTTCAACACTGAAAATCGAAAACTGTGAATACCAAAATTATTTCCGATTAAATAGCTCTGGTTAAAGAGCTCTTTTAAAATTACGATTTTATTTTAAGGAAAGAATTTCTCACTTTCTCCCAAAATTATTGCGATGGTTTTGAATGGACTTTCGAAAGTGTGTGCCACAACAAGACAATTCAATGTCAGGCGTTTCTTGGCCTTTGATGCTCGCTTAGCTTCCATTCACTTGTTGCAGCTCCCAAGGAGATGCCGCCCCACCCTCGATGCCCCTGACTCATATCCTCGCCCTCCACCACGCCACCAACGCTGCCCATTCATTTCGAGTCCAAATTTCGAGTACATTTGGTCAGTTATTTATGCGCTTCGCTTTCATTTCGGCCGCGTTTCGTTCCGTTCTGGCCCGTTCATGGCTCTGTGTTTTATTTATTTGTGCCTTTGGCTGTTCAAACAATTTATAATTTTAATGCACACACATGCCCACCCCACTCGCTGGTGTCTCGCCCTCGTCCGTTGACTGAATACAATCGGAATATGTTTATATAATTGAAAAGCAAACGTTTTGCGTGAAAACATACGGCAGAAACATAAGGCGAATATACGTTCATGCCAGAAACGATCCCCGCGCTCATGCTGGGCCGTATGTACTGACGGGTATATAAATAAAGCTGCCAAATTGTGTGCTCTCGGAGCTCGGCGCACACGGGGCGTATGATGAACGTGCCATTTATTTCGCTGAGCGATTTGCTGTCCCTTTCGCCCGCCGCCTTCCCCAACGAAATCCGCTTTATGACTGGCACATATTTCATGTAATTTTCAGACACTTTGCTTTATTTATTTATCCAGATCAAATCCAAATCCGAAACCGCTCTCAATTGCCTGAGACTCATCCTTCGAGCACTTCGACCTGCCACAACGGAAATTCGCCCATTTCTCAGTGGTCCCATCCTTTGGCCGGGCTTCCAGAGCGTTACATCCCATCCAGAATAACAAACAAATAATTTCATTGCCTGCCATAAGCTTCCGCCACTTCGGGCGGATATTCTATTGAAAATTTATTTCAATTACATTTGTGCGCCCCGCCAAAGTCTCAACAAATAAAATTCAATTTACAAAATGTTTTGCGTAGTTTTCTGCGTACCGGGCCAAGAGAACGAAAACAACAATCTTATCTGTTGGCAAGCCGATGAGGAAATTGTGCAGATTCAGTTCGGTTCATTTTGATCGGCTTGTAAGCACTTAACAAAGGCTTCCAGCTCCGGTTACCGTAGTAGAAGCCAATTAGCTGCAAATTGCCGGGCTTACAGATACAAGGCTGATTAAATAGTCACCTCGAGCTATTAGCATTTCCTTTCAATTAACATCTCAAATTTGTGACTGTGTCTTGGCCCAAATGTAATTTGCAAATTAATTCAGCTGCACAAACAGCGCAGAGCTACTTAAACATTTGCGTAACCCAATTCAAACATAATTCGGCCATTGCAAACTGACATTTGCATGTTTACGTAGAGCCGTCATCTTGTGGCTTCTATTTTCCATTATCCCCCATAGCCACCAGCACAGCCGGAAAATAAATAATCCCCATAAAGTTGCATTTCCATTTGGACGATGATCAAAACCCAACAAGCATACCGTATTGCCAGTGCCACCTAATCCGGTTTATAATTCCCCAGACCGAAAATTGACATTCGGCCATGCTCCCAATTGACTTTGTTTTAAAGCTTCCAGTGCCACAAATCTGGTTATTGCACTTGTTTTTCCCGTCATAACTATAAAATAATTGCAATTAGATTGCTGTTCTAATTACAAACTATTGGGTTTGACAAATTTTAATGCAATTTCAAAAATA